AAATTAACACCTTGTCTGTGTTTTATATCAAAAAAGTTAAATTAAAATTATTAAAGCACTTAAGATGTCAAAACATTGGAAACACACACACACACACACTATATCAAAAGCACACTCATACGGCAACTAACACAAACGAAGCCGCTCTACGCTGCTTCTCCGGCATCTAAAATATGACGACGAAGGTTTCAATTATTTTCACACCGGAAGCCACTTTTCTACAGCAATCGCCCATCCAGTTAATATAGAGATCAGTGATAGTAAGTTATTGAATGTTGAGAATTATTTTTAACCTATTTAAAAAATATTCAACAGGTGTTTGTTTTTAGAATTCATGGAAAATATTTGAAAGCAATTATAAATGAGGCGTTATAATACTTATAATTAATAATAATTATTATAATAATCATAATATTATTAAAAATAAAAAGTATTATAATTATAATAAATTATCAAGATTATTATTTCTTGTTAAAATCTATATTATTTTCAACCTCAAAGCATGAACTGCGGAAGATTATAAATGTCTAAACTGCAATAATTTTAATTTCAGTTTGAGTAAATTATTATTAAATTAAAGTTGTATTGAAATTAATCCTAAAGTCGCAGCTATTTTTAATTTATAACCGAATTGCAGAATGAAATTCTGTAAAATGAGTAATTTTGCTTAAAAAAATGTACCTAAATGAATTTTTGTTACACGGAGAGAGAATATATATTAAATTTTGTAAAAATATTTTCAAATTGGGGAAAAAGTGCAACAAAGCGAAATTTTGATATAGAAAATACTAAACTTTAAAAAAAGTTTTGTGAAATTTATTAAAGTTATATTAGAATTTAATTAATATTCTTGATATTTGATATAATTATACTAAATTTCACATAAGTTTTTTTAAAGTTTAGTATTTTTTATATCAAAATTTCGCTTTGTCGCACTTTTTCCCCAATTTGAAAATACTTTTACAAAATTTAATATATATTCTCTCTCCGTGTAAAAAGAATAGTCATCACTTGAAAGAAACTTTTATGAAGTATACTTAACAAAAGTTTAAACGTCAAGTATAGAAATCCTTGCAAGTGACTATTTTTTTAAGAATATTTATTCATTTACATCAAATTTCTTTTAAGCAAAATTACTCATTTTCTAAAGTTTCAACCATTTTAAATTTTTTCAACTTCATATGTTATATGTTTTTACTATTCTTGTACGAGAAATTTCTCACATTCTGCAATTCGGTTATAAATTAAAAATAACTGAATTAAATACAGCTGCGTATTAGCACCGCGTAAATTCAAACTTGCTTGCAAAATTGCTATTAAATCGGTTAAAATTTGTAATTAAGAAATGAAAAGTAGATTTTTCAAGCAATTATAGAAAAATGTTGTTAATTTTTCGTCACAGTTTCAAATACTAAAATTCAAGAGAACAGTTAAAAAAAGAATATACACGGAAAAATGTTAGGTGCACATGCTATATACCTTTCAAAAAATTTATCCAACAATTAACTTCACGTCGTATAAAAAAACAATAGGAAATAAGAAGTGTGAATAGTGAATTGAATATTAAAATTTTTAGACAGGGATAACGAATGCACCAAAAGGTACAGATACTGTCCCAAACATTTTTCCGTGTACATATTTGTTTATACTCGCAGCTAAAACGCTGCTATAATAATAATTAGCCAACTTTTTTTTGCTAAAACAGCTAATTATAAGCTGTAATAGCTAAAAATTCGCTATCCTTATAATAGCAAACTCATTTTTCTCCGTGTATTATTTTCAACCAAAGCATGAACTGCGGAAGATTATAAATGTCTGAACTGCAATAATTTTAATTTCAATTTGAGTAAATTATTATTAAATTGAAGTTGAAATTAATCCTTAAGTCGCAGTTATTTTTAATTTATAACCGAATTGCAGAATGTGAGAATTTTCTCGTAAAAGAATATAGTAAAAACATAATGTTGAAAAAATTTAAAATAGTTGAATTTTTAGAAAATAAGTATAATTTTGCTTAAAAGAATATGTATATGAATCTTTATTAAAAAGAATATAGTCACTTGCGAAAGAATTTCTACTTGCGTTTAAACTTTTATCAAGTATAAAATCTTTATTTAATTAAAATTTTTAAAACATACTTAATAAAAGTTTAAACAATTGTTTAAAAAGTATATAGAAAATCTTGCACGTGACTATTTTTTTAACAAAAATTATTCATTTACATCCTTTTAAGCAAAATTACTTATTTTCTAAAGTTTTACTATTTTCCCAGATAGCACAACATTTTGCAGGAAGTTTGCATTACAAACTTCGCAAATTTGCATTGCAAGTTTGCAGCAAACTTGAGGCAAATAACAAAATGTCCGCCTTGTGTAAAGTTTGCGGAGCAAACTTGCAGAAAACTTTGCGTGGCAAGGTAAATTAAAATGTCTGCGCAGTAGTCTTCTGTGACATACAGAGCTGCGTACTATACATTTTGTCACCTTTCCTACTGAAGGGGGAAGGCAACATTTCACAAAATACATAGATTTTGACCGGGCGGACATTTTGTTATTTGCCTCAAGTTTGTTGCAAACTTGCAATGCAAATTTGCCAAGTTTGTAATGCAAACTTTCTGCAAAATGTTGTGCTATCTGGGCTTGTACGAGAAATTTCTCACATTCTGCAATTCGGTTATAAATTAAAAATAACTGAGTTAAAGACAGCTGCGTATTAGCACCGTAAATTCTAACTTGCTTGCAAAATTGCTATTAAATCGGTTTGAATTTGTAAACGCTCCCTTAGAAAGGAAAAATAAATTTTTAAAGCAATTATAGAAAACTGTTGTTAATTTTTCGCTGCAGTTTCAAATACTGAAATTTAATACGGAAAACAGTTTTAATAAAAGAAAGAATATACATATTTGCTTATTTTCCCAGTAAAAAAGCAGGATTGGAAGAGAGCGAATAATATTGGCGGTGAGTTTCTGCCAATACGTTTTCGCGTGAAAACCGTATTGGGGGCATTCTGCCAATCGCCCAATCCTGCTTTTTCACCGTCAATTCTGTCCTCTTGAATCTTTCGATTTCACGTTTATTGACTCGATTTGGCATTTTAATCAAAAAGATTGATTGATTTAATGTGTAAAAATGCTGATAACGAACAGGAAATATAAAATTTTGTTAAAATGTAAATAAATGAAATTTGACAAACTGTTGATTTATCACCATATGATTTAGGGTATTTTCTAATGAGCGCTGTGACTTATACTCACAGCGCCCCTAGCGCGAACGTTGAAAGCTCCCTAAATCATGTGGTAATAGATCAACAGTACAGAATTGACGGTGAAAAAGCAGGATTGGCAGAATGCTTTATACGGTTTTCACGCGAAAACGTATTGGCAGAAACTCACCGCCAATACTATATTCGCTCTCTTCCAATCCTGCTTTTTTTACTGTGCCTACAAAACGTAAATAGATTAAAAGGAGCATGACGTTACCGGCGCATAAACTTGCTAGGAAAGTGCGGTAAATTTTGAACACAGTAAAACATATATGGTAATATCGATCAACATTTTACACAGTCTACCAGTCTCCATTTCAATTTCTAACATTTTCTCAAAATTTCTCATTTCCTTTTCGCAATCGTCATTTTTATACTTTAGGTGACGTAAGTATTCTTAACTTTGCTTAGAATTCTTTAATACAAATGTTTTAAAATAAATGTATTTTTCTAGGCATATAGGTATATATTCTATATCTTCATTTTTATTTTTAACAAGATTCAAATTTTTTTAGAAAAAAGGAAACAAATTTTTTTAATTTACATCATTACCGTACTGTCAATATACATAATTTATTATTATGAGAAATCAAATTGTATCGTGAATTTCGAAAAGGGCTCAACTCTGGAAATCGTAAGAGTCATTATCACTGTCAAATATGGTTATGCAAAAATGACACTTTTTGTTTTGAGCCCCTCTTCCCGAAATTCACAATTTAATTATACAGACAATTTTCAGAGTGATTGTTGATATATTACTCTCTAAATCTGAATTAGCGAAATTTCACTAATTTCCCAGCGATAAGTATATCACTGATTCAATTAGCGTATATACGCTGTGAATTATAGTGAAATTTCACTGATTAATTAGCGTATGTACGCTAATTGAATCAGTGATATACTTATCGCTGGGAAATTAGTGGAATTTCGCTAATTCAGATTTAGAGAGTACTTGCTATAATTTTTTTTAAATGAAAAAGACATTTATTCGAAATCAAATTACATGCAATATTACAAATGATTTGATATGTCACATTATGCCATAATTTTTTTTCAATATTAAATAAACCACATGAGAAATAAAATTGAGGAATAAAACTTTTTTTTGGGCTTTTATTGTATTTTATTTGAGCAATTACCCAATTTGGGACTTGGAAGTGCCTAAAGTATCAAGACTTATAGTTTCTCAGAGTAGGAAAAAGTAAAAATTTTTAAGTGGTAGTAGTATGGATTGTATACACATTTAGAATGTGAGAAACAAGTTTTAGTTGGCGCCGTGATTCAGCTGAATGTGCAGGTGTTCACGAGACTAGAAGGCGCCTCCATGGAATGTATGGCGATGTCGCTGTTTCTCTTCCTCTTTTTAATTTGATACCTTCTCGAAATGATTCTGTTGTCTGCGCGCTGCCCATTCACAGTTGATGCATTCATTTTATTATTTTCAATTAAATATTTAAATTTTTTCAACAATTTTATTGTTTGGCTATGAATATTAATAAAATGATTGGAAAAATTTGCAACATTGAAAATGTTTTTTTTTCAACTCTTATTATATATAGGTAAAAAGTTGGGTATTAAAAGTTGTATCCATTTTTTCTTAAAAATTATACATACGTCAACTTTTTTGAATGTTTTACACAACTATAAATAAAATCTTGGTTTTTAATAAATAAATGAAGGATTACATGCTGTAATCTATTACAACAATATTTATAATGGAGTAATAATTTAATTTTTATTTTTCTCAACTTTTTTCCAAAACGTTGACGATATAAGAATGTTTTGTTTCGTCAACGTTTTTTTCAACAACTATTTTTATAATTTTTTTATTGCTATTATTATTATTATTATTGTCGAAAGTGTAATGGCGTTTGCGCGCGTTTTAGGAATGTTGTACAGATTGTGAAAATAGAGGGGATGGTTGCTTATATATACAAAAGTACAGGTGTGAGTCTTGATACTAGTAGTGATCTGCTGCTGCTGCGTCAAGATTCATCACAGCAGTTAATTTAGTTGTATTAAAGATTATCTACTTATATATTTTGGAAATGATGCTAAACATTATTGTTATTATACATCATTTTCTTTAAAAACATTGTAATTAGCAGTGAAAAAAATCATATACTTTCAAGTGTATGCTAAAGTGTATGTGTAGAAAAGTTGACATGAAAGCCATGGTAATAAACTCATCAGCTGGAGGTCGAATTCCACCTTCAGCAAGAGGTGTTTTGCCCAATAGTCTTGAAATAAATAATGGAACTCGGCGAGATCTCGAAGCAGAACAAGTTGCAGCATACTTAACAAAATTACAGTCTCTTGTTGCTCCTGATTTGCCAAAAAGACGAAAACTCTCAAAATTACAAGTTATTCAGCGAGTTATTGAATACATTTGTATTTTGCAATCAACATTAGAAGAAAATAGTAATGTGCACAAGCAAGACTGTCATCTTCACTCCATTATGGATCAGTGAAAATTTGTGGTGCAGAATGACAACAAACATTTTGTTGTAAATCTAAAGTGTCTGATGTTTTTCATTTTTGCATTTAGATTATATATATTGAAAAAGAAACACTAATGAAGCTTTTGTGATATTTTTTTTAATAAACTTTTAGTTTATTGACTTTGAAAAATGTATATGTTGGCATTGCGTTTTGATATTAAATATTATTGATATTATTAATATCAATATTGTTTCTGTGTGAAACATGATAAAAAATTGATTTTTATAAAATTATTCTTTAATTCAGTTGATAAAAAACAATAATGTATTGGACATTAAATCATATTAATTGTATATAAATTTATATATACTTGAAATTGTGAAAAAAAATTTTTTGTTATAATTGTTTTTTATATTTTAAAAAGAATTTTACATTGTACATATTGCTCTCTCTCTCTCTCTCTCCTTCTCTCTAGATGAATAAAAATATATCTTAAAATAATTGTTGTCTATCATCTATAGAAAAGATTTTTTTTTCAATTCCTTTCTTTAATATTTCACACAACAATTGTTGTATGTAGAAAAGTGATAAATTATCAAGTACCCTAGTACTTCAAAATTATTCGCACGTACTATATTTTATCTACTATTTAATATATTTTAGAATACCTTCATTCTATACATTTAAGCAACAATTTTATATTTAACCATGTATTAAATTTTGTATTTGTAAAAATATAAACACCAAATATTGATCCAATGCGCAATTGAAATGAATCAAAGGATTTTTTGTATGTATATGTGTTATAGAACCCATCGAGGTTATGAAAATTTTTTCTTTATCAATACTTTTAAAAATACTTACATTACGTTTATTTTAGTTTATATATGTATATATTTATTTATTTTTCTATACTTAAATTAGTGTAAAACATATTTTTTAAATATACTCAATTTACTAAACTTATTTTAAAAACAATATAGTACTATTCACACTGAAAAAATTACATTTTAAATTAAAGAAGAATCATATTCGCCAAGAATATTATTCAGAGTGGAATAATTTTTCATTTTATTTGAATTCAACAAGACTATAATTATCTATACTTGAAAATAATATTTTCTATTGCATCGAATTCAATAAATAATTAGAAGAATTTTATTTTAAAAATTATGAGCCAACTTTTATTATTTATATATTATTCGCAATCCAACTTTACAAAACATGTGTGTTTCTTCACATTTCATGGTTTTAAAAGAAATTCTTGTATTTTGTCCTTATCGCGATTTAACCATGCAACATTTAGTCTGATAGTTTCAACACTTTGTTGAACAGTTCGTTCAACTATAGATTGATTTTTAAAAAACTCTTCAATTTCTTGTGCTTTTTCATTAGTTACAAAATTTTCTGTAATACATTTTACTAAGCGTGTTAGCAAAAATCCACTTTTATACCGATCCAATAATATATCCCATTTTTCTTTCAAAAACTCCCATGCCAGAAGCCGACCTTGGTATCTCATCATTGCCACTGAAGTAATTCCAAATACTGAATCTTGAGCACGAACTTGATCACTCATAGAGAATTGCAAGACTCTAGCCAACAACTTGACATCTCCAACAGCTCCAAGAGAACTTAGAATTCTATCTTTTTCTTCGTGTAAATCACACTCTCTATATAATCTAAGCATTGTTTCAAAATTTTCAACATCATCTACGGATGTTGATGATAAAACTGCTCTATATACAAGGCTGCGTAAATCTGCTGCTAGTATCGTTTCATTTTTAATGTGTAATGTAAATCGTCTTTTTGCTTCACGAATTATTTCCTCATCTTCTAAGAAAACTAATTTTCCTAATATACGAGGCCTCAATAATGTATCTAAATGACTTTCATTACTTTTTGCTTCCCATCCCAATTTTTCGCCAATATTTCTTAATAAGGAACAACCAAAAACCTTGAATGCATTATCAAGATGATTTAAATGCGAAATTAATTGGCCAATTTTATTTAAGCAATTTAAAATTGTACACCAGACAGTATAGTCATCTTCGAATTGAAAAGCTTGCATCAGTTTCAGTACATCAATTGTAGATGAATGACCGGCTTGTGCAATAGCAAATAAATCGTCCAAAAGACCTAATCTATCAAGAGGTAATAATGTACGATTTTTTATTGCTGGTTCGAAAAGTTGAAGCATGTCAGTACTATACATTGTTCTATAAAAACCTATTGTTCCTGAATTAATTTTAATCCACGAGTCTTTTGGCACATCTTTAATTACAATTTCTAGTGTTTCTTCTTCTTTACTCAATAATAAATCATCAAATAAAATTTTTTCAGGATTCTGAGCAACACTTATTCTTAATGGAATAATCCATTTCTCTTTACATTTTGTCTCTACCAAATTATTAACAACATCAGGAAGGAATCGCTTTTGTTGGAATGTAAGTAAAACATTATTTGATTCATCATTTTCCGCACCACCACCACTTTGCTGTTGTTGTTGTTGTCGTCGTTGTTCAACTTGAACTAAAGGAAAACCTTGTTGTTTCGTCCACGTTGACATAACAGAGCGTACTGGTTTCTTGGCCACTTCTTCTAAAGCAGTCCATAAATCATCTGTTTTTGCATTAGCATAGGAATATCTGGTCAAGTACAATTTCATACCCTTTCTAAAATCTTCATCGCCAATATACGAATGTAACATTCTAATAACGCTCGCACCTTTACAATAAGAAATATCATCAAATATTTCATCAATTTCTGAAGGATGCCCAACTGGAACTTGAATTGGATGACTGTTTCTTAAAGCGTCCAATTCTAAAGCTTGAATATGAACATCTGTTACAAATTGAGTCCAGATATCATATTCAGGGAAAAGATATGCAACGCATAGAAATTCTACAAAGGATGCATAACCTTCATTTAACCATAAATCATCCCACCATTCCATTGTTACAAGGTTACCAAACCATTGGTGAGCCAATTCATGACCTACTGTTAACGCTATCCATTGTTTTCGGACGGTTGATGTATTTTGTGAATCTACTAATAAACATGTCTCTCTATATGTTACTAGACCCCAATTTTCCATGGCACCAGATGAAAAATCTGCTATAGCTATTAAATCCATTTTTGGGAGGGGATACGATATTTCAAAGTAATTATGGTAATAAGGCAAAACTTTTGTTGCTACTTGAAGTGCAAATTGTCCTTGCTTTTTTTTTCCTATTGGAGTATATACTCGTATCAAAACTCCGTCACTAGTTACATCTTCTAAATAATCAAATTCTCCAATGACAAAAGCTACAAGATACGTAGACATTTTTGGAGTTGTTTCAAATACAATTTTGTTGTTCTCTAATGAAGAATTTCTAGTAATAGTCTTGATGGGCTAAAAAAAAAGAATTATTATTAATGCAAATTTTAGACAAAACTTTAATTTTATAATAATGATTATACACAATACGTACCATATTTGATAGAGCTACAAGACCAACAGGTACTTCTTGTAATATTACATCAAAAGTACATTTATATGCCGGTTCATCCCAACATGGAAAGCAACGTCTAGCATCTGATGATTCAAATTGTGTAACTGCTGCATATTTGCTATAACTGCTATCACCGACAACATCCAAACTGTGTGTTGTTGTTGTTGAAACAATATATTAATATTATTATTAATTTTGAAATTGTGTAATAATCAAATCACAATGACACTTACCCTGTATATTTACTTCTATATAATCCTTTCATATTGTCATTAATTTTTCCTTGAAATATTAAACGTATATAACCTGAGCGACCTGGTGGAAGCTTTTCATCAAATTCAATTGTAACTGTTTCTTCTTCATTATTAATTGATATATTCTTTGATGATATCAATAAATCTTCATGTGTATGAAAATTAATTGACTGAAACTCTAAATCAGCCGAATTTAAAGTTACAACATTTGTTGAAGTATTTATCTGCATTAAACACACACACACACAAGTATTGAAAGTATATTATGAAGATTTAAAACATAATATTACCGCGAAATCTTTTTTAAATCCATTTGTATCAATATTTAATAATAAAATTGATAATTCTTTAAAAAAAATTCAACTAGATGTTAATATTTAAGAAATATTATGATATAATTTTAAAAATTATTATGCATATCCTCTATTGAAATTTTCATAATTTTTCAAGAATAATGTCAGTATTGTACACGTGACTTTTTCTTATTTTTTAGGTTAGTTTTTAGTGATATTTTCTTCTGGAAATTCTAAAAGACTAATACTTGTTATTATCGCTTATATTTTTTTATATTTATTTAAACGATAAATTGTGTTTTGAAATATTAATTCTGGATTATATGCACAAATAATTTTTAATAAAAAAGTATATTTGTATATATGCACATTTTAGTATGGCAATTTGAAATTAATTCATTTCAGTACTTACATCAACATGTATATTTTCTTCTCCTTCACAAATAAATTTGTTCAAGTCGGGTTTTAAACATATTTCATAATGAAATGGACAAATATCTGTAGGTAACTTTTTAAAGGCTTTCTTCTTGGCAGACATTTTCAAGACTTTTATTCTGAATAGAGTTTGTGTTTTCAACTTTCTCTCACACTATACTATACTATGTATTATGAGGAGGCTATGTGCAAAGGGATTCTCAACCAATTTTTATAAAACTTATTTTAGAAAGATTTTCCAATAGTAAATCACTCACACGCAATCAGTTAATTTTGTGTGTGTGTGTGTGTGGGTGGTGAAGGATTTTATTTTCAATGGTATAATATATGAGAGTAAAAGGCACAAACACACTGATTTCTATATGAAAATGGTTGTGTTCAAAATGTGCGCCCGTTTTTATTGAAATATATTTTAAAAAATTTTAAATTAATTTTATTACAACATAACAACTATATAATCATTTTTATAATTATTTATTGAATTAATTTATTTAATTTTAAATATTATCGTCGTGTATAATATTTTTTTATAGTACTCTCTTTGGACCAAGAACTGTGCGAAATTAATGTTTCAAAATAATATATCATTTATACATTGAAAAAAAAATTGATTATCAATAATTATATATTTACTTGAATCAAATAATATATTTATTGTAGCTGTCGCAATTGAATGGTATTTGAACCAACAATAATTTCAGTATTTAAAGCAAATACCATTCAATTGACAGCTACAATAAAAATATTATTTGATTCAATTAAATATTTAATTGATAATAGTCAATTAATCGGTTATTTGAATCAAATAAAATTTTTTTTTTTTTGCAGTGTAGTAAATAAAATTCGAGAAATCTTTTTTCGCCTTTAATTTTTTAATAACCTTTAATAAAAAAATTATGCACATATAATTTACATAGCATCGATAGTAGATTGCTTTCTTATGTTTTAAAATATTTATAAAACATTAAATGTAGCATTGTTGAATAATTATAAATTCTTTAAATGGCATTTTATGACCATTTTTTACAAAATTTATTATTATTTTTAAATTTGTGTACCTATTTATATAATATTATAATTTTTAGAAATATCACTGTATAATATAAGAAAGGTGTGCTTATTGCAAGTGTAGGAGGATGCGTAGGTGTATTTTTAACCGTATGAGTCTGCAAGTGTATGAGTGTTCTGCTGTTCTTGGCACAGTTTCTGTTCATCTCTTGTGGAACAAAAGTATATATTGGTTTAGTTCTCTGTTTTAAATTCGTCTTTTTTTTAATTTAATATAATTATTAGATCCCCAGTTGTCCAGAATTAATTGTGTTTTACTTTTAAAAATATAATTACAATAATTTAAAAGTAGGTACTTTATTTATTCAAGTTATGGTATACTGAACTTGACACATTTAATGCATCAAATTGCGCTGTAACGTTGGTAATATATATATATATATATATATATATATATGCATATGTGACGCTCCACGAGAAAAGGGACCTTATGACAAGAGTAAATAAAGTCCCTTTTCTCGTGGAGCGTCACATATGTTGTAAATCATAACAAAACAATGGACATTTATATTAAAATATTTTGTTTCATTTTTAATTAATGAATTGTGTGTTATTATATAAACAAAGTTTCTTACTATTATTTTTTTAATATTAATTTACAAAAAAGTTTTTTTTTTATTAAAAATAAAATTTATTATACACAATATTCCAACATAAATTATTTATTTCTTACAAATTGTATAGCAGACAACGTTTTGGAAATTTCGGGAAATTAAATTTTCAAAAAATATACAGCATAAATTGATGTTGAAGTTTTTTTTATAAAATTCAGCATTTTTTTTTATTTTTATGTGGTAAAAAAATGAATATGTATTTAAAACTGCGGGTATAGATTATTTGAAATAGATGATAAAAACAATAACCTTTATGATATTGAATATCTAAATATTACATTTAATAATAGATTCGCGCAGTGAAAATGTAATGCTTAAACATTTATTAAGAAAAGATTGAACAAAAAGTTTCTTTGGGGCCGACAGTGGCGGATCTAGGGGGGGCACGGGTGATTGCCCCCCCCCCCTAAGAGTCAAATATGCCTGTGAGATAGAAATAAGAGATGATATTATATTGAAATTTTTTTTTAAATAGATCCGCCACTGGGGGCCGATTTTATTTAGAAAAACTGGGGTCAAGTTAAATAAATTTTCATTCATCTTTCCTTATTTTAAAAATCCACATTCTCTAAATCTGAATTTGTGAAATTTCATCAATATTTCCAACGTCAACTTTTATCGCTGGAAATTGGCGCGCGCGTACTATTTGCGATTCAAAAAGCGTCTAATTAATCAGTGAAATTTAATTGAATTTATTTAGTAAAATTTCACCAATTCAGTTTGCATATGATAATTATTGGAATCGTATGCTTATTGCTGCTATTTCAGATTTAGAGAGCACTATTTATCTGAGGATCGATTTATACATTTTTTACGTATTTGCTTAGAATGTTGAAGGTAAAATCATTCCTTGGATTATGGTCCTTAAAAACAGGCACATTGTTTAGCGGCATATGCAGCATAGTAAGTAAATTTTTTTATTTTTATACACTTCAAGTTTTACTATATTTTTAGGGATTTGAAAAATTTTTTATATATATTTTTGTTCATATGTCTTACGAAATTGAAGGGCTATACATAAAATAAGGGGACGAACGCGTGGTTGTAAGGGATAATATCAGTCTGGTAGCAGCGAGCGGCTCAAGGCCTACTGTCACTGCTACCCGACTGGTATATTATAGTATCCCTCCAAGCCTCGCGTTCGTCCCCTTATTTTATGTATAGCCCTTCAATTCATTCATTCATTTTTTTTATTATATAGTTCAGAGCTTTAAGAAAGCATTTAATATAACGTTAATTTAAAAATATTTTTTAACCCTAACCATTTCCTACCATAAGCCTGGCAAAAACGACCTCGCAAATCCTAGTCAAATTGTCTAGGATTTTAGTAATTTCGCCTATTTCCATAATGCGCAATGGTGTCTTAGACACCAAAAACAAAAATTAATATATATGCAGTCTCTAAATCTGAATCAGCACAATAAAGTCTCGCTGATTTCCAGTAGCTTTATAAAGTATACATAATTATACTATATATATAGGGTAAACCAGACAGAAGTCGGCCATTTTTCAATTTTGAATAAGCTATATAAAACCGTATGAGATAAAAATATTTTGCTTGTTGCTAATCATTTCCAAAGTGATCACAAACAAATCTAAACTTTTGTAATAGAAGAAAAAAATTTTTTGGACGGTTTTTGAAAGCTTTTTTAAGTGGCCGATAACTGTCGCGCGCGGATTCTTACTTGTTTATTTACTAATTTTTTTTCATAAACATGATATACGCCAATTTAAATCCATGTACTTATCGCTGATTCAAATTTAGAGTGTATATATATTCTTTAAAATTCAATAAATTTGTTTTAATTTCAGGCATTAGCAATTTTAACAATTATTGTTCTCTTCACTGTGAATGCCGACTGGAAAACTATAATTATTAATGTAGACAAAAATATAGCTCGTATTATTTTCACTATATTTCTGTGCATGACAATATTGTATTCAACACTTTTAATTATTGGTACACTAAAGGTAAGTGTTTGCTAAAAAATGTATAATAAAAGCACCTATAGGTGCTTTGTTATTTGATTAACAAGAAAATATATCATATGTATATGTTTTTATAATAATTTTAGCGAAAGACTTTATTTATGCTTCCCTGGGTTACACTAACCATGGTCGCTATTCCTGGAATATTTATCAGTGTTTTATATACATCAATTATGTTTTTTCTTCAAAAACACATAATAGAAGGAGTGATTTGTCTAATACTCGGCCTGGTTTTTAATGGTAAGGTGTTTATAATTTAATGTTATGTTTGATAAATTATTTATCAAGTTTTTGGTCAAATTAATGAGTATAGTGTATGTTTTTCATTTATAGTAGAAAAAGTGATAAAAAGAATTTTATTTTTAATTAAATCTTTTAGTTATGTGTGCTTATGGATGGCTTGTAGTGAACAGCTTTTACAATCAACTGAAAATTGAAAAATCAAGTACTAAAGTGGGACCTTATGGAAAACCTTACAATTATCAGCGACCTTAAGTATATTTATACATATACTGAAAAATACCATGTGAGTAAAATAATAAATTACAAAACTGTTTATTGATACGTAGACAACAAAAAATAATAATTACTTGCTTTAAATTCTCATCAAAAGTATGAGAAGGTCTCTTGGATTTTTTAAATATTTTTTTATTAAATTCTTGTCATGAGAGCTATTAATTTGTATTAAAATAATTTTCTTATAAAAATGTTAATCATTCCATTGCAAAAATTATCAATTATTTACATTGTCTTTTTTAATTTAAATTATTTTATATATTGTAGAAATGCCATCATCATCATCATCATCATCATCATCATCATCATCATCATCATCATCATCATCACCGTTGAGCTGTTTATTAGACTGTGTGTACCTTTTTTAAAAAAAAAATCATTAATAAAACAATTTAATCACGCCCTTTATTAAAATGAGCCTACCACAGCTCCATTTGCGAAATGGAGAACAACATTATTTATTACTGTCAAATTATTTTTTTATACTAAGAATATTTTGAGACAAATATATTTATCTATATCTGCAGCTTCTATTTATTTTTATAAATAAATTAATATTAGAATGTAATTTTAACAAACCATTAATTATTGTAATACAATTTTCTCAAGTGCCATTAATATAAACGCACACAAATCTTTATACTTTGTGTAATAATTATACATATATTTACAAGAAATATTATATATATTGTCCAAGAGATTATTTATGAAAATAATCATCAACTTTATATAATGCTGTGTATAATAATGGAAAAATGTATATTTAATATTTATTGTTAACGAATATAAACGAATATAATATTATAAAAAGTACTTGGTGTTTAATATTTATTATAGAATAAGCTTGGAATAATTTATTTTGAAAATTATACAAAAAAAAGAATATTATTTATAAAAGATGCACTTTATTTTTCATCCTTTTAACAATACAAATTGTTTTTCACACATGTATATTGATTAATATTTTACAGACTTTTTAAACCGCAAATATATAGAGCCAAATAAAAAGTCTAGTTGATGGCTCAAATATTATACATCTTTTCTTTGTGCGGGTTTAAATGAGTAAAATTCATTGAATAGTTGTGAATGATTAAAAAACTATATTTGGTAACTCATCTTTTATTGTGGTTTAATTATAACATTATTAACCATTTCCGGTGTTGCAACGTGTAATAAATTAATAGAATTGGATGTTCCTGCTTTGTCAGCAATACTCTCCAAAGTTTTTAAAGTAGATTCAACTTTTGAATGATTCAAAAAGAACATTTTCCAGAATAATTGTACTAAATTATTAATTAGACCTAAATTAATGAAAAACATGGTAATGGTCATAAATTTTATTATTCCTTATACGAGTATCTTTGAAATTATTTATGAATAAAATTTTTCAAGTCTTTTAAAAACTCTATATTTTTTTGAATATTAATTCAAAATCTATTTATTAAAATTTCGAAATATTTGTACATAATTAGATTGTCTTATAAAATGTATTTTTTTTTAAATCAAGTAACAAAAATATACATACCACTGGTAACGTATATGCCCCCTACAGTAGCACATAGTTTTATAAAAAATTGATATAATGATTCTCTTTCTTGGAAAACTTTTATTTTCAAAGCACTAGTGTCATATTTGAAAAATATACCAGGAATACCATGGTACCCTTTGTGATGGTTAATTGGTCTTTGATGGTCTTTTACACTATATTGAAATGTTTTTGTTTTACGTAAAAGTATATCGATATCAGTCGGTACTACTTCTATAAAATACTGATATAAAATTGCACCTACAACGAAATTAAGATTTTAGCAATCAGCATAAAAACTTTTTGGGTACTTTTTGAAATAATTAAAATATTTTATCACAACAGATGAAGAAAAAAATATTGTATATTTATCTGCGCGTCTCTCACTTTCATTAGTAATTTTCTCTTCTCCTTCCAATGGATGAATAATACCAGGACTGGGCTCACCAAATGAAAATCTATTAATTCTATGAGTAAAGTTATGTTCTTTATCTGTAAGAAATGATGAAATATGTATGTGACCACCAGGAAAGGATAATGATTTTCCAGAAATTATATGAAAATTTCCAGATACTTTGTTTAAACTTAAACTTCCATAAATGCGACAAGCATCTGGCGGATAATCAGGTTGAAGAGATCTGCAATTATATAAAAGTAATGGTGATAATAAAACTATCCGTTTTATTTCTAAAATTATATATTAAAATTGCATTTTTAAATAATTTGTCATTAAATTTTATTTAATTTACAATTTTATTTATGATTATAAAAAAAATGTAATCTAGCGCATGTATTAAAATTTACGGAAATTATTAGATGCGATGAGGTTTGCTTAATTTTTTGCCATTATTTAGACGCGATATTAAAAGTTTGGTATTATATGGGTATTTTAATTTTCTGATTTGTGAGATTTATTATTTAAATATTTCTTTTTTCCCTTGATTTCCAGCTGCTGCTGCATTCTGTGTTATAGTAGGAATCATATTTTAATTATATGTTTTATATTTACCGTTTTGGCATTTCGCTGTGTAATGCAATTTGATTAGATTTCCATAAAAGCTCGTGAATGGCATGATATTCTTCTCGAAAATATGAATTCATTGTTTTTAGGGTATCAAAATGAGAGCGTTGCTCTAGAGATAGGTCCCACCACGTATCTTCTTCTTTAAGAATTTCAAAATGTTGAAAATTCTGGTTTGTCGAATCTAGTATATCGGCACCAATACGTCCACATGGCATTGCTACAGTTATGTCAATATTTATCTTTAATTTCGAATTTATCTCTGTATCTGGTACAAATTTGAATTTAAGTTTACTATCTAGAAAATACCATGTTTCAGCAATGGTTAAATATACAATTATACAGAAGCTTATCACTGAAACTGAAATACACAGAAAATAAAGATAGTACATCAAATAAAAATAAATGTTGTGTAATCCTAATGCGTTATTTATTATTACACTTTTAGCCACAATACATTTTTAATTAAACAAATAAAACACTTAGTTTTATAATAAAAAGGCAATCATAATATTATAGTTTTTTTAAAATTTAAATCATGATTTTCCTAAATTATAGAATATTTTTATAATATTCAGAATTGAAAAGGAGAAAAAATTTATAAATTTTTTTTATTCTAGATTTTAAACTTGATATGTGCCGCCTACTGTCCCCATCATCCCACTACAACTTTACTAATTAAACATTATATAAAATAATTTTTAGAAAAAAATAATAAAAACACATTTGTTTGAAATTCACTTACAAGTACCACCAACAGCAGATTGTTTGGTATAATGCTCAGCAAGTTTTGGAAAGGCGTCCAAACTTTTAACATTATTAAATTGAAGTTTTCTTCTTCTTAACATTGTACCTATTAAAGTAATTACTTGAAAAGTTGAACAACATTAAATAATAAAACTTGTGTCTGAAACGTGATTGTCAACGGCCAAAACAATAATGGAAGATATTGACAGAACACGTGTAACGCGGCCAACGCAAAATGGTGCTTCTACAAGCATAAAGGTGCCGTCTAAGCAGAATAAAACGGGAAACTGTCGCGCAAGCATGAGATAAAAAAGATGGACGACGATATTTCTGTCCTTTTTCTGCATTTAATTATGGCGTAAAGTTGAACGAATTAAACCTTCAATTTAATAGAAGCAAAGATGAGCTGAAGAAGGATAAAACTATAAATCTCCTTTCTTAACCCATAATTACGTTCCTGTTTGCGACTCTCTGGCGGCTGTCGTTTTGTTGTTCTATTTGCTTAGACCTTAAACGTACTTTACGCTTTCACGAAAGCAGAATTTGATGAGTGCAACCGTAATCGTGACCGTAAAAGCGTAAGAATGAGTTAGAGAAGGATAAACAATATACCTATCCTTCTTTAACTCATTCTTACTCTTACGCTTACGATTGTCCATAGTGTGTACTCTTAAAATTGAGTTTTCAGTTTTACGCCTTTTGCTCACATTTTTTAATGCACAATGAATAATAAATTGGGAGAAAAAAGTTGAAAAATATAGTCGGAACCAACTGCTTGCTTAAATAAATTATTTATTGAATACAACAAAATTTTTTCGAATCAACAGACCACAATGTAATACCTGATCCTGGAATATTATTTTCAGCTCCAGTAGAACAAGTTTTAGTTCTCATAATCATCAAGTCTGTTCTTAAGCTTGGTCGGCGGGCAGGTGCGACTACTCCACAAGCATCACTTAATCGTCGTTTAATACTGAGAGTGGTTTTGTGTTTCGGCTAAGGATTAGGAAATCACTTGGTGTAATTATTTTTCTTATAATTTATATATACATAATACGTCACACGATTTTAATACACTGCGAACCTGCGTTTTAGAGGTGTGCTAGACTTGATCAAATCACAAAGTCATTGGTTATAATTTTTAATCAATAAGAGGTGCAAATTTTTCATGTTTTTCAAATGAAAAAGCACTGTCTCTCTCTCTCTCTCTCTCTCTCTCTCTCTCTCTCTCTCTCTCTCTCTCTCTCTCTCTCTCTCTCTCTCTCTCTACCTAATTTGTGTGACGTATTAAGGCCAACGCAGAATAGATCTTTAACCGGAACCGCAATCGTAACCGTAAGCATAAGAATGAGTTAGAGAAGGATAAACAATATACCTATCCTTCTTTAACTCATTCTTACGGTTACGCTTACGATTGCGGTTCCGGTTACAGATCTATTCTGCGTTGGCCTTTATGTGCCATCTAATTTTAACATTAATAGGGATTTTTACCTGAGAAGGTGGTAGCATAGTAGGAGAACCAAAATTTAAAGGTACTCTTCTATGATGATTAGGTGCCATTTCTAATGGCAAACCTGCTACTATAAATAAATGGTAAAAAAGATCATCTACGTGATAATTCCTTTTGGCTGAGACTTCAACAAATACACAACAATCATCTTGATTTCCACAGTATTGTTGGGCTTCTTCAACAGTAACTTTTCTATAAAAAAAAAAAAAAACAAAACAAATTCAATTATGATTGCAACAATCATTATTTTTAGGAAAAAAAGTCTAAAATAATTCTACGTTTAAGGTCGCAGATAATTATATTGTTCATTTTATTTTAAAAACACTTTTTAATTTTAAATATATGTAAAACATATTTAATAATTATAAACAGGTACATACTTGATATCTCCATCACATTTATTTCCTGCCATAACCATAGGAACTTTTAAATTACTTGCAATCTTATTTTTTGTTGACCCTTGAATTGCACTTTTTTTCGTTTCTATAATTGCTTCCCTTAATCTTGCTGCCTCTTCAAAAGTCTCTGGACTATCCATACTGAATACCACCACAAACAAATCTCCTATAATAATTAACATGATTAAAACTAATTAATTTTTAACCTTCACCGCTTATTCTTCATCACTTTACATGTGTAAAATCTTTTTATTATAGTATATGCACTTACCAGTTAAGAATGATAGTCTTCGCATAGCAGGAAAGGGATGATTGCCACTTGTATCCAAAATATCCAACTGATACACTTCTCCTTTAATTCTGTATAACTTGCGATGAAAATCTTCAATTGTTGGAGTATAACTTTCTTCAAATTTATTAGATAGGAATCTAAGTCGAATAACGACAAGTAAATATAATTATAAAATATTTCTATAATTTGCAATGATGAGTTTCTTTAAAACGAATTGTCTTGTCAAAGTTGCGCATACCTTGCTACAATTGCAGTCTTCCCAACACGTGCACTTCCCAAGATGACAAGTCTGTAACAATTTCGAGGCGATGGTTTACAAGATTCTTCTTGCGACGAGGTTGAAGGAGGGTGGTTTGGATTGGTGGGACCCAGGATTTCATTATTTTCGAGTTCTGCTGATCCTCCGAGTACATGGGCACCTCTTCTCACCCTGACAGGTACGTTGTTATCCTCCTGACAGGTACTGCCTTTCTTTCTGCGACAACAGAATAGTCCCTCCAGCTACATGAAAAGTAGAGCATCTTCCTTTATGATTCGATTAATTAAAAGCTATTTAATTAGTTACATGAGATGATTATTCTTTAATTATTTACAAACATAGAGTTTCATAATAATAAAAACTCTTTACAATTATTGTTGTTTTCTTTTTTATTCATGAATAATAATTAGTTAATTATGATTGACAATTATTGACACAAGTCGCCTGCTTATATCTTAAAAATCTTAAAAATTCGAGTAATCATTTGATCAATTAAATGTGTCAATTTTTTTCTATTGAGGTTATTTACATTAAAAATCAGTCAATACCTAAAATTTCATTATTTTGAGTGATTTTTGTATCGTTAATGGCGAAAAACGCATATTTTTGGTTAAGGTTGCATGAACAAGTTCAAATAGTATAGAGACTTTCTAGTTTTTAAAGTGATTTTTTAATGTTTGAAAAATATATTTCTACACTGAAAAAATTGTGGCACATGAGAGCCAACCATGTTTTGGTACAGCCGACGTGCAGATTCTGCGAAATCTCTGCGGTGTACCAACAGTGCAGGATTTGGTAGCTGCTGTACCAAGTTATATGCATGATTTATGTAGAGACTGAGCGCGAAAGATATCCTTAAATCTTTTGCAAACCTAATTAATAGGTATATATAAAATATTATGTAATATTAGTAACATTACACATAATATTTAGTATTTTAAGATACATATTTAGGTTGTATTTATGTCGTAGACAAATAGAAGAATCCGGCAGTAAGCCTTCTTATTCCTAATAGGCAGTAAGCTTATTACTGCCGGCAATTAGACAAATGCACAACAAAGTCGTTCATAGATTCATCTATTTGCGCCTATAGGCAGTAAGCTTACTGCCTATTAGGAATAAGAAGGCCTACTGCCTGATGTGGGTTCGGCATTTAGACGACTCGCATCAGCATCCACGATGTGTAGTTCACATAGGTGAATTACAATAATAATAATTATTATTATTTTAAAAATACGGAGAAAATGTAATAGAAAGATTAAATAAAATATGAATTTATGAAAAAAGTACAATAATGTTTCTTTTCTCTATTTAAAAATTATCATAAAGTATGTAAATAAAATATTTAATTATTTTGCAGTGTTCAAAGAAAACAGATTAATTTTTATCGCAATAATATACTTTGGTTATCTATACTTAAGAAATTACATTTCTAGTATGTGTTTACAAGTATGTAAGTGTTAGACAAAAGTAGCAATTCAAAACATTTTTTTGAATTAGATTAAAATAATATACTTTAGCCATAATTCAAATTCGTGTACTAATAAATAAAAACATAGCACTAAAAATTTTAAATGTAAAAATCCACAATTTAAAAATAATTGTATTGTTTTTTTACATTTGTCTAATTGCCGGCAGTAAGCTTACTGCCTATTAGGAAGTAGGCTTACGGTCCCATATTGAGCAGAAAGCACAACGCAAAGCAGAATTTCGTGAGAGTGGAAAGGATAGTGATATCTGACTCTATCTCTCTTGCACTCACGAAATTCTGCTTTGCATTCTGTTTTCTGCTCAGCATGGGACTGCACCCTGAGAATAGAGCGCAACTGAATTGAATTCAATGAAATTTTTTCTCCTTCAAATTTAAAGAGTTTAGACTGTGTATAACAAAGACTTGACATCTTTATCGTCCTTATAAGTATAGCTAATTTAATGATAAGAATTTTAATTGGATAAATTGAAACATTTTTAAAACTATCAACTTAAAATGGAATCTCTTTAAAAAATCATTGCATGTATATTTATTCATTTATGAATGTGTATTTATTATAAAGCGAGAAGAACTTGAAAGAATAAAAAATCAATATTAAATATGTTCACAAACATGTTATTTATAGTTCCTGCACTTTGCTTGCACACATTCTTTAACTCAAATTGTCAAAGAGAGAAATATATATATATATATATATATATATATATGGAGAGAGAGAGAGGGGGTGGAAAGGGGTAGACTAAATGTGGGGGTTTTTAGTTGAACACATCAATATGCTTTGTCAATGCTTCAAAGCATTTTGTCATATACTCTCAGCTATATATTATATATACAATTTGCACCTATGTATAATTTTTTTTTTTTTTGAAAATTATCCACTGTAACATGAAATAATTTTAATCAAATAATAAAAAGTTACTTTGTGGCTATTTTTCTTGTACATGAGTTTCACTCATTAATTAGACTATATACACTTTTTGAAAATAGTGGTATTATATACTTATCGCTGGTAACTAGTGAATTTTCTTTAATTCAAATTTAGAGAGTATAAGATACAAATAAATAAATTAAGAACAATTTATTTTAGAGATTATGCATATAAATACATATACTAAATACTTGATTAAATAATGATGAAATGTAAAAAATTTATTATTTGTTAAAAATATTTTTTCTTAAATAGGTCTACCAAGGCTTTAAGATAATACTAATAATAATAATATTAATAATAATTAGTACTTTACGATATAACATTTAAGGAGAACTACAATACTTCTTTACCTTTAATTTGTATTATTTTACATTTATATCAAATGTTGTACATGTTACAATTCTATATATTTTACAACCTACAAATTATTTAATGAAATATAGAATATACAATTTTGTATTAAATCTATTTCAGTGACAAAGAAAAATATCAAGTACATTGTTTATCGCTGCAATGATTCTTAAATGCAGCAGGAGAAATGAGTAATATTTATTTAAAAAAATTGAAAGGAGAAATAAATTTTTTAATAATATATACTTTTAATTGAAGATTACAATGAGGTAAATTGCATAGCAGTCGTGCAAACAAATAAATATAATGGAGGAACCTTAAGGAGGAAAAATTACAAGACGAAAGTAAAGAAATGTACCGTGACTGCAATCAATTGAGTAAAAGCAAACTGCACACTGCAGATTAAAGGTGCATCAGGTGAGTGGGACATTTTGGTAATGAAAGTACCAGACAAGAGGAAAGCATTCTCTGCGCATGTCTTTTATATATCTCTATTTAAATATTTTATAATAAACTTTGTTTTATTTAAAACATTCATCATTTAAAAAAAATTGTATTTGATCTACTACTAATCGATTATTTTTCATTACTAGAAATTTTTGTTTTAATATAAGAAAAGAATTTCAAAAGTTGATAGGAAGAAAATAATAAAGGTGCGTGTACTTTTTTTTTTCTTTTTTATCGAGAAAGTTGAAAAGCAAAAAGTTACGTATTGTAAATAGATATATGTTTATTTTACTTTTAAACTATCAACACCGAACAATACTATTTTTTATCCCATCCTTCTTCATAATATGTTATTGTTTTCTTGGCTCTTGGATCATCAGGTCGGAAGACTGGAAAGAATACATACAACATATTCATAAACGAATATCGCATATATGCATGAAAATAGTCTTTATGTAAAATGTTTCAAGTTATTGAAATATAATTATTATCAATTCATATTTAACTAAAATCTTTTAATTTCTTCATAAAATTCTGTATTATTATTTATTATTAGTCATTTCAATATACATAATGACTATTTTTAACGAAATTTAACATTCTTAATATTTGATTTAATTTTACTACACTCTAAATCCGAATAATTAGAAAAATACTACAATTAACAGTTGAAACCGTGAACAATCTGTCCCTATAATATTCCAATTTCTAAAAAATGACTATAATCATTATATAGTAGAAAGCAACTAATTTGATATAGCATTATAGTCAAAAGTGACTAACTGAGATTTAGAGAGTATGCGTTTTATTTCAATAAATTCCACTTTTTATTAAAACTAATAGATTTTATTTGGTTTTAATTCCAAATTTTTTTCATCGCTGTTTCTCAAAAACGAACCAATTATTAACAACACCCCACACATATTGGATTGAATAAAAAATTTTAAAGAGGGATCATCCATAATTAATGTAAATCATATTATTATCATCTCTCCATATAAAAATATATTGCTTGGATATGTGACATATTTAGAGTTACCGCAAAATATATATGGGATAAATATAAATCATGAACGGCACTACCCGCAAATATATTCAATTTCCTTACAATTATAATGATAATTTATAATTTTGTCTTATTATGTATACTGTTGTACGTTATATCAATTAAAATGTTTTAATTAGAAAATCTTTAATTTCATAAAAAAATTACTTACATAAGGGCTTGTCAAAAGTTTGCGTGATTATAGGGCTATCTTTGTAACAAAAATGCAGGGTGACCATTCCAACAATACCAATGGTAGATAATACATGTGATGCGACGATTTCAGGATAATTAACCCACCAATCTTTCCATAACTTTTTCATTGTCTGTCCTGTAAAAAGGAGAGTTTTACATGTGAAAAAAAATTCCTAAAAATTTTGGTACATTACAAATTTAAAAAATAAATCGTGCGACAAAAAAAATGTACTACATTGTTCATACATTCTTATTTAAATTAAGGAGATTATATAACATGTATTTCTTATTTTTCAGATATAAAACCTTAAAAATGTAATTTGAAAATTGTAGGATAGAAATTAATACCTGCTTTAATAGCTGACATTATATGCCCTTTGAAAAATTTAAATAAAAAGTAATAAAGAATTATCAGTTTATATGTTAATTTTTCTTTTTATCTCTCCAATATTTTTTACTTAAATGACAAAACACTGAAAATTAAAAAATCAGAACAAGTGTTTTTATAATACAACTTTAAAAAAAAAATTTGGTCTTGTGTGTGAATTATAAAATTTTCTAGTCTTTGATATATTGATTTGTGAAGAAGGGAAACTTAAAATACATGTTTCATTGTATGAAAATAATTTAAAGGTGTGTTCACATAATTGTGTTTTTGACGTTGTACTCTCACGTAAAGCCAACGCAGAATGAATATGGAACACACCGACTTATTAGGCTGAAGTCCCATGGCAGCGTTTTGCGTTGCGTTTTGTAACTAGGCAATGAGTGTGAGAGAGATACAGATATATGTTTACTCTATTTGCACTCATGGCCTAGTTACAAAACGCAACGCAAAACGCTACCATGGGACTCCAGCCTTAAGGCCTTTCTCCAATGGGTTCCTAAAACTTTGCGTTGCGTCGGTTGCTATGGCAACATATGCTAAAATCAACGCAACGCATGCACTGTAAAAAAATCTGGTGTAAATTTACTATGTCCGACGTGGTATTTTTACACGCCGACTGTAATCTACATAACCTGCAAATATTTTTTGAAATAATATTTTCAATCCTAACTTTTTGTATTTATGAAATATAGCCCAAAACTTTTTGTAATATTATTATTTACTTATAAATTAGCATATAATTTCTATAAATGTACATTATATAAACTTTTTTAGAGTTATTTATAAAAACTTGAAAATTTTTTGAAAATTTTAAAGGAATAAGAAAATTACATTCGCCATGTAATTGTACAGATCGTGCGACGTAATATTACGTCAAAGTGTAGAAATACACGCAATGTAAAAATACCACGTCGGACATAGTGATCAAATTTTCCTACGTCGGACGTAGTAAATTTACACAAAACTATTAAATTATATAGTCGTATAATGTAAAATTATTAAAAATAGTAAAACTACTTTTGAAACGAAATAAATTTAATACGTACAACCTATAATTTTGATGTGTGAAATTACAAGTTTCGTGTTATTTTACACCAGATTTTTTTACAGTGCAGTCATTCGCAGTCATTCGCACACTTTTCAAAACCTATTGGAGAAAGGCCTTTATGTACTTAAGCCTCATTCCTGCGTTTATTGGTTTGCTCTGCGCTTTTACCCTATAGGAAAAAATTATTATTCGTTTCAATTAAATCTTGTAAATAAACAAGAAATAAGAATTATTGTATTAGTTTAATAATATAATTTTGGTGAGTTTTTACAAAATCATTACTTCTTTAAATCACATTGTTTATAGAATATTATTATTATAACTTAAAAAATATATGTAAAATTTTTTCTAACCTTAATATCAACTCCATTTTTCCCATGCATGCTTTAATTCAAAATGGCGTTTTTACTGAAATAATGTGTTGTATTTTAATTATTTTATTCTTTGATGAAAGTGTAGTAAGGTTTGTCAAGTTTTTGAATTAATTGTGTCATGAGTAGATTACATAACGCAACAAAAGTTTTTAATGTTATATACTTGAATTATTTGCTGGAATTAAGGAAAATTCAATAATAATGAAAGAAATAGCATTAGCTATTTTTTACATAATTTCGAGCATTATTATCGTTTGTGGTCTTATATTCACTGGTAAGAATTAAGCACTTTTATATCTTTAAAATAAATAAATTATTAAAGAAAATTCTTCATATCTTCATGTCTTTATGTCGTCACTACTGTCATAATATATGGATTAGTTACTAAAGATAAAATTAAACATCTTTGCCCCATTTTTTTACAATGACAAAGTGTAAAATTAATGTAATTTTTACCATGTTATCAGAAAATTTTCGCGTTTATAAATTCACATTGTCGACAAATGAGAATTTTTTATCATCTGTCTTTGACATTCCTTTAATCATCAACAACACATCAGACATTTTTACCCAGGGTTATCAAGTTTAATAATATTATAGTAAATATAATTATTATGAAACAAAAATTAGTAAGATTAAGAATTTCAACTTTTTTGTAGGATGGTTCATGGTCTGGTGGTTCTTTCTATCCAGATTTCGTTTTGTGCGTGAGCTTCTTGGTGGAATGAGCGAATCTTCAACGGTCAACGATTTAAAAAACGGTCGATCTCGCATCAAGAAAGTTCGACGTGACTAGAAAGTTGATTTATATTGTTCCTTGAAAATCTTTTAAAAACATGTCTATACAGATACGATGTGCTAATACTAATGACCTTTTGAATATACAACACTGCAATTTGCAATGTTTACCAGAAAATTATCAAATGAAATACTACTTGTACCATGCCTTGTCTTGGCCACAATTAAGTTATGTTGCTGAAGACGAGAAAGGAAGAATTGTTGGCTATGTGCTTGCTAAAATGGAGGAGGACTGTGAAGATAATCCACATGGGCATATTACGAGTTTAGCCGTGAAACGATCTCACCGAAGACTTGGTATCGCTCAAAAACTCATGAATCAAGCATCAAGAGCAATGGTCGAATGTTTTGGAGCAAAATACGTTTCTCTTCATGTTCGCAGAAGTAATCGAGCTGCACTAAATTTGTATACAAGCAGTTTGCAATTTGAAGTGTCCGAAGTAGAACCAAAATATTATGCAGATGGGGAAGATGCTTACGCTATGAAAAGAGACCTTACTAGCTTCCACCAAAAAAAGAATAGTAAAGAAAAAATGATTAAAGAGGGTAATTTGCACTCTGGTCGGTGCAGCAGCAGTGATTATCAAGAAAAATGTTACAAAGATAAAGCTATTAATAAAGAAGGTAACTCACATTCTGGACGATGCTGTGACCATTCATAATTGATTAAAGTTTAAAAAAAGTACTCTTTAAAGAAATACGAAAATAATTAAAAAATACAAACTTTGTAATATTACCATATCTCTGTTTATAAAATTGCTAAATCATTTCCGTCATCTAAATACAAGCGATTTGTATAATTTATATCCCTGTGAAAGGTTTATTAAAATAAATATGTACCTTTTTTAGTTTGTGTGTTTAAACGAAAATTTAAAAAATTCCAATAAACTAATTCTTTTTAAAAAAGTAAATATAAACTGATAAAATAATTCATTTTGTTTTTTTTTTTTTTTGAAAACCTAATGCTTTCCTTTTATTCTAAAAGTATCGTTTAAATTTAATTATACTAGCATTAAGAATTAATTTCTAATAATGCAAAATAAAAAGAAATTGGTATTATTCCAATGCGGAATAAACTTTGAAGCTAATGTCTAAATTTTCTTATAATATTTGCATGACTATATGACACACATATAATTAAAGATGAAATTTTTTACTTTTTTTTTAACCCCTTAACTGTTTGAGGAAAATTCAACATGATTGTCCCAAAATGCCCAGCGGAATTTGATACTTTATCAAATAGTATAATATAGATATTTAAATTATAACTAATTATTCAATTATTTTCTAAAATATCATTAATGACCCTTATAATTTCTTATAATATTGATATAAAGAAAAATATCTATCAATTTATATACAAATTATATTTATTTTGAGTGATAGTGAACACGACCCACGGGTGGGTCGGAAACAGTTATGGCCATACTTTTTCACGACCCACCCGAGGGTCGGAAACAGGCAACGGGTTAGAATCATTTAAAAAATTTTTACTTTATTTAAATGTGCGAATTCTTAAAAATAAAATATATAGATACAAATCGTGAATTGAAATGTAGAATTTTACAAATATTTAAAAGATTATTTTCTTTATAAAAATGGATTAATATTTAATATTAAAATAAAAAATTGTTGGTTAAACTGTACGCATTCTTGTAATAAAATTAACGTTATCTGAGAACTTGAGATTAAATATTATGATTGTTTTTAGTAATGTTTACAATTTTTAAGGTTGCTGGGCTGCATGAATCAAAATAAGCTTCAAATCTTTAGCCATATGAGAAACGTCTACAACACTGTCAACCATTTCTTGAACTGCTGTAACACTCGGAAAATATTGTGCAGCTTGTTTAATTTTAGTGACTGTTTGTGCAAGTACATCATTTAGAGTGTTGGAGCTTTGAAGAATTCGTGTTTTAAAATCATTTCGCAGTACATTTCGATGAACAGTATCGCCAATATGAACTAATCTGTGTGCACTGAGAACAACAAATTTTCCATGAGCTAGAAATACCTATAAAAATATATTCTTTTTATATTATATTCGTATATAAAACTTTTAACGGGTTATTTATTTTTTACACTTGAAAAGAAGAATACCTTAGGAGGTTGGTTGTGTTCAACTGTTTGCAAAAAAGCATCAATTGCATGAGTAAGATGTGATCCATGTGTTATTGCTTGCGCAGCATAAAATGATAAAACCTGCTTATCATTAGGATCCATAGGCGATAATAAGACATGTTGAATAGCAGCTTGGTCTGCCTCTGCTACAACAAGATCATAATTTTTTCCAAGTTCTTGAGGTAACATTTCTCTCAATTCTTCTCTTTGCTTCACAACTGCATCTCGTGAGTCCAAATTAACATAATCATAATCTTCAGTGGAAACATTTTTGAAAACTAATTGTTTTTTAAATAATAATGTTGAATTACCCTAAAAAAAAGTTTGATGCGTAATTGATTCTTATTACAATTTTGATCAATCAATGGAAATAATTATACACGCATTTACCTGAATAAAACTGGCAACTTGACGAACATCTTCTGTTAAAACTCGAGCGCAAGCAATTAGTTGGTCTAATGGATCAGCTGGCCAATTGATGAGCGCTGAACAGTTTGTTTCATTTTCTTCACGACAAAGTTGAGTAGTATTCCATTTTATAATGTCTAATTCTGAAAAAGCTTTTTCAATGAGTTTATCAGTATCACGTAATGCTTTAACCAATGGTCGTAATTTCATTGACAATCCCTTGTCAGACAATGCCTTTCCAGCAGCATTACTAAGAGTTCCTAAGAGAAATAATAATAATTTGAAGCAAATATCGGTTAATTACAACTCTTTCATTTGTTAAAAATATCAAAAAGTCTAATACTCTAAATCACAAACCTTCTGCAAATTCCGTTAAATCGTGCAACGAAGTTCGTAATCTTTGACAAGCCAATTTAATTTCCATTAAAGTCTTTTCTAATTTTTGTAACGTTCTCCAGCCAGGACTAACAAAACTTAACAATTTAGTGATAGCAGTAGATACTTCACTCTCAAGTTTTTGTAAATCCACTAAAGCAGGATCCAAGGGTAAATTAACTTTGTTTATCGGAATGTCATAAATTTGTTGTTGTTGATTATTTTGTGTAGATGTTAAAATTTTAGACGTTTGATATGAAGACATTGAAAAACGAGATCGCGGTACGTCATAGTCTGCAGCAGTTATACTCGACCTGGTTTTAATAATTTCTGTTATTTGCCTGTATATTATTAGAATATAATGGATAAATAGGGAACCACCACCACCACCACCACCCACCTGTTTGATCCACTGAGAGATGAGCCATCATTTGTAAGACTGGAAGTAGAACTACTGGGTGTCAAAGCTTGTGAAGGTCGTGGAACATCATAACTATCGAGTGGCGTCACACAAGATTTGCTGCTAATTGTTGATTTTGGCACAGTATAACCTGTTGCGGGACTTTTTGTTGGCGTTGAAATTACAGGAATAGCTTTCGGGGGTGTATCGTAACAATCAATGTTATCAAAATCATCAACTGCTGTTGTTTTACGCATATTTGCTATTATTTGATCTAATAATTATATAAAATGTATTAGAAATTAATAGTTTAACAATTGCTTTAAAATATTTCTATTTTTATACCTATAGTATCGTTGCTTTCATTTAAATAAAAATCGTTTGAAGATGAAACGACACTGCATCTACTTGTTGGAAGATCATAAAGAAAAATATCTCCATATTTTTGTGGTGTTATTACCTAAAAAAAATAAGCATATAATGAAAAAAATAGTTCAAGTTGACGTAAACGTGTTAATGGTGTAAATTAATAAATTTTACTTTATTTGATTGAACATGCCAACTGCGTCGCTTATCTTGTTTTTGTGAGTCATCTAAAGAAGTGCCAAATAACCCTTCGTTATTATCGTATTGGCCTGGAAGAAGTCGTAATCTATTTCCTGGACATATTCCCTGTGAAATTGAAATTATTTACTTCAATTTTATCATTTTGGGCCCATTTTATGAAAATTATTAAAAAAGGTATTACAAAATCAATAATTTTACAATTTAGGTAATTACTAGAGATAAAAATTTTTCTTACTTGTCTACCTCGTAAAGTGCAAAGCCACCACCCCTCCAAACTGGCAGTGTTTTGTTCTAAAACAGTAAGTACATCACCTTTTCGAAATGCCAGTTCGTCAGGAGCTTCAGCAATGTTATCAAAGAGAGCACGAGCCTTAACGCATTTTTGCTTAAAATACAAAATAGTACCTTTCAATTTCCATGTTTTAATCTTTATATCATTATTTCTAAATGTAGAATTACACACATCACTCATTGATACCTAATAGTTGGTTATTAATTTGAAAGTTATAATTTATTCTATTGTATGAAACAATATTTTCTCCATTTTCATATAAGGTATCATATTAAAAAATTCTTGTATATAAAAAAAAGTGTCCTACTTACTTATTAATTATTATTTTATTAAACTCTACTCGTGTGAGACAACAACTGAATTTAAAGAGAAATCAATTATTTTCAACTTTTTAATTTTATTTATAAAAATAGATTAACATCTATTTCTATTTAAGAATGCAATTTACCGAATTTACAGCTGGAATAATCAGATTCATCTGGATGCTTAGGACTTGTCAGTCAAATGCACATTGTCTATGCATTTGATCAAATTTTATATTTGATAAATATTCTCAAATATCTCTTGCTTTTTACACGTATATTGTTAAAAATACAAAAAAACATGTGAAAATTAAAAATTAAATAATTTATATTTAATTCCAGAAATAAAATCAAGTAGTATTATTTTGTTGTCAATTTTTTCCAGCAAATGTTCAGTTTAAACATCACTATACATGTCTTTAATTGAATTTTATTATCAGGGTAAAGTCACATGAAGGCAAAGCACAATAATCGAATAGGGGAATGAGATAGAGATAAGGACAGAGAGTGTAGTCCCATCATATGATGTTGAACAGAAAGCAGAAAATCACAAGTGCAAGAGAGATAAGCTTATCAGAATGTCTCTCTCTCTCTTTCTCTCTCTCTCTCTCTCTCATGAATAAGGTAGTTCAAGTTGGGTGGGGGAAATCCAATATGGCTGACATCAGCTGATTTACCGGAGGACAAACAATGCATTGAATTCAATGGGACAAATCAGTTTTTTAACCATAACTTTTTAAATATTCATTTTTGAACCATAGTGTAATGGAAAATTATTCTTTATTTATCGAAATCTATTTTTTAAAACAATAAAATTTAATTTTTTGGTTTTATTGTTTTAAAAAATAGATTTCGATAAATAAAGAATAATTTTCCATTACACTATGGTTCAAAAATGAATATTTAAAAAGTTATGGTTAAAAAACTGATTTGTCCCATTGAATTCAATGCATTGTTTGTCCTCCGGTAAATCAGCTGATGGCAGCCATATTGGATTTCCCCCACCCAACTTGAACTACCTTATTGGGGCAAAATGATTTGATGCGCAGTAGCCATAAAATATTACATCGTCTCCCGTCTTGAAAATCGCATCTTTTGAAAACGATTTGATTTAACCTATTGTGAAAGCAGCCTTATGTTTTTCAGCTTCTTAAATCAAATTGTGAATTTCGCCTTAGCTTAAGGGTGCGATCGCACGTGAGATGTGAGCAGAATACGTCGACCGAAAACAAAAAATCACACGAGTGCAAAAGAGATAGGTAGATATTGTTGTTCTTTTCACTCTCATGATATTCTGCTCACATGGGATCGATCCCAAAGTTTTGAGAGGAGAGAGAGAGGCCATAATATAATAAACCTGTTATAAAAAAGTTTGTGTGTTACGGGATTAACTTTTGTTATATTATTAATATTTTGACAAATTACAATTTCATTAAAAAATAAAATTATAATAATAGTATAATCTTTTTAGTCTTATATCTCTTTATATATGATTTTACAATATGATTAACAGCCTTTTCATTATAAATTTATCTGGGTAAGAAAAAGAATTGTAATTTTAATATTACAAAGTGAATACTTGGTGAAAACTTGTTTTTATTTGCTCAGAGATGTTTTTATGGAGAAGCATTGGAAGAGTGCTGTTGCACGCTCATTATGTGACTATTTTTTTGATCAACAACGTAGAGTCTTAACACCAGAAGATACACCACCTGTAATTGCAACTCCTCATCATTATTTGATTAGTATTTATCGGTGCAATATGTTTTTTGTAGCTGTATGTATGACTGAAGGTAAATATAATTTTTTATGACAGTAATAAAGTAAAAAAAAAATGTTTAATTTTAAATAAATTTATGACTTTTCAGTGCCTCCATTGTTTGTAATTGAATTTCTGCACAGAGTGGTAGATACCTTTGAAGATTATTTTAATGAGTGCACAGAAACGATAATTAAAGAAAATAATGTCGTTGTTTATGAATTATTGGATGAAATGTTAGACAATGGTTTTCCTTTAGCTACAGAGTCTAATATTTTAAAAGAACTGATTAAACCACCAAACATTTTACGAACAATTGCAAATACAGTGACAGGAAAATCAAAGTATTTATGTATATTGATTATCTGCGAGATATCACAGGCATTTATTATTCAACATTTTTAATAATTTTTATTTTTTAGCGTAAGCGCTATCTTACCAAGTGGACAATTGTCTAATGTGCCATGGCGAAGGACTGGAGTTAAATACACAAATAATGAAGCATACTTTGATGTTGTAGAAGAAGTTGACGCTATAATTGACAGGAATGGTGCAACAGTCTTTGCAGAAATACAAGGCTATGTAGATAATTATTTTTTGCTTATTACACTCGAAATATAAATATTTTTGCTATTAAGAAATGTACTCAAGTTTTAACAATTACATCTGAATATATGTATAAGAAATTTAATCCAGTTTGAATTAAAAAGTTTCAGCCTTATGCTACAATTATTTTTGTGTTGACAGATTGATTGTTGCATTAAACTTAGTGGAATGCCAGATTTGACCTTATCATTTGTTAATCCAAGGTTATTTGATGATGTGAGCTTCCATCCGTGTGTTCGTTTTAAAAGATGGGAGGTAAGATTAAGTATATAAAACATTTTCCTTTAATGAAAATGACTAAAAAGATAATTATTTTCAAATAGAATTGTATATAATTTTCAATTAAACCCAACATATTTTTTTTAAATTTCACTATTAAAATCAGTTGATGAAAACAATTTTTTATTTCATCTATAACTTTTTGTATAATAGCTTATTTATTATTTAAAGGAATTACAATAATTATGATAGACAACATTTTTTCAATTGAAATTTATTTAAATTTTCTTGTTATAGTCTGAAAGGATTTTGTCATTTGTCCCACCTGACGGAAATTTTCGACTCTTATCATATCATATAGGATCACAAAGTATTGTTGCGATACCTATTTATGTGAAACATAATATTAATCTCAAAGAGTCTGGAGGTGGAAGATTGGATATAACAGTTGGACCAAAACAAACTGTAGGAAGAATTGTGAGTTTATTTATCTATTTATAAGCATATGCTTATTATCATATTTTTTGAGAAAGTCAACATTTTTGTTAAATAAATTTTGATAAACTTATTTGATAAGGCTCTTTCTATTGATAAAAAGTAATATGTACTATGTATAAATAATTGTTACGTCCTTCTACTATTTCAGGTTGAAAATGTGAGTCTTGAAATTCCTATGCCAAAGATTGTTTTAAATTGTAGCCTGGTACCAAACCAAGGAAAATATTCTTTTGATCCTGTTAGTAAAATACTATTTTGGGATATTGGTAGGATAGATGTGTCTAAATTACCAAATCTTAGAGGATCGGTAAAATATTATTTTTTAGTAATTTTTTTTAAATACATAGATATAAAATTATTCTTGAACAAGTTTAAAATAATTTCTATTGCAGATTACTATTCAAAATTCATCTTCAAATGCAGAATCTAATCCTGCTATTAATGTAAGAATGATTTTTTATCATAATTTATCAATTTTATTTTCAATTTACATATAATATATATATATATATATATATTTATAATATTGAATTATTAATTAAAGTGTTAAATTTTTTGCGCACATTTGTCAACACTTTTCATCAACATATTCAAATTTTTTAGGTACATTTTACTATCAATCAATTAACTGTTTCTGGACTAAAAGTAAACAGATTAGATATGTATGGAGAAAAGTACAAACCATTTAAAGGGGTAAAATATATTACAAAAGCTGGAAGATTTCAAATTCGAATGTAAGATTAAAAATAATGTTTACACTTTACGTCTTAATATTGTCAATAATGAAATAAAAAAATGTTATATTATTAATTAATATTTTTTATTAGCAAACAAGTTTTGTTTTTTTTTCGATATTATTATAATTATAAATAGCATAATTATTTACATTATTGTGCATGTATAAATTGGTGAAATTAAAGAAAATATGAATTTCTATGCAAAGTACATATAGTTGAAAAATGTCATCTTTTTAAGAAACAATTTGATTTACAATTATTTATTTAAATTAATATTTTAACATTCTCATAAATATATGAAATGCAATCAAGTTTTACAACTACGACGGAGTAATTTCCGTGATTCCAAGTCTTCCCATGTAGAATGTGTATTGAAAGTAAAGAGGCGTTCAACGTTTGTGGCATACAATGTGTGATTGTTGACAAGATTTTTATACACCTAAAATAAAATCTACGTGTTTAAAGACATCCATTTTTGTTTTTCTTTTAATTTATATATATAATAATAAATATATTTTGAATTTAAATACTTGCGCGCATACCTTTAAAATTGTTTGCAAGTCCGCTATAGAAACTGAAGGTGGAGAAGGAAGCACAGTTTGCGTGGCACAGGCTAAGGAAAGAGCTACGGCTTGTTCTGCTTCTTCTAAATTAGGTTTTACTGATGGTATTTGACCCTCTGTCTCACTGAGAGTCGGTGGTGGTATACTACAAAACAATACAATGACCAATAACTTTAAATTAAAATTTTTAGATTTTAAAATTGAAAATTTTCTTCCTTTAAAATTCTTTTCTCAGACCGATTGTCATAATTAATTGCAATTTTTATCACTCACCAACTTTGATGAGCGAAAGTAGAATTTCTCTTCCATGAACTTGGTACAGGTTCACCTATATTGTAAATAAAAGTTTTGTCGCGTACTGAGAAACCCTTCTTTTTAGTGATAATTGCAGTAATGATGTTTTTTAAAAAAATATGAGTTGCAGCAATAATTATATGAGCTGTACTTTCTTCAGCTCCATCCATATTGTTTTCCCATGCTGCTAACATTAATCTGGCCAAAACAAAAGTTCTATCTGGAAGTATTAGTTCTTGAGCACTTGAACGATTTGCACCTATAGGCTCGTCTCCGACTGGTGACGATGTTTGACTCAAAACTTCAACATACATATCTGCCGGCTGCAAAACATAAGAAAAACAAATATTTTATTTATTTATTTTTATAGTGAGAATGTGACCATTTTAAATAAAAATATTATTTCAAACAAAAATAAAATTCTTACCTCGAAATTAGATTTGTCGGTTTTATATTTGCGTTTTAAACGTAATTTTTTCTCTTTCTGATTTTGTAAAGCACAATAATTATTGTTAATTTTTGTAGGTCGAATCGTTGTTGACGTAGCAAGACCTTGCACTTTATTAAATAAACATAAAAGAAATTCATTGTGTAGATGAACTTGATCTTCCGACATTATATTACGAGCTTCAAAATCAAACTCTTCCTTTGTTGTCTGTAACACATTTATATTTGTTTATTATTATTATAAGCTTCTGTGTTGATTTTCCTAAAATCCTATAAATTCACAACGAACTCAATTTTCTTTTATTTAATTGTTTATGGTGTCGCTTAGGTACAATCTTTTAAATTTTTTAAAATGGTTTTATGAATTTTTTATTAAAAATTTATCTGATATGTATAATAATAATAATAATAATAATTTCTTCTTAAAATTGTCACTTGTGGCGTTAAAAATATGGTGCTTATTTTTATTGTTAAACCTATTATTTATAAATTCACTCTTAAATATTTTGATTGAATCTACTCTACCTTCATTTGGAACCATAGTTTCATCTTTTCGAAATACCTGAAAATAATAATCAAGAATTTTATTATATTTAAATAAATTTATTATTTTATAAGAATCGATATTTTGCTATTGAATAAAATTTGTTTAATACATATTAAATATGTAAAAAACATTTACATACCTAACATTATTTTTAATATACATTCAAATAGAAATGTGTAGGTACTTTTTAAAAGAAACTTTATTATTTAAAACTATTTTTTTATTTATTTTTGAGCAATGTATTAAAATATTTATGAAGCTTAATCTATTTTAGTATTTTCTTTCAATTGAATTTCTTTCTATTCAATAAAATTGATAGGTCACATACATAAATAAATAATCTCTAAATTCAAATTAAAGAGCTGCTACCTACAAAGAAATAGGAGTGTTTCTAACTTACACCTTAGCATTTTCACCCAAGGATATGATAAGACTTTTGCGAGCCATGTTTAATTCTTTTGAAGTCGTCATTTTTTAAAATTTTCAATATTTTGATCTACCTTTAAGACAGAATTCTTGTTTTTTAAAAAAATGTGACTTGTGAAATAAACACAAATATTGTAGTCCATCATATACTATACCATACTTATAGAGCTGTAGCTATTCACGAGAAAACTAGAGCTTATGTCGAGTTCACAACTCTCTCAACCAAAAGACCTAAGCAAAACCGCTTCGCAAACATTAGACAAGGACAGAGATATCTTTGTGTGATTTCCAATCTCATGCATCTCGTTCGCAAACGACTTTCGCGAATCTATTGTGCGTTGGCCTTTAGCATTTGTGTGGTTACCATAGCAACCAATACCCAACGCATGCATCAGATAATATTGGAGAAAGGCCTTTACATAAAAATATTCTTAGCCTATACACAGTTACAGTCCAACTGAACGTTTTGTTATTCTATGTTTAGAGAATGATATAGATTGCTGCAGTTTATGTATTTTTTATCTTAAAAAAAAAAAAAAAAATAATATTTTACATTATAATAATACAATATTATAAATTATTATTACAATTATTATATACGGAACTCAAGGATTTTTCATTAGGTATTTTATTATTATAGGTCCTTATTTATTTTTGTATTTTTAAATAAATTTTAATTATATCCAACAAGTTAATAATTTTAAAAATAAAATGTATGTTGTGTTTATTATTTTAGTAAAATGTCTGAAAAGAATCAACTTCTTGCTGAATCGGATGAGGACGATGAAGATTATTTACCAGAAGGACAAAGCAGTGCATCTGAAGAAGAATCTGATAAGGAGAGTGAAGTTGAAGATACGTTTATTCAGAGTAGTAAAAAAGTTGGAATTAAAAAACGTTCCAAAAAGTCAAAAGACACAATGTCTAAACGTTTAAAGAATCAAGAAACATCTCTTTCAGATGATAAATTGACTGTCTTTGAAAATGAAAAGCCTAATGATGATGCAGCACAAAAGAAAAGAGCTGATTCCTTGTGGGCTGATTTTTTGAAAGATTCAGGTACGTAAAATTTTGAATATGAATGAAAATTGTTCTTCTCAACAAAATATCTGCAAAGAAATATACCCAAGAACATAATAAAGTAACTTTAACTTATTTCTTTATATTTTAGCGAATTTAATATATAATTAGAATGGGAGTAATAAAAGGATGATATTTATTTTTAATTTACAGCACCATCTTCTAAACCAACATCTAAAATGACAAATAAAACGGAAGAATCTGATAAATGTTTATTAAAAACCAAAATTGATAATAGTGTTGTTACATCGACTATTTTTGCTGATGAAAAAATTGTTGTAGAAAATAAGGCAGCACATTCCACGAAAAGCAAACTTTCTAATTATGAAAATACAACAAATTTATCTGCGGTTATTAAAAACAAGGATCGAGGGATTCGAAAGATTGGTGGTGGTGGTGGTGGTGGTGGCATATCCTCTGTCTTGGGTCGCCTTGAGAAAAAGACGAAAATTAACACGTTAGAAAAGTCTAAAATGGATTGGGACAATTTTAAGAAACAAGAGGACATAGAAGAAGAAATAAATTCTCACAATAGAGGAAAAGACGGTTATTTAGAAAAACAAGATTTTCTCCAGAGAGCCGACTTTCGCCAATTTGAAATTGAAAAACAATTGAGAAATTCTTCACGACGTAATAATAATCGATAATTGTTGTGCAGATTATTTTTTTACATATATAATCGAATTGAATAATGATGATATAACATAATACTAAAAATTAAATATATTTTTAAAATTAAAATATATCATTCTGGATTACTTGAAAGATGAAAGTTATTCTTATTTGAATAACTCAATTGATTATGTTAAATTTATAATTTGACAAATGCTACAGTTTAGAAATACATGTGCAGTAAGAAATGATGGTGTAAACATTTAATGAATTTTTTTTACTTGTAAATAAAAAATACATTTTTTTCATTATTAAATATATTTTTGCTCCTGAACCTTAAAGTATTATTACCATTTATTTTTTTTACTAAACATTATAGTTAAAAAATTACAAGCTCGGGAGAAATTACAAAATATTAATCTAATATAAAAATAAGTGGATATAAGAAAACAATATACTTTTAAATGTTTCTTATTTAATTTAATTTTAAATTTTAGGGAAAATTCAAAGTTTGAGATATTTCTGAATTATTCTATTTTCTAAGAGGATTTTGTTCAGAAGCCATTTAAAAAAGATTATAATTGAAAATAGTAGATTAAAATGGTTCATATTTTATTTGCGAAACACAAATCTCAAAACTATCTTTCAAGAAGAACATACATATGAGGCATTCCATTACAAAACGACCCCCTTCGTAAACAATTGCCAATGTAAGACTATTTTTAAATGAATATTTCTTCCATTCTGTAGAACCAAATTACTTTTTATATTAGTGATTTCGAAAGTAGAATTTCTGAACTTTCTGATAATAAAAAAATATATTTTTTTAATAATTTAATTTAAATAGAAAATTGAGTTTGAAAGTTAAACTTTGAAAAATCTCAAAACACGTTACCTCCGATTTTAATAAAATTCATATCAAACGAAAGCTTGAATATTCTTCTTTTTATTTATCAAACGATAATAATGGACATTTCAGTGGATTTTGAGAAAATAATTAAATTTCACAAACATTTCGAAGGTTATATATGAGAAAACCATTTCTTAAGTATAGGGCGGCATTTGTTTTTCCCAATTTATGCATAATAACCTTCGAAATGTTTGTGAAATTTAATTATTTTCTCAAAATCCACTCAAATGTCCATTATTATCGTTTGATAAATAAAAAGAAGAATATTCAAGCTTTCGTTTAATATGAATTTTATTAAAATCGGAGGTAACGTGTTTTGAGATTTTTCAAAGTTTAACTTTCAAACTCAATTTTCTATTTAAATTAAATTATTAAAAAAATATATTTTTTTATTATCAGAAAGTTCAGAAATTCTACTTTCGAAATCACTAATATAAAAAGTAATTTGGTTCTACAGAATGGAAGAAATATTCATTTAAAAATTGTCTTACACATTGGCAATTGTTTACGAAGGGGGTCGTTTTGAAATGGAATGCCTCATATATTAAATAAAAATAATTTTGTATTTTTTCAATATATATACATATTGTTCTAAATTTTAAAAAAAATTAAGATAGAATTTTACTGATACACTAAAGAAAAATTTATTTTATTCAAATAAACGATTATACTTGTTTATTATGTTTATATTTGAAAAGAATAAATTTTTTTCAGTGTAATATCTATAATTTTTAATTAAAAAAAAGTATTTAAAATTCAAATTGATGACAGTATTTTATAAATAATGTATAAATTCATATATATGTAAATCAATAAAAAGAAGACCAACAGACTGATATTTTAATCAAATACATTATTGTGAGTATTTGAAAGATTTTTGTTTAAAAGTATTTATAGTATATATTTATTTATTTTCAGAATTTAATAATCACGCAAAAACAATTTTGCACAGGAAAGCGCGCATAAGAACTATAGATATATATTTTTCTTATTTTAAAGAGAAACTTTAAACGAATATTTTTACTGTTAAAAATTAGATTGAAGCCTAATATGGTATTTTTTATTATATATATATACAATAAATTGACAATATTCCGGAAGTGACATTTATTATAAAAGACAATTTTTTCCATTGAATATTTCTCTTTTAGTAAATGTATATACTATATATATATGCTATAACTGCGTGGAACTTAATATGTTATTTTAGCTTTCATTTACAAGAAGGGTCCTTTCCTTCCTCTTTATTTTGTTTATTTTACTTTTCATATTCTATATCTTTTAATAGATATTTCCTGCATGAGTGCTTTTCTTGTGAGAGTATAAACTGTTTTTAAAACAAAAATGTATTACTATTGTCTTTAAATCAAATAAACTTTTTTCTTCAGTATTTATATAACTCGCAGGTAGCGGATACTAAAAAAATTATATACATGTATATTTAATTAATTATTTATTTACTAATTTAGTAGGATGATGCTTATTTCGTTAAACGTGGAATTGCGAATTAATAAATAACACTGTAGTGCACCAAATTTAATACATATGTATATTAGAGTGGAACCTCAATTATCCGAACTGTGTAATTCATTTATATCCAAATTTCTTGTTCGCATGTTAACAGAAACTTTAAATTTTTACATCTATTGCTACAAAAATCTCATAAAAATAAAGAAATTTTATTGATTAACCACTGCGATTATTAACGACGTAAATACCTAAACGAATAAGACATAAATAAATGTCATAATTTAACCCTAGAAGGAGTAACTGGAGTGTCTAATAGACACCCTACGCAATATTTAAAATACGTACGCCTCTAAATTAAAAAATGATTTTTTCGCTTTCAAATCTTAGCCATTATTTAAAATTTTTTCAAATTTATCAAAAAATGAATGAAACCATTGCTTTCCTTACTAAAAAATCAATCAAATTCACTACACGTAATTTTTTTTTACGTCAAATAGAAACCTTATAAAACAAGTTTAAAGCTTGGGGTGTCTGGACACCCCAGTTACTCCTTATAGAGGGTGAGTAAATTCAGTTACTCCTTCTAGGGTTAATAGTGCAAAACAATCATTTCTTCATAAATATAAACGAAAATAATTACAGTAGAACCTCGATTATCCGAGGTAATGTGGGGAAGAGGTGCCTCGGATAATCGAAAACTCGGATAACACGGAACAAATGAAAATTTCATTATTTTAAATTATTTTTCATGTGTTTAAAGTGTTAGAATAATATTAAACGACAAAAATGGACGAAATTTGAAATGCAATGATCACAAATAGTGGTTTTGTAAAATTTTTTTTCCAAATTTAGTCGCTCGATTCGTTTTATCCGAGTTATTCCGCATTATCCGATCATGTTTAGTGCCTCGGATAATCCGGAATCTCGGATAATCGAGGCTCGGATAACCGAGGTTCTACTGTATGCAATTTCTATATTATATTTATATTCGAACCAGTATAGGATAATCAAGGTTCCGTACTGTATTATTATATATATAATATTGTACAATAATTTTAATGCGGAAAATGAGAAATTCCAACTTTTAAGAAATGTGGACCATCCTATAAGCTATACATATATATATAAACTTTTTTTAAAAATAATTTAACATGAAGATATGTAATTATAATTTATTGACTTTCATTTTTTCCGCGAAATTTGTAGTATCGTTCTAAATTTAACGATTCTTAAGCAAACAATTGTTGCCCGAAATAGAAACTTCCTTTGTTGTAGAATCATTGTTGCTCAAAATTGGTAGACTGCCATTCTGAACAACAAAAGGCCAAGACTGAAACGTTAGTTAAAAATTTTAGTGTACATAATTTTAAAAAACAAATGCACTTTTTGTTTCAAAATTCATTGAATTTTTATAATAATTAAAGGAATTTTTTCCATAAACTTTTTAAAATAATAGCCTTATAGTATATATAGCACATATCAGAGTTTTGCCGTACAAGTCAGGAAATTCAGAGATTTTTATTACATTACATTACATTACATTTTTTATATAATGTATTTATTTAATTATCAAAAATAATGGATTTATAAAAGAATTTTATATGTTAAAAGCACAAAAAATATTTCAAACATTTTCCTCAATATTCATTCATTTTCAATATCTATCTACTAATAATTTGAATCAAATTTCCCAAAAGAATGCAATTATTTAAAGAAAATTTTAATAAAATTCTACGCAAACATTTAATTATATCCATAAATAATAAAAATTTCACATGAATTCAATTATTTACAAATTTTTTATAAATTTCTTCGCAACAATTCAATTATTTTCATAAATAACAAAAATTCTTTTTAGGAATTCAATTATGTTCATATAAATAATAAAACTCATCATTGCAGAATTCCAATTATTTTTAATACCTTTTTTAATCGAATTCTGCGAGAAATGTATAATTATTCTCTTCAAAATTTTATTAAAATTCGTCGAAACAATTCAATCATTTAAAAATTTGTTGATAAATTTCTTTATAAGAATTAAATTTTAAGAAACATTCAATTATTTCATTCAATTAATTATTTATTTTTATATTTAAATTATTGAATTCTCGTAGAATTTTCTATATTGACTTAAAACTAAATTTCAGTTAAAATTTTAGATGATAATAATTGAATAATTAAAAATATTAATCATTTCCGAACACACTAAAAAAAAGTCTTATACTTTCAGCCTATTTTTGAGGCTGAATTTAAGGTGTAAACGGAGTCAGACTTTTTTTTTCCTGTGAATAATCGAAATTTTTTGTATAATTAAATTGTAAACAAATGGATTTGAAAATTCTCAAAAAACTTTTTTTTTTAAATTATTAAAAACTAATTGATTTAAAGAGAAATTCTATAGTTAAAAATTCGGGGAAATAATAATTGAATTAAAATGATGAAAATAATTTTGAACAAGTTACAGTAAGAATATCTTATAATATAAAATAATGATTTTATCATTATATATAAATATATAAGAGAGAAAAAATTCGAATTTTTTTTGGATGATGTTATTAATTTTTTTTGTTACTTTTAGTAGAGAATGCAACATTTGTACGCAACAGAGATAAAATTAAAAAAAAATTTCAAACATGTAAAAACGAACGAGTCATATATTTGATTTGAGCCACCTGGTTTAGAATAAACAGAGAGGCAAATTCTGTAACTCTCGGTATATATCTTAAGATTTAGATTGAATTCATCTGGAGCGAAACGTCTAATATTTTGCTTTTTATGTATAAATAACCATATATAAGCGAATGATGGTGTATAATGAAAGAATAATGTTATAATAGATATTAAATTATATAGCAGAAAATTTAGTTGCTTGCAAGCGAACAAAAATGTGAACATTATATTGAAAAAAATTAATTATCGTTAGAAATAAATTACAAATATTCAATATAATATTTGCATTATTAATATATAGATATAGCTTAATAAAAAAAAGCATTTTTACAAATACTCACCAAGGTCAAAGATACTGATTTTGAAATTTCAGAACTTGCTTCATTACATAAGATTGATCGAAGATGTGCAATGTAAGTTGATGCCAAACGAAGGGTGTCTAATTTACTAAGTTTTGTATCAGCTGGTACCCAAGGTAAAGTTGTTTTTAATCGGCAAAAAGCTTTACTTAATACTCTCATTCTAGCTCGTTCTCGTGCATTAGCAGCATTTCTTGGTGCTCGATTACTAAATCCTTCTTTATTATAATTTTCTTCAAATCCGTAATCATCTTCACTGATGAGAGATGGTACCTTCTTCTTCCGCGGCATTTTCTGTGTTCCATATAAGTGCGTTTTTAATTATATATACGTCATGTATATTCTTTTTCAAGTTTTCATTATAAAATTGAAATGTAATTAAGGTTTTTCCCCCAAAATTATGGTGTTTTTACCTGTCTTTTTCTATTAAAATAAATTAAATAGCAACATAATAAAGTTACTGTAAAATAATATCTATATGTTCAATGAACTTATTTCTTGTATTTTTTAAACATTCTATAGAATAAATGTACTGAAAATTAATTATTTAAAAATGTACGAAAGTTAAATCAACACGTGCAGGAGAAAACTTGAGAAAACTAAAGAAGAAATTAAAGTGAAATGAAAGAGTTTTGGTTTAAAGCGGGCGGAGCATTACTTCTCCCCTCTTTCATACTCTGTTCCTCCTTCATTTACTTACTGTCCAATCGTTTGTTTATTTTCGATAGCGATAGCAGTAATTCTTTAGTGAATCTCCTCCTACATTTAATATGGAGGAAACGAAAGTGAATTTCTAATAAACATATATTTCAATTTCAGAACATTAACAAATAATATTATAATTCTGTTATAAAAGAAAATTATAATTATTTATAATTATTTATAATTATAATTATAATTAGTAAAAGTTTTTACTAAATTTTTACTTGTTTTTATAAATATATATATATATATATATATATATATATATATATATATATATATATATATATATATATATATATATATATATATATATATATATATATATATATATATATATATAAATAACCGATGGCTGCGTTGTAAAATATATGACTCTTAAATTATTAAAGTTTTTTAATTATATTTGTGTCGAGTTATCCTCAATTATTGTATAAATTATATATTATATACCGTGATATGTATTACACTTTAAAAAAATGAAATATATTAACATAAAATATTCGCAGCTTGCCATATTATATACATATTATTAATTTAATAAATCAAAGACAAAAAAATTATTAAATAATTGTGGAAATTATAAACGAATAAATTGACGTTTATAACACCTACTCTTATTTGGGGATGGTGATAAGTCAATAATAAAATACATGAAAAACTAATCACAATTATTAGGTAAAAAATTTCTGATTTTTACAAATTACATAAAGTTCATACATTCAACCAGTAAACTGTTTGTACATATATATGCTATGGAATTAATTTAAAGCTACTTCAATTAATATATTTATCGCGTAAATGAAATTTTTTATTTTTACTTTTTTAAAAAAAGTAAACTACTTTCCTACTGTATAAGTTGCATATATTTATAATAAAATTATTGACTTTTATGCACGTTTCTTTCATAAAAATAAATTGTATAATGCTGATTTAAATTGAGTAGCTTTAAACTGGTTTTATTATCTATGTACATTTCTTCTTAAGAAATATTTACAATATTTTTATTATTTATATACACGTATTTTTATACATTTCTCTGTTGTGCAAAGTTCATTTTAACCATTTGAAACTATATATATATATATATATGTATGTAAAGACATGAAAAAAGACGTTTGCAAAAATTATATATATTTTTTTCAGACACATAAGCCATATTACACTTACTTTCACTTTTTAAATATTTAAAAAAAAGTCTATTATTTCTTTGCCTTATGTTAATGACAATAATCTCTATTATTAATAGTGTTTCGTTAAACACACTCATATACATATATATATGGAATATTTAATTTAACAAAGTGTTTAACGTGAAAATTAATTGAATTCAATTAGAATATTATAAATACTTTGTTAAATTAATTTCTCGAAAACACTTAAGAAATATTTATTACACTCTATTTTTTTTTGTCAAAGATTACTTAAATATTTTTATAAAAAGGCCTAGAATGAAATTATATAAAGAAGTAAATCTTTTACAAATAAGCTTTTATTTACTTCACTGCGAGTTTAAAAAGATCAAATGATTTCTATTATTAATTTATAAACTTTCTTTACAAATTTACTTAAAAATTTGAAATCAAATAACTGTATTAAGGGGGAGTGACACCTTTGACCCGAAAAAAAATCGAATTTTTTTTTTTTTGCTTAAACGATACTTTATAATGTGTAGAATAGAAATTATATCATTAGGGATGGTTTCGAAATTTTTTTGTGTGAAAAAAATCAAAATCTGCAAAAGGTTTCCAAGAGCGCTTCAAGTGCTTTCAAAACTTTAAACGCGTTTTTCTCGAAATGACGTTTTTAAAAACGGTGGGCAGTCTAGCCAGGAACAGTTTTGATCGGATTGACTTCGGACAAAGTTTTTTTTTATGGGCATTTACTAATGCTTTCGAGTACGTAACGGATTTTTTTTTGGTTTCTTTGTTTCTTTTTGGCAACAGATTTTTTGACAAATTTTCGTCTTAAAAATCGACTTTTTACTTCAAACAACTGCTAAATACACAAAAATTAATATTTCTAAAATATCCTACGTACTCGAAAGCTAAATATATCTCAGATTCAGAAAAACTTTGAATTTTTCATTTAGATTAAACGGTCTAACTGGAATCTTGCCCACCGATTTGCTCTGCAGAGAAAGAAGACCAACTTCGGCGCCCTCTATAGGCAACAAATTTAAACTTTTTTTACGTATAAATATATTTTTGTAAACTTAAAAAGTTAACAAATAAATCCCTCAAAACCAAATTTTGTTTACTTTATTCCCGTGTCTTAAAAAAATTCATGAAAAACAGGTTCAAAAGAGGCCTCAAAGGTGTCACTTCCCCTTAAATTAAAAAAATTCCAAGTTTCCATTCAAAGTTTTATATAATTAACCTGCAAAATTAAACATTTTTCTAATTTTGAACATATTATACGTATTATGTATAACATTTTCAAATGATAAATAAATGAACATGTACATATAGAAAATAGTGTATTGTGCATCTGGGGAGAAAAAGACTTGGAAATCATTTTCCTCCCGAGTTGCACATACTATTTTTTCCAACACACACACGCATACCGCACTTTCGATGCGCTGCGCTGTGTTCAAAAAAGATATATTTGTCTGATAGTCTAATATCTTATTTGTTTATTTATTTATTTATTTATTTGAGCAAAAAAACATTTTATTACTGTGTCAATTAAATTTTTGTATTTGAAACAATCAAGTTAGTAGGCTATGAGAAAAATATACTTTTATTTTACTAAAATAAATTTCACTTGATTAAAATCAATGCAAATTAAAATAGTTCGTCTGAATGTAAGGACAATGGTTAGAACTTGAGATTATAAACTTTAATTTATTATTTTTATAATAGTAATAATAATAATAATAATAATAATAATTATTATTATTATTATTATTATTAATATTATTAATAATATTACTGAAATAAGAAATTTGTACCAACTCTATATAGTATATGTTAGGGGCCGTTCAAAAAATACGTAACGCTTTAGGGGGGTGGGGGGGTCAAGCTATTTGTTACGGTCAGCAGAAAAAATGGCGCTAATGTATACAACATTGCGTTACATGGGGGAGGGGGGGGTCCAAATTTCCGAAAAATAGCGTTACGTATTTTTTGAACGCCCCCTTAAGTAGATCCAAAAACTTTTAAAAATATAATTTTTATGAAATTTTAATATGAAAAAATATATATATAAAAGCTATAAAACTTTGAATGATATTAAGAGCTCAAATCAAATCGAAAACAATAATCATAGAGCCTTTAAAAAGTATTATAGCACCCTTTTGTAAAATATATTTATACACCCAAAGCCGTTGTGTGGTCTATATTAGAAAATACCTAACAGAATTAAATTATTTTGAATCTTCTTAATAAAATACACATATTTGACAATTATATAAGAAAAATAGGGGAAAAATCATTTAAACAGTAATATTATACTAAAAAATATTGATAATAGCAAATAAATTAATATTTTTAATAAATAACCAATCATAGATACCAAGAAATAAATAATTTTAATACATATTCTTTTGTTAAATATGAAAAATATTTTCTTAAAGTTATATATTTATATATATTTTTCTAAATGGTTGTCTCATTGTCGTTTGTAAAAGAAACTTTGATAATAGAATGATACTGTGTTGATTAATTATAATTTATCTGCTGAAAAATAGTAAATTATAATCTCTATCAAAGATACATGCGTGTAGGTTAAAAGTTAGAATTAATTTTGGAAACAATCAAATTTGAGGTTTCATTATTATAGTTCTTGACTGTATTCATTAAAAATTTGAGTCATTTTAAAAATACAATAAAAATCTATTATTTATTTAAAAATAATATTTAATAGGAAATATGTACCTATATTATAAATATATAATAAATAATAGGAAATTATATTGCGCATATTTAAAATTTTTTTTAAATGTATTTGAATAAAATTTTGAGATCAAATAGTATGATGGTTTATAAGATGGGACATTTTTTTTAACCCTTAAAAGGTTCACTCTATATTTTTTACGTTTCTGAGAAAATTGCCTACAGATTAAAAAAAATGTACTAAATTTCATCAATTTGAATTGAATTATTAAGCTTTCAATATAAATCACCCAGTGTGTATCGAACGTAAGATTTTCAACGAGTGTGTGTGCTTTAAGGGTTAATATTAATTGCCAAATATATGTAATTAATTAGGCATAAATCAACAACTGCTTTGGATGAAATATATATATATATATATATATATATATATATCTCTTTTCAATATCGCAGCTTATGGAAATAAAAATTTTCAACATTTAAAATGGTGAGTGAATGAACTCTACTAATTTGCTAATACATTTATGCAATCATTTTGCATTATTAAATATTACGAACACTATTTATAGACATGTATTACTTCCTGATATTCTTTCATATAATTATTTTGTTTAACGAATAAACTAAAATATGTCGTATTACATATGCGATAACAAAACAATTGGAGCGCTTTGCTTGAATAACACGCTAATCAAAATCGATTAGCGCATTTCTTTTGCTCTTTCTTCCATTACAAAATGACATTTGAATAATAAAGCATTCTAAATCACTTAATGCCAACGTCCAGTATAATTTTTTCACATGACTATTTGTTTATAATAATATTTCAAAATTTAAAGTGCTCCGTTAACTTTTTTTATTAACATTTTAATATACTATATCTTCTAAATCAATTAGTTAATAATATTTTTAAAAGCGTTTGTCGGTATAAAATAAAAGAAGATTACTCATCAAATATGCAGCATGCTGTGCAATACTGTAAACAATTTGTGGTGTGTGGCACCAGGAATGTAAGAAAATAAAATATAATAATAATAATAATAATAATAATAATAATAATTAAGGTGTTGCTCTTGTTGTCGTCAAACAGTAATGCAAGAAATCAACTGTTGACACAGCTGACTGTATTGCACTTGGTCCCCGCTAATTCTACGCATTTTTATACCTTTGACTTCTCTCTCCTCCGATTCACATACCCTTAATTCAATTTGTACACCGCCAGGATATTCTAAACTGAATCCTCCACCTTCTATTTCTTCCCTTGAAAAAATGAAACCTTTAGGTGGCGCTCTAGCATCTATAATTTGTTTAACTCGACCTAATATTGTTTCTGAATTCAATCTACTAGATTCATCAGATAAAGTAACTTCTACTTCTGTTGGGATCGGAGAACTAAGAGGCCTGCCAATTCCTCGAGTGATGCTGGGTAGTGAAGGATCACAAAGCTCTGATATGATAAATCTAGGAAGAGGATTATATTCTGGTAATACGTCTTCTAAAGAATCAGGCGATGGAGAAGGTGATGGTGAGCACCCCACTAAAACTACTTGTCCTCCCAAGACATCTGTTACCGAAATTTGTGGTGGCACCTGTGAAAAATTTATATTTATCATAATTGAGTTGTTAATTAAATAATATTTTTTGTTTATCAACATGTTCAACGTGTTCTTCTATAGAGATTATTGTCAAGTTTAAATAGTCAAGACTTGAAGAAATAAAACTGCTTTTAATAAATTATTTTGGATTCTTTTTGTTTGCAATTAAAAGTAGTTACCCTTGGAAAATCCACAGGATGTTCTTCTTGAATCATGTCTAAAGCTGGACTGTTACTCGGGGAATAACTGACAGGAGTAGTTGCTGGAGATCGATGGTGTCGAAGTGGACTGAGATCCAAAGGCGTCGCTGGTGGTTGAGTTGGAGTACCATGAACAATACTACCTTGCACTGAAGTTGTAGTCAGTCCACTAAGCCCTAAACAATAGAATTGTATTGATTTATAGATGCAGTGTCTAATAATGATAATAATAATAATAATAATAATAATAATAATAAAAAGAAAAAATTAAATAACAATTTTACCTTGTGTGATTGCAGCAACACCTCTTTCATGGACAGGAGAACCAGGAATGCTAACGGGACTATGAGATGGAGAAGCTAGCCTTTGTAGTTGCTGATATTCTTGCTGAAGTGCCTGAATTCCTGGCCCAGGAGGTCCTGAACCTTCTGAAGCGCGTCTGACGGGTGAGTATCTTTCAGACGCTACGTGTGCAGTTGGTTCTTTGTAAGAATCCCTAGACCCTAATAAATCAAAAATTAACGTGAATTTATTATGCACAAACAATATTTTTTCTATTCCTATTTCTATTAAAAAAAGTGATAATTCTTAAAGATGTCAATGCGATTGAAATATGATCAAGATTTTCTTTTTAAATGTTTAACAGAATAATTAAATAAAAAAACATTATTTCTTACCACATGCTGATGCTCTTAATTAAAATAGTATCCTTGCAGAAATCATTTCTAAACGTCATTTGCCCCAATTGAATAAATTGTTTATTTTTAAATTTGTGAAAAATGAAAGAAAAAATGATATTGCGCGCGGATACCACCTTAAATAGTACACAAATACAATAAAATTACCAGTGATAGGATATAAAGAGGATTTCCTATGATGTGCTGACGTCCTAAGATGTGACGGCAGCAACCTTGATGGAAGATAAGCTCTATTCATCCTAGCTTCCACTTCCATTACGAGTTCCGGGTTTATAACTACATGCAAATTACCAGTGATCGAGGCGTAGGAGTGCAGTGGACATAATAAAATCATGCAAAATCAAATAACAAAACACTCAATAAATAAAAAAGTATTAAACAGACACTAGTATTACAAGAAAGTAATAATAATAATAATAATAATAATAATAATAATAATAATAATAATATGTATTTATTATCAATATATTTTCTGTATCATAGTCAATTCTGAAATAATATAATAAATAAATAAATTGTAATATTTTCTTACTGTGTCTATAGAGAAAGTAAGTATATATTTCAAGACAACTAACTAAAGCTGTGCAAACGAGAATTTTCTTTCTTTTCATATAGAAAAAAACTACACAGTAAAGTTTTTTTTTAGTAAAACCTATAGTGTCGGGAATTTTTATAATTTCCAAAGTAAACAATGTTTATGTGTATGAAGCAATAAACAACAACACTGAATGCATAAAATTCAACACTAAACATTTGAATTTATTTAAAAAAGTAAAATAACTACTCATAATTTTAGCAAACAACAAATTTAAAAGTTGATGAATATTTTCCAAGTTTCATTTGCTATACATATTTAAGATTTATTTCATTAATGTGCAAAGCTAATTATACGTGCTAATTGATAATCCTGGCAGTTGGAAATTTTCTCGCACTTTTTCTAATAAACTACTGTAGTGTATACAAAGTGTGAAAATTAATTTTGTTGACATGTTCTCTAAATCAACAACAATGAATGCACTGTTTTATTTTCATACTGATGGAATCAGTGTTATATTTATCTACACTTAAAGATTGGATAACTTAAATCATAAATCATAAATAATACTAAATATATCTATAATTAGATATAAAAAATGAATGACAGTTTGAAATTTTAAGAAAAAAGCAACAAATTAAGAAAAAAAAATAATATAATAGACTATAAATTTTATCTTCACACCAAAAGCAGAGGCAAAAACTAAAAGAGTAATGTGAATTTTATACCTGGCCTTTGCATAACTGCCGTTAAACCACTGCGCCTCCTTCTGTCATTTCCCCCTGACGTATTGTTTGCTCCATTATTTTCAGCACTACTTCCAACGTTCAACGATTGAGTACACTGTATATTAGTTGGACTGCCCGACTGTATGGATTAAATTAAGTTAGCACCGAAATTGTATTGTACAATTAATTTTTCAACCATAAAATTAAAGATTAAATTTTTTTTTTTAATTCGCAAAAATTTCTAATTCGCTACAGCTTTTAGATTATTTAGAGAAAAATTGAATAATTTTTTTCATCTCACTATTATTTTGAATATCGGCCATTTTCATAAAGTCGAACGAATGACAAACAACAATCCAAAGCAATAATAATATATGTTACTAAATTTTCTAATTTAGCCTTTTAAATTGTTGACAGATGTCGTGTTACTTATAAATAAATTATTATTATACACGGAGAGAATATATATATATATATATTAATATACACTTACTGGTTGCAAATGTTCTCTACTTCCAGGATGACTCCTTTCCTCTCTACTCCCGGAACCATATTGCTGTTGAAAAAAAACATGAAGGTTAGCACCCCCATCTGATGCCCTTCTTCCAAAACTGCTGGCTGCAAAATTATTTATTGTTATTAATTGTGTCGTATTTTTCCAGTTTATGCATGGACTATATAATTTGGAATTGTTATGTTTTTGTAAATATGTATAAACTTACTGGCTCCCATCACAGTAGGCGGTTTCAATAAATGCTGATCCTTTATTTGAAAGTTTTGAGGCGGTTGGTTTTGAACTAGAGGAAGATTGAGGGGGAGATTCGTGTGGGGTAATACATTATTGCATTGCAATATAGGAAGGAGTTGTGAAGGGGGAAAACCTGATGGACAATTAAAAGAATATAATGCAGGTGGTTGGTAAGATGTATCGCCTGGACCGACAGTATGTCTTCTTATAGCATGATCTGGCGCACACACAGGTAACTGAAGGTTGCTTCTTTCATCAGCTTCTGCTTCTGTTTCACCAAACTAAATTTAAAATCAATTAGTTAATAATAAATTGACACTGTAGAATATTAGCCTATTTTTAGTAATAATACCTTTTCTAATTGATGCGCGTCATCATCTGCATAATCTACAGGTATGCTCTGTATGGTAGGTAAGCTCGTTATAGCAGTTTCCAATCGATCTGCCAATAAATTGTATATTGCAGAAACATGATCGAAAGCATTTCCTTGTACCGATTGCAGTAAGGTATCAGCACTTAGACCAGGCAATCTCAGCATACTTTCAATGACTATCTGATTTATTTGAGGCGGAGAAATTTCAGGGCTAGATCTAAATAATAAATAAATAAAATCAAATTTATCAATTTTTAACATCTTGGGAAAAAATTCAATCATAACGTTCAAGTCAAACATAGAAATTTACCTTCCTGATTTTGATTCTTTTACATTATCGCCACACATCCAAGGATGCAGTAAAATTTGTGAGATACTTAAACGCCGTTCTGGTTCAACCACCAACATGTGCCTAATTAATTTTTCACAATCTGAAATTAAAAAATTATATTATATAAAGTCAGTTGATGAATGACACAACTCAAGTCTTTATTAATATTAAAAGATAGTATGTAATATCAAATAAACACTATTTTGAATGTCTATAGTGACAGTAAAAATAAATTTGAAAGCAACAAATACATAAATTAAATAATATTAATTGTTTACCAGCAGACATGAAGAATGGTATTCTAAATTTTCCAGCTATAACCACTGATCTTAGTAACTGCATAGTAGGTCCATCAAATGGCAAAGCTCCACAAACAAGTACATATAAAACAACTCCTAGGCTCTGCAATAAAAAACATTTTATCTTTATCAGTAAAAATTTTTTATTTAAAAATTACCTTTTAATAATTTGACATAATTAGTTGACAATTACTATGTATGTGTTGTAAATCAAGAAAGAAAAAGATGATTGATGTGAAATGCTTTTGCAAAAAGTGAAAAATGTTTGCTTACCCAAATATCTGCTCGTGGTCCATCATAATGTTTACCTTCAAATATTTCTGGTGCAGCATAAGGTGGTGACCCACACCACGTACTTAAAGGTATACCTGGTGTATATTCATTACTAAATCCAAAATCGGCTAATTTTATATTATTGTCTGCATCAAGTAGTAAATTCTCAGCCTGTTTATTATTAAAGAAAAACAAATATTGAATAAATGCACTTGATTTAGTGAAAATTTAAATGATTTACTGTCTCACCTTTAGATCTCGATGAACCACTCTTTGCTGGTGGAGATAACGCACTGCATAAACTATTTGACGAAACACTCGTCTTGCTTCTGGTTCGACCATTCTACCATTTCGAACCAAGTGATCAAATATTTCACCACCAGGTGCATACTCTGTGACTAAATAAATCATTTTTTCTGTTTCCATTACTTGATAGAGTCGGATAATATGAGGATGTCGTAACTTTTTCATTATATGAACTTCACGAAAAATTTTGGCTAAATTTTCTTCATTCAATTTGGTTTTATCTATTATTTTTATGGCAACCTGTAAAAAGTAATTTTTAAATCGTTTCTATAGTTTCAGGAATTTACATGAATTTTTTACTGGTTCAAAGCCTGAATTATCATAATTATGATTTGTATATAATGATGTGATACGTTTGAATAATAGCTCAAAGTAATTGTTTGCACAATTGTTAATATATTTTATATATGTAAATGGCTAATTATTCAATAAAAAAAGTAATGTATATTGAAAAATAATTGAAAAAGAAAATAAATAGCTTGTACTACAATTGTGACGTAAGGTAGATCATGTGTTTATTAATCAACAAATATCTTCTCAAGCATTCATTCGTTAGATTAAAAATTAAATGATTTGGAAAGAATGTAATAAAGCTTTTTTAAATAATGACACACATAAGGGATTGATTATGAAAAATTATAATTTAATCGATTACTGAGAAATTGGCTAAAAAAGTGAATATTGGAGAAAATAATATATATATATATATATATATATATATATATATATTACAATTATATATATGTATATATAAAGAACAAAAGTGTACAGCCAAAGAAAGAAATTTTTTATTCAAAGACATACCTTAGATTTTGTTACAACATGGGTCGCCATTTTAACAACAGCAAAATTTCCTTTACCGATTGTTTTTTCTAATTCGTAGTAACCGACTCGAATCAATTTATTAACAGGAAACTGGTGCAAAACATCATTTTGCGACACCGTCGCGGATGCCATGTTTTATCACTCAAGATGTTACCAATCATCTACTCCTAAATATTTATAAATCGTCTTTGTAAAAAACGACTGAGATCCCTTTTAGACATTCAGTGTTGGGAATGGTGAGTAGAAAATTCATCTAACCAAGGAACACTCAGTGTTGCCAGTAAGTCTCGAGCGTTCGGCGCCATCTGTCGAAAAAAAAATCGCCGACATGGGACGGCACCTTTAAGAAACTGTATATCTGTCTCTCTTACTTCAATGTAAAATTTCCGTTTGGACAATTTTTACAGAAGGTGTAAAGGAGCATTGAAGCTGCTTCTACAACAACTTTTCTTTCATCGACATGAGCGTGAAAACAATGCGCCCGCAACTATTTTGTATGGTTTTAACAGTGCATCTTGTTCGATGAAAAAAAAAATTGTTGTAGAAGCAGGCCGCAGTCCCATGGCAGCGTTTTGCGTTGCGTTGTAATAAGAGAGAATGCAGCAAACGTATATTTGCGTCTTTTTCTCTCCCATTACGACGCAACGCAAAACGCTGTCATGGGACTCCACCCAAACGCAGAGTTTTGGGATCCTATTGGAGAAAGGCCTTTAATAGCAACCGACACAGACGCAGAGTTTTAGGAACATATTGGAGAAAGGCCTTTAAATGCTCCCTATGTGAAAAAAATAAGTTGACATGGAATGCGAAAAGCGCCACGCGCCAAGCCGAAAAACTGTTGCCATTTCAAAAAAAAAAATCGCTAAGGCAGTGTTTACATGCTTGCGTTCGAACGCTGCGTTTTGCGTTGAATAATGAGATAGAGAAAGAAAGACATATACATCTGTCCTTTTTTACACTCACTGCTCAACGCAAAACGCAGCGTTTGAACGCAAGCATGTAAACACAGCCTAAGGCTGGAATCCCATGGTAGCGTTTTGCGTTGCGTTTTGTAACTAGGCCATGAGTGTGAGAGAGATGGAGATATATGTTTGCTATATTTGCACTCATGGCCTAGTTACAAAACGCAACGCAAAACGCTGCCATGGGACTTCAGCCTAATACTGGGAGCACTGTATACCGGAACCTCCGAAATGTAAAGGCCTGCGCAGAATAGATCTGTAACCGGAACCGCAATCGTAACCGTAGGCGTAAGAATGAGTTAGAGAAGGATAAACAATATACCTATCCTTCTTTAACTCATTCTTACGGTTACGCTTACGATTGCGGTTCCGATTACAGATCTATTCTGCGTTGGCCTTAAAACAGAGTAAACAATGATGCTCATTCCAATAGAATTGGCCTGATTTCTCGAAGCCACATTAACTACAATTTATTGTAGTAAGGGAGCATTTACACCTTCGGTAAAAATTTCCAGAACGGAAAGTTTTTCGTTGGAGTAAGAAAGACAGACTGTGTATCTGACTCTCTTACTCCAATGTAAATTTTCCGTTCTGGACAATTTTTTCAGAAGGTGTAAACGCTCCATAAAGAAGAAGAAGAAGATGATGCTCATTCCACACTTGCCAGTGCGGACCGACTAAAGGCCTTTCTTCAATAGGATTTTGGCATTGTTTCGTTAATCGTTACGTTTACGTTCCGTTCAAGAGTGCTGCTCTCTGTACACGTGTGTGAAGGTGCCTTTATGTACTTGACAAAGTCTATATACTGTCTATATTAAGGTTTAAAATTATTGGGAGCACTATCAATTTCATGACAGTATACTTAGTATATATATATTGATATATAATTTGATGTGTGTTAAGTTGTTATAAACAGAATACTTGAAAAACTCTTCTTAGTCAATAATGGAGAAATTATTTGTTGATAGTTACATGTGTGTTATTAGATGAGAGTTATAAACAACCACTATGTTTTTGCTAGTAGGCTTTCAGTAAATGCTTGTGTTTAGCTCTGATTTTTATTATGTTTTAAAATAATGTAGGAGCTAAAGAAATAGTAATAGATAAAAATTGTATTTAATTTTAAAAGGCTCTATGGTGCTGAATATGTAAAAGAAATTAAAAAAGTCTATTATTAGAAAAGAAATCGTGATTTAAAGTTTAAGGCGTCAAGGAGTTGACAGATTTCAACAGTTTGAACACAATACCTACATCGTGCAGTGCGTCACCGCCCATATGCGATGTCTTCCGTCCATAAAAACGAATGAATAATCATGTATTGTCAAGACAAGAGCTCAGTGGCCTCTAAGAGTAAGGAGGGTAAGTTTATTAACATTTATTATTTTTCATCCATTAAAGATTTATGGATTCATTTGTTGAAATGTAAAATTTCAAGTAAAATAATTGTATATATTTATTAAAAAAATTTTGATTTTCTTCCACTTTTTTTTTGTTGAGTTTTTGCACAATATTATTATAGAGTACATTTTTCTTCAATTCTTCCAAATTGTAGTATTAAATGAAAATAAACGTTTACAAAAATTAATTTATACATATTTTAATACAATAAATACTCTTTTTATTCAATTTGGATAATATTTTATAATATTATTCTAAAATGTTATTTAATACTACCTATGAAAATACTTTAATATAAAAGGTTTTTTAATAATAATCTAATAAAAATCATTTTGAAAATTTTGATATTTCAATTTTATAAAAAAAAATTGGCTTATTCTCTATTTTAACTAATATTATTTAAATCTATTTCATAAATCTAATTTGGTTTAGTATATTACATACATTTTTAAAGCGGTATGTCAACTTTTAATCAAATTGATTGAAAAATTAATGTGTTGTTTGAGTAGAAAATTTCGTAACAGATATATATATATATATATATATATATATATAAATATAAATACAAGTTTTAATGTCTCAAGAGATTTAAAATAATTTCCTACTGTATTTAATTTTTCTATATAAAAATAATTATTTCAAAAAATAAATATTTTTCAGTAATGAAAGGAAAAATTGAATTTAATCTTTTTACACTAGCACAAATTCTTACTCCTATATACTTAACATATCCATTTGTACATACTCTAAAAACCGCAATGAAATTTTATTTTGTTAAATCTTGTTTATAAAAGCAAATCTTATGAATTTTCTAAAAACAACTGAATTTTTATAATTTATATTTTCGAACATAATAATTCGCATACCTAATATATTTTCCAATTGAATGATTGGGTATAAACTGAAAGAATTAAAACTTGTAAAATTTTACAAAATTCAAGTACACAGAGTTAATCAACGAAAAAAGGCTTTTCGTTGATCAACTTTGCGAACATGAATTTGGTAAAAATTTTGCTAAAAGAGATAGATTATATATCAGCTGATTAATATTTTTTGAATATATATGCATATTGTTAAAAACTACTGACTGCAATAAAAACGTAAATTAAAAATTTTGAAATTAAATTTACAGTATTTTCTAATACGTGATACAATATTATTCTAATAAAAGTGGAATTTGAAAGAGAAATAAATGAATTATATTCATTTGAACATTCTAAACTTTTAAGAACATCTTTACATACTAAAATCTGTAAAATTTTATTTAAAGATTATGAAAGACGTTTAAAAATACTTATTGTTTGGTAATATATTTCAAAAATTAAAAAACTATAAATTATTTTAATAGGCACGGTCACTATGCGAGATAAAAAGGGTGGTGCTCTTAGTAGGGTACAAAAATTGAAAAAGAGACTAAGTCATAGTTTTGGAAGATTATGTAAGTAAAATTATTATTTTTACTCATATGACACTGTTGGTTAGAATTGGTGTAGAATTGTTTTTAATAGTAAAACATAATTTTAATTGTATAGCTATATCAAAGGAAGAAGCTGATGATGTGACAAATCGAAGTCAGTTACCTTTTAATGGATATTCTGAGGAGTTTTTAGATCGTTTGGAACCAAATGGGAATATTCCTTCTGATAAGGATCATAGATATGGTAAAGTTAATTTGACTACATACTTTTCACAAAGATTTGACTATTGACTGACTTTTTTCGGAAACGGACATTTTTATGTAATTTATATTATTTTATGATCAAGTTTTATAGGTACTTAATGAAAAAGGTATGGCGTTTTTGAAATGTTCTCTGAAAATCATGGAAAAGAGTAAAAGACCTTTGGTAATTTCGAAAATTCTCAGATTCACATTTTTTATCAAGTTTTTAAACATTAGTGAAATCTTTTAAATCTTGTACGAAAACATAATACTTCTTTTTCATTTCATGTACAAGAAGACGGTACTACAGCATTATAAATAATTTTGAAAATTTTACTGAAATTTTCTGAAAAATGACCTGGGAAACGTGGAAAAAGCATGGAAATTTGATTTTCGTTGGAACCTTGTTTCTTGTTTAATAATTGTTGTTATTATTATTATTTTTATTATTTATTGGAGAAACCCTTATTCAAGTTGATTCTTTTTCTGCAGAATGGACTGGTGTTGGTGATCATGACAGAGTACATAGACAACTATCTGTGTCGAGTGATTCGAAATTATTAGATGATGATATACGCGAGGAGGCCAAGGTTATTTTGCGACCGCGACGACCCCCGCGTCCAAAGTCTGAAGTATTTCTTGGTCCTGATCCTCCACTAAGAAGAACAAAAAGATTCTCCGCATTTGGGGTAAATATCCTCAAGAGAATAAATTTCAATTGTAATTTGACCTCAGCAGTTGAAAAGCATGTTTGTAAAAAAGCCTTTTATAACAATACTGTTTATTTTGATTTTATTAATAAATGTATTCTTTAGGGAGATTCGCCATTTGGGAAATCAGAAGCATACATCAAATTAGAACAACTTGGTGAGGGATCATACGCCACCGTATTCAAGGGTTTCAGTCACCTCACAAATCAAGTTGTTGCCCTTAAGGAAATTAGATTACAAGAAGAAGAAGGTGCTCCATTTACTGCCATTAGAGAGGCGAGTCTTCTAAAAGAGTTAAAACATAATAATATCGTTACACTACATGATATAATACATACACGAGAAACGCTTACATTTGTCTTTGAGTATGTTCACACTGATTTGTCGCAGTATATGGAAAGGTATGGAAGTGGAGGTGGATTGGATCCACGAAATGTCAAGCTATTTCTATTTCAACTTTTGCGAGGTTTAGCTTATTGCCATCGTAGGTAAGAAACTATTATTTTATTTTCTTATTTTATTGTACTTTTCTATTGATAAATTAATTAATAAATGTCTCATCATTTCAGGCGAGTACTGCATCGCGATGTCAAGCCTCAAAATTTGTTAATTAGTGAAATAGGTGAACTTAAATTGGCAGATTTTGGATTAGCAAGAGCAAAATCTGTCCCTTCGCATACATATTCACACGAAGTAGTTACATTATGGTACAGACCACCAGACGTTCTCTTAGGATCTACTGAATATTCTACTTCACTTGATATGTGGGGTGTGGGTTGCATATTTGTAGAAATGTTGACTGGCATTCCAACATTTCCTGGCGTACGCTGCCCATATGATCAATTAGATAAAATATTCAAAATTTTAGGAACTCCAACCGAAGATACATGGCCAGGAGTAACACATTTAAAGGGTTATAAACCAAACAGATTGGTCTTCTATCCAATACGAAAATTAGGTCTTTCCTTTCCTAGACTGTATGATGTCATTGAAGGTGATAACATGGCATCATTATTACTTCAATTAAACCCAGATCAACGAATTGGCGCTGAAGATGCACTGCGTCATCCTTATTTCGACTGTCTTCCTAGAAAACTATATGAATTGCCAGACGGTGAGTAAATGTTTCAATTAAAAACTTAATTAGGTATATTCATTCTAAAAAAATGTATTTATTTACTTATTTATATATAATTAATTACAGAAATATCGATATTTAGTGTTGAAGGATGCCATCTATATACAGAATCACGACAATCATATTCTGACCCACGTCACACATCTCTCAAAACTTGAGGTTTCAAATGCATTTGTAAGAAATAAATTATCTGCTCAGTGACAAAAATTTTTCATTTGTAACAGATGAAAAACAGTTGTAAAACAAAGACTTATTACAACTACTGCGCCTTGACTTAGCAACACTTTTTAAACAATTATAAAAAATTTGTTATTTCAATATTATAAAATGAAATTTATTTAAGTCACACTTTTAACGTAAAACTTTAAAGGAATTATGATTTTATTTATAAACGAAACTTAGAGTAAATTTTTAAAATTGCGTTCATTTCATCCAAATATTAGTTTTAGATACATAAGAATCAAAAGTATATATATATATATAAATGTATTTATATATATATATATATATATATATATATATATACAATTACATATAGTAAACCGTACTCTAGTTTTTAGAGAGACTCGTCAATATATTATAAACTTCAAGGCAATTGTTAGCAAAATACATTTCGCTTTTAGAGTTTTAAAAAATTTTTTTTTACGAAATATTAGAACAATATTTATTGAAAATTTGTAATGTTTTTGAAAAAAAAGTCGAAATCTATGATAATTTTTGAATATACATATTTTCTTCATTTGTTAACAGTGCACATTTCATAATGTATTTATAAAATAATTTACTGTGGATAAAAGTTTATGCTCAAGAATCCCTTTAAAATGCTCAACGATGTTGATATTCCCTATTATATATAAAATAAAAGATGCAATCTTTTTCCAAAAGAAAGAACAAAAAAAAACATTATGAAAGAAGTAATTTTTTTAGTTTTTTTTGCTTAAAATTCATGTTTACTTATATTGCTTTAAATGCAGATAATAATTATAAAAATAATATTTCTTACACATTTGTTAAAACGTTCATGTTTTACCTTCTTAATTAATAAAATTTTTTTTGAAATAATAGGCAAACTGTTATGATATAAATTTTTGAAATATAGGAAAATTTTTTACAAAATTTTGCATTTTCCCTACATAAATTAAAATGCTAAATAATTGATTAGTATGTAATCAATTCTTAAATAAAAAAAATAAATAAAAAATTATTTCTTCCTGTTTTGTAAGGATACTGTCATATCAAGAAGGCTAGAGACAGGAGGTGAAACTTCGGTAGTGGGGATGAGTCAAGAACCTTTCTTTAACCAGGCGTTTTTCGTTTCGAAAAGTCGCCGGCGCGGTGCTTCTGCACATCACTCACACATTCAAATTCTTGTATACCATATGTTTTTACATATGTGTATGATATGATTTTAATTTGAGGTTAACTTTAAAGTGCAATCAGTGCAATCGAGAGACACAATTGACAATGTGTGTCATAAAGTCCAACGCACAATAGGTTTACATTGTTTTCCTATATGGGCTTTCTAACCTCAAAATGTATGTAAAATCTTACATATCCCGTAACCGTCTCCCGCACTCAACTTAGTTGTGCTTAGGCCTTTATTGTGGACTCAACCTAAAACGAAGCAGTATTTCATAAGTGCAAGAGAGATAGGCACTTGTGTGAGCAGAAAGCATGATATAGAAAAGGACACTCATATATAACAGCCTTTTGTATCTCATGTAAGTTACCAAGGAAACCGCGTTTAAATAATTGCCCTAAGAAATCGCACCTTTACACTTTTTCCGTGCTAACCTGGCCATGCGGGGTGCTACTCTCTGTACCAAAAACATAAGTTCGAATGCTCATTATGCCGAATTTACAATTTAGAAATGACCAGATACGCGAATCCTCAATAACCTAAATTGTATATTGAATGAAATTCAAAAGTAGGGAATAATCATTTGATATATTCTGCATATGGAGAATATTATTTTAAACTAATTCTTTTTTTCCACAATTTGAAATTATTGCAATTTTTATTTTTGGAATTTCCACTTTACCTACATTTTAATAGATCGAAACGTAAAATATCAGAATTGACATTTAATTGAAATATGATGGAGAATAAATATATATTCACTGAATAAAAAGATTAAATAATTATTAAATGTTTGAATTTAATAAAAACATATTGTTCAAAAGTTACAGTGCGAATTGTACAGAATATATATTAATAAGAAATATAATTTGGCAGAATGTCGATTCGATCGATTTTATATTTGCAAGAAATTCAATTTGACAGAATATCAATTTATAAGAAACACGTTTTCGTAGAACTTTAACTTGTCAGAATTGTAATTTTGTAGAATATTAATATTGGCAAATCTAATTTTGGTAGAAATCTGCTTTATCAGAATGATCACATGTTCGAATCCTCAAAAGTTAGAATTCCATTTTTACCGAAAATGGATTCCACATAAATATTTGGCGCAAATTTTAAAATCGACCAATCAGAAATCAGAATTTTAAAATTTGCGCCAAATATTTATGTGGAATCCATTTTCGGTAAAAATGGAATTCTAACTTTTGAGGATTCGAACATGTGATCATTCTGATAAAGCAGATTTCTACCAAAATTAGATTTGCCAATATTAATATTCTACAAAATTACAATTCTGACAAGTTAAAGTTCTACGAAAACGTGTTTCTTATAAATTGATATTCTGTCAAATTGAATTTCTTGCAAATATAAAATCGATCGAATCGACATTCTGCCAAATTATATTTCTTATTAATATATATTCTGTACAATTCGCACTGTAACTTTTGAACAATATGTTTTTATTAAATTCAAACATTTAATAATTATTTAATCTTTTTATTCAGTGAATATATATTTATTCTCCATCATATTTCAATTAAATGTCAATTCTGATATTTTACGTTTCGATCTATTAAAATGTAGGTAAAGTGGAAATTCCAAAAATAAAAATTGCAATAATTTCAAATTGTGGAAAAAAAGAATTAGTTTAAAATAATATTCTCCATATGCAGAATATATCAAATGATTATTCCCTACTTTTGAATTTCATTCAATATACAATTTAGGTTATTGAGGATTCGCGTATCTGGTCATTTCTAAATTGTAAATTCGGCATAATGAGCATTCGAACTTATGTTTTTGGTACAGAGGGTAGCACCCCTGGCCATGCAGACTACAGTACTACCCATCACTGATGGAACGTATAATATTGTATTTTACAGTAGTAAATGTGGAAGTTATGCGTAATTTCTTTATTAAATTTGCAATAATCGTATGTATTTTAATTATATCTTTGTGCATATAAAATTCTTAACAGTATCCCAATTCATTACTTATCTTTCTTAAAAGGCAAAATGAAAAAACAAATACTATTTAAAAGGCATCTACTGTTTAATCTGTACTATGTGTCTCGTTAAGTTTTATCTTTTTTCAATTTTAATGGGACTGTAAATATTTGTGAAATAATGCATTTTTAATAATTTTTACACTGTCTATGTAAGGACAGTGTAAAAAAAGACTGTATTTTATTCGTTAAATACCGTAATAAATACTGAGTTTTATCTAGATATAGAAATATCATATTTTCATAAGACCAAGAAAATATTACATTCGTCCATAAAGTATGTGGAAAAATGTTTTTTTTATATTTGATTGATAATAACTTATAAGAATTTAGTTATTTGTATTTCATACTTGGAAAATTCAAATCTTATTAGAAAACTACATTCATGTTTAACATTTGAGACACAAATATTTTAAACATATAGAAAAGCAATTTATTTATTAACCCAAAAATATAAAGGTTAATTATAATATACGGGTTAATGATATATGAAAGGAGAAATTTTTATATTTTTTATGCTCTAAGTAATAATAAGATACAAAAATTTGTTTTAAATAATTGCTTTTAATGCTTTTAATTATCTTATTTTTAGATTGGCTGTAATTGAAAATGGTTAGTTTGCTAGTTTCAAGTTTTCGAAGCCTGTCTACATTTCAATCTTATGATGCAAGAAAAGAACGACGTGTGTTGTGAACTCAAAAAGAATAGTCAAATTGTGGAAAAACTTGGTAAGCACTGTTTTTTGGCACTATATTATTAATTTAAATAAACTGTAGAGACCACATAATAATAATATAATTATTGTTGTATAATAGTAATATAAGAAATATAGAATCAAAAAAATTGTTTATTTTGCAAAAAGTTTTTGTTCTCTCGTGAAGAATTATTCTTACAACAACAATTTTTAATCGTTAGAATGACAATACGCAATGTTATTATCAAAAATAATTTCCTAATTTTACCTACATTAACATTTAAATATGTTTCAAAACAAAAAAAGAGTATTTTATTTTATTATAAATAGTTTAATTAAAAATCTTTACTTTTTTGTTATTTTACAGTTTTTATGAAATGTTATTTCTTAAATTTTTGTTTATTTATTCTAACAAAGATTAATAAAGACTGCGAATCATATTTAAATACATAAACAAAATAATATCCTGTAATATTGTTTATTTGCTCGGACAAACTCGCTAATATCAGTCGACGACTGTCATTTTAGCAATTTGGCTATGCACGAGTTGGTCGAGTCATTTTATTCAGATCATAAACTTACTTATTAAAATTACCGAGTATTTTTGCAATAAAACAATAATATAAATACAATTTATATAACAAAATATATATGTGAAAAAATGTTTAAAAAAGTTTAATTTCTTTTTGTATCAAAATTTTATAATTTAAAGATTTCGTCAAGATTATTTTCTCCTTCAATCAAGATAGTGAGTTTAATAAAATGTTTGATAAAATATTAAGTAATAAAATTTTTAGAATTTTAAATGGAGAGTTCAAATGAAGAAAAGCAAACTGAGTCCGATGAATATGATGATAAAAATAGACATAATGAACAATTTGGTATTGAATTATTTGACAATTCACAAACCAATTTTGAAAAGGAAAATTCGAAAATTATAAAACATAGTGCAGCAGTTAATTCTACAACAATGATTGTGGAAGATGTTCAAGAGGTTTTTCAAGATGATGAGGGAGATGAAGAAAGGTGTTCAGATGAAGATGATATGCATAATATTGAAAGCAAGGTTGAAGAATCATCCGCCTCTACTACAAATTCTTCTGATGAAGATTCAGAAACAAGTTCCAATGATAAAACTGATCCAAAAAATAAAACTCCGGAAGTATTACAAACCTCTGAAAAATTGAAGAATGATGTTGAGAGTAACACAAAAAATGACGACACAACAGACGACAGTGACATTGAAGATGATTTAGTATCTGCAATTAATTATAACACTATCACTTCCTTGACTGCATTGAAAGATATGCTTCAGTCATCAGGTGAAGATTCTGATGGAGTCGATAGTTTTTTTCACCATTACTTTTTATCTCACGTTAATCGTCTCCCATCTAGAAATCAAACACACAGTCCGTATCCATGGGGGAGGAGATTATCGGAATGTCGAGAGGAGGATGAATATGAAACAGAAGAAGGTAAATAAATAGTTATTGAATTTTTCATTTCAATGTTAGGCATGTGAATTAAGAAATTAACTATGTTTATTTTATAGGAAAAAATGCAGAATGTCCGGAAGGAAAGGATATAAATTTAAAACAGAGCAAGAAAGAATTATTGAGTTCTCAAGAATCGCAGGATCATACATCGGAAAGTATTCCTTCTAAAACAACGAGTCCTTTATCTTCAGAAAATTCCAGTTCCGAAAAAATTGATCAAAAATCGAATCAAACAACATCGAGTACATCGGAACCAAAAACGTTGCCTACTACTTCAAGATTCACAACATCAACAGTGACTTCACCAACAGCTACTAAGCCTCCATTACGTCGAAGACACACCACTGGACCAGGAATGACGTTTCCTGCAACCGATCCTCCCACATACTCCAACAGTATGACATTCTTAAAAACAAGCCCATTGCCAAGTCCTCACCTTGACAAGCGCTTTTTTGATTCAAGTTTAATTGAGATGAAAAGTCAAGCTAGCAGTTCTAGTACTCTTGACTATGATTCGACGGAAGAAGTTTGGGTTCGCAGAATTGACTTGGGTCAAGACAAGAGACGAAAGGTGAGTGTAACAGTCAATTTTCTTCACATAATTGAATAGTACAGATTTACAGAATAGAAAGGAGCATGCAGCGAAGAATGTAGGTTATGTTTATGGCGATTTTCTCTCTGTGTCAACAATGGTTTCAATATGCGGTTTCAATATTTCATAAATTTATTCTACTTGAAAAATTCAAGATTCATGTTAAAAATATGTATTATATAAATAAGATTTCATTGAATTCAACTTATCGGAAATATCTAGATATACTTTGAAAAAAAATGTTTATATCTGAGAATGGTATGACAAATAATAATTCTAGTCATTTTGTTCGAATAAAATCATTTATTTCGAATCGGATTTTCAAGCTGTTGCTTGCAAATTATGTCGTTAGAGACTGTTACAAAAGCCAGAAAATACTCAATACAACTACTATCTTTTGATCAGACTAAAAGCGGAAAATATAGAAAATATTCTTTAGTGCCATATTTGGATCGTTGTTGGGAATATTGTGGAAAATATAAGGTATATAAGCGCCTCCTTTGCAGTATGCAATAGATAGGAACATAAAGAAATACAGAACGTTAATAAAAATACAAGTACAAAAATATTTATGCGTTATGCATTTTTGTTTCACTTATGAAATTATAACGTTTTTAATTTTTCTTCATAACAATTATTTTAGGAACTTGGTTCTCAACCTTTGCCAACGATTGTAACTGAGGATGCTGATAATACTTATCAATTTTCTCAAGATCAGAATCATAGACCACGAGCTGGTAAATAAAGCATTATAGAAACAATTTTTTTCTTAAAAGTTATAATACTGTTTATTCGATAAAATTTGAAATGTCTTCATTTTTTATATATTCTAACTTGTTATTTAGATAAAGAATAGTGAAAAAATTTGCTTTATTTTATTGGATTAAAAAATATTATTATTATTTCAGGAACTTGGAGTTCTCATTCACGAAATATTAGAAAACCATCCTCGGGCAGTGCTCCTAATTCAGGAAAATCAACACCTTTGCCACAACAATTAGAATCCACATCAAATTCTGTAAATTCTAATAAAGGATCAAAAAAATTTACTGGAACACGTTCCGGATATCGTAGTAATAGCGCAGAACGTAGAAAAAGTGGAAGTGATGAAACTGCTAGTCCCACACGCAAATCTGCACTTTTTGATGCTTTTCGACCAAGAAGTAAATCAGATGCTAGTAAAACTAGAAAACCCAGTATTATAGCAAATATGAAAAACGTTATGCAGGTTTGTTTAATTTATATTATGCTTTTCAAAATTCTCATGTTTTATGTTAACATCTTGAAATATTCATTAACAAAATTTTTGGTTTAATTAAATAATTTTTCATTTTCCATCAACACTTAACTTTAAAAGTCAAATATAGTAACAGAAAATTTAAGTAGATTATTCAAATATCATTCCTATTATTATAAGATTTTTCTCAACAAAAAATAGAAACTACTTATGTGCAGATTCGTGTAACCATTACTTTAAACGAAAAATGAATAATGGTTTTAATATTTCCCATATTCTTTCTTTGAAAACATTTAATTTAAAATATTTTGAATTTCTTTTTCTAGCATTCACTATATAGGAATGCACTTGGAAGTTCATCTGTAGATATCAATACTGATCATAAGGAAAATAAAGACCACAATTCAAGACCTAGAGCTGGATCTGAAAGCAGCAGAAACCCTGTTAGTAAAGTCATGGACCTCATTAGGCATCGTAGTCATAGTGCTCTTAGTTCAGATGATAAAAGGAAAGCAGTAAGTACAAGCTATTACATATTTTCAACTGTAAATTATATTTAAAAGTTTATATTAAAAGGAAAACGAATCCGAAATTAATTTTACTTAGATTTCGAGGTCATTCTAAAATGGAAAGTATTTAATTACTTATTTAAACTTTTTGGAATAAAAAAGATAGGTACATATTTAAAAAAGTGTCTTCTGAAAATTATTCTTCTTAAAGAAAACATCTCTAGAATATACTTTTATCGTTGTTTTAATTTTCAAGTTTATAGGTTTAAAAAATGCTCATACATTTTCCATAGTTTTAACATGCAAAAAAAAAAAAAATAATAAAATTTTTCACACTTATTGAGAACAAAATTGTTAAACTTACGTTTAAAATAATTTTTCAAAAATATTAAACGTTTAATAATTCAAAGGTTTTCTTTAATAAATTTTCCTTTATATAAACTGGATTTAATAAATCGCCCGTGACTCCAACGTCGGGCGCGTTGTTAGATCCGGAGCCTAAATTATATTTTAAGCAATGATTGGAAGTACCTTCTAAAAAAATTAAAATCAAAATTTAAGATCAATTGATAATATTTAAAAACACTTTAGGTTTTGTACAAAATCTGTATATTCCGTCCTTTTGTTGTAATATTTAAAGAAACATTACTTTTGATCTAATGTTAAAGCACATGACCCTGAAATATTAAAATACATGGAGTCAGAAAAGTAAAATTGCAGATGAATGTTATCGTCGTGTACATTTATTGTTACCGTGTAAGTGTAGCGATAAAAGTTAGAATAAAAAGGAGAAGGAGGCTCACAAGTGTCAAAGAGGGGAGAAATACGAGTAGTGCTATTCAGTTATTCGTTGAACTTACAGTCTCTCGAGAATTTTATTTTTCTAAACTCGGTTTTTTCAGTTCATATTTCATATCGCTTTTTTTACTTTAATTCAAACTATTTATTAATTCACTTGAAACGTAGAAAATTTTCGTTTGTGATTTCAATTAAAAGTTTCTATAGTAAAAAAATATTTCTATAGTATAGTTATTTACAATGCGTGATTAACTATATACATATATATAGTACATATACAAACACACACACACATACACACCCACGCATATATATATAAAAAGTTTTATACTATATAATGAAATGTAGACTTATATTCTTTCTGTTTTTAAAAGAAAATAATAATAGTTATGTAAAGCAAAATGTGGAGTATTATTAAAATAATATATTTTTATCATTTATTAAGTTGTATCACATAAAATTTCTGATTGCTCTTCAGGAGAATTCAAAACAAAAAGTTGTGGTACACACATAAAAAGACTTAACATATTTGTGACTTAACATATATGAATGAAAAAAAAATAAAACGTATCATATTTCCAATATGGCGTTTGAACAATTATTAAATGTTACTGTATAATCTTGTCTTTTTAAATATTCTTTCAATTATACTAAGTCAAGAGAAGTGAATTATGACTTTAAACATAAATTTATTCAAGCAAAACTAAAAATTAAAAAATTTATGTATTACAACCTATAAATGATAATATTAATTATATATATTTATTGATATATTCTGTATACAATTTTATATATATATATATATATGTATATTCTTAAACATATTATAAAAGATTAAAAGTAAAAAAAGATTTACTTGAATTTTTCAATTTTCAGTAATAAGATTTTTTTAACCAACGTTCTGTTTGTTATGAATATATTTTAGCCTTGACTTTTACCTAAGCGTCAAAGGTCTTTTTCTGTAAAATAAGTGAAAACATCTATTAGCATACAATATTATTCCATTTCTTTTCTGAACAATAATTTTTTTCATTATATGTAAATGTTATTCATTAATCTCTTATGAACAAAATATATATAAATAGTTTTTTGTGATGGCTTATTGTATAAATTATAAATTAAAATAATTCGAGCCTAAAATTGTAAATATTGCATGTTGTAATTATTTTCATTCTGCAAATATTGAAATATTAAAAATTGAATCATCATTGCATCACATTCCGTGCGTATACACATGAAATTGAAAATTCAAGTATAGTTAAAAGTGTAGTAATTACTCAAATTCAAGCTTTGTATAGTTAACAACAAATCCAACAAATATATAATGTACAAAATATTATTCTACTATTTTTTTTCTATTAAAAAAGTTATTCACAAACAATTCTAGACTATTATGTCTTCTTACTTTCGATGGATAAAAAATGGGAAAAAAGATTGCGACTATTTTGCACCAAAACCTAGAAGTCGATCACTTGATTCCAAGAGTTTAGAAGCTTCGGGTATACGACTCATTCTGCAAAGTGTATATATGTTTACCTCCAAATTTAATAAATCTCTATCTCTATTTCACTGTAAAGTGAAGAGGAAAGATAAAATCATTTTAATTCCTTCTTCATAAATATGTTGACAATTTTATAGCTCTAATTGAGACTGTAATATAATTGATATGTAATTATTATGTAAAAATCTATTCTTTATGATTTAAGAGACAACATTACGTAACAACTGAATGAAGAATAAATTTTGATTAACTGAGTAAACAAATTCTATTTTCTACTTTATTCTTTAGAAAATATTAGAAAATTGTTTTTGCAATAATAAAAGGAATTACAATGATATCTTTATTATTATATAGGTACTTTTTAATTTAATTCTCCAAGAATCAGTTTCAAAGAATTTTTATGTGCTTATTTATAAAAGATCCCAAGTCTTATTTGACTAAGGCCAGTATTATTGTGAGAAAACATCTTGTTTTTCTATTTTCGGTTTAAATCCTTTTATGTTTCCATCAGTGACCTAATTTTATAAAAACTTTTAAATACTGACAAAAAAATTAACTATAATCTTATGTATACACAATTTTATTAAATTTCAATTTTTTGCATTGTTGGATTCGTAAAAAAGTTGCATTATAATAAAAATAATAATTTAAAAAAATTGATGATTTAAAGGAAAATTATATTCGTTTGAATTATAGAAAAAAAAGATACATACCTATAAAGTACATATTTTTGCAAGTCGATATTATAAAAAATATTTAAAATATCAGAAAACTTTAATGGAGACAGGCAAAAATTTGTAATTTTCGTAGCTTTCATTGTAATAAAAAGTTTAGAAACTTAACTTTTCTTATAGGTATCCTTGAGTAATAAAAGTTTGTCTTTTTTTCAGAGAACAGCAGCTCAACATCAGTCACATTTAACAAGTCATAGTAAGTCTTTAATTTATATAAATAGATTTTTTTTCTATTATAATATTTACTATGCAAAAAATAAGGGTATCGTAAAAAAAGTATTTATTGGGTTAATTTAAAAAATAGATCTGAATCACAAAAAAATTATTGAATTTGTTTTATAATTAATATTTATTCACGTATAGTGCGTAATTTTTTTCACAAAAATGATTTGAAAATGTACATGTGGAACAGTTAATACGATGCATTTTTTGGAAACAATGAAGACAAGTGTTACAAGATCATGATGACACTTATATTTTAACTAAAATTCATGAAATTTGTGAAAAATACCATAAAAAATGTCTTCTTTGGGCCCATTAGGATATTTAAGTCGGGTGGGGGAAAATTCAAGATGGAAGCAAGCTGAATGATAAGCATACGTTGAAAGTGTGTATGAAATAGTATCTAATTTTTAATTATCTCGCTTACACTGAGAAAAATGGATATTAAGCTTTATTATCTAGATATTAGTGGTCAATATCTGTGACAGTCAAATATGTAAACATCTTAGATGTTCAAATGTAATATCTACAGATGTTGGAAAAAGACTTGTTCAAACATAACTTTTACCTCAAGAGTAGGTGCAGAAAGTGTAGCGAAATGTATGGTAAAATTACGTCACATCCAGCAAAGAGAACAGCATAGTGCAGGTTAGGTGTTAAAGTGTTTGAGTGTAAGAAGTGCAAGCAACGAAAACATACCTATGAGGGTGAAGTCCCATTGAACCGTTTTGCGTTGCGTTTTGCAACTAGGCCATGAGTGCAAATATAGCCAACATATATCTGTATCTCTCTCACACTCATGGCCTAGTTACAAAACGCAACGCAAAACGCTACCATGGGACTCCACCCTGAGGCTGAAGTCCCATGGCAGCGTTTTGCGTTGCGTTTTGTAACTAGGCCATGAGTGTGAGAGAGATGGAGATATATGTTTACTATATTTGCACTCATGGCCTAGTTACAAAACGCAACGCAACACGGTGCCATGAGACTCCACCCTGAGGCTGAATTCCCATGGCAGCGTTTTGCGTTGCGTTTTGTAACTAGACAATGAGTGCAAATAGAGCAAACATATATCTCTATCTCTCTCACACTCATGGCCTAGTTACAAAACGCAACGCAAAACGCTGCCATGGGAATTCAGCCTCAGGGTGGAGTCCCATGGTAGCGTTTTGCGTTGCGTTTTGTAACTAGACAATGAGTGCAAATAGAGCAAACATATATCTCTATCTCTCTCATACTCATTGCCTAGTTACAAAACGCAACGCAAAACGCTACCATGGGACTCCAGCCTTAGCATCTTTTCTTAATATCTAGTAAATTAAGGTTTTTAATATCCACTTTTCTCAGTGTAATTATTGATAAATTTTTGTACCCAAGTTTATTTGGATTTTAGTTTTTATTTTTAATGAACAAAGTAATGCAATCATAAAATAAATAAAAAAAATAAAATTGATGTTTATGATTACATTAGTAAAGGCCTACGCAGAATAGAATCTTTAACCGGATCCGCAATCGTAAGCGTTAGCGCAAGAATGAGTTAAGGTGCTTCTATACCTCCGGTGGATTGGTCAAGCAATCGGCTCGATGAATTTTCACGGTCGGAAAATGTACTTTCATGGCGGGTATTTTTGAATAAGTAAATGTTGAAAAGGTTTTTACTTGAAAATTTATTTAAAAAAATGATTTTATCATAGAAATTCTTTTGAAATTTATGTTAAAAAACATGTTTTATTTCAAAAGTTATCAAATTTTAATTCAAAATGTTTTAATTTTCCAAAGAAGAGTAAAAAGCCTAATGTTTTTGAAATGCTAGTACAGACGGTACAGACGGTACAGACGGTACAGACTGTTTGTTATGAATGTACATAACCTAGCGTTGTGTTGTCGTGCTTGTGATATTATATTCTAAATTTAATGATTTTATTATTATTATATTAAATAATAATGAACAGACAACACAACGCTAGGTTATGTACATTCATAACAAACAGTCTGTACCGTCTGTACTAGCATTTCAAAAACATTAGGCTTTTTACACTTCTTTGGAAAATTAAAACATTTTGAATTAAAATTTGATAACTTTTAAAATAAAACATGTTTTTTAACATAAATTTTAAAAGAATTTCTATGATAAAATCATTTTTTAAAATAAATTTTCAAGTAAAAACCTTTTCAACATTTACTTATTCAAAAATACCCGCCATGAAAGTACATTTTCCGACCGTGAAAATTCATCGAGCCGATTGCTTGACCAATCCACCGGAGGTATAGAAGCACCTTTAAGGAAGGATAGGTATATTGTTTATCCTTCTCTAACTCATTCTTATGCTACGGTAACGATTGCGGTTCCGGTTAAAAATTCTATTCTGCGTAGGCCTTTAGTTGGTTAGTTCTTTAAAAATTTAAAAATAAAAGATAAAATCCAAATAAGCTTTGGTTCAAGCTTACTTCATAAGAGTGAAAAGGATAGAGCTATGTATCTTTCCTTCTTGTATTCATGAAATTCTGCTTTTCTTTAAGGCCAACGTACAACTACTTCAGGAACGTCGTTCGCGAATGCAAAGCATGAGTTAAAAAAGAAAAGAGATATATTTGTGTACTTTTCTATCTCAAGGCCTAAGCAGAATAAAACGGGAAGCGAACTTTTTTATTTTGCGTTGGGCTTCATGCATGTCGTTCGCGTTTCTTTAGGAGGTAAATTGTTGTTTTCTGCTTTCAAATTTAATGGGACTGTCCCCTTAAGTCTAAAGACCAATGCAGAATATAAACTTTAACCGGAACCACAATCGTAAGCGGAAGCGGAACAATGAGTTAAAGAAGGATAGATACATTCTTACGCTTACGATTACGGTTCCGGTTAAAGTTTCTATTCTGCTTAGGCCTTAAAGCAGAATAAAACAGTAACGGGAACATAAGCATGTGATAGTAAAGGACAAACGTATCTTCTATTTTTTTTATCTCATGGAGCGTTTACACCTCTGTAAAAATTGTCCAGAACGGAAAATTTACATTGGAGTAAGAGAGTCAGATACTCAGTCTGTCTCTCTTACTCCAATGAAAAATTTTCTGTTCTGGAAATTTTTACCGAAAGTGTAAATGCTCCCTCATTCTTTCGTCCTTGTTGTTTTTAGCTCAAGGGCTTTAATGCTCATCCACACTTGCTAGTGCGGAACGTCATGCATAAAATAAACGAAGATAGGTCTGTCTCCGTTTTTGTCTATCTAATGTTATGCGGTCCGCTCTAACAAGTGTGGAATGAGCATAAGGCCTTGCTGCAATAGGATCTAAAACCAATATTTCACAAACGGGTTGCGTTGATTTTAGCATTAAGGTGCTTCTATACCTCCGGTGCAAGAAGACTAGAGACAGGAGGAGCAACTTCGATATATTCCTGTAGAGTGCGGTGGCAGAAAATGTGAGGGCAATGGAGGTGGTACTTGAAAATGTAGTTCGTGCAATAGGCCAAAATTAGGTTTCTGCGCATATTGAACATTCAAATGATTCAGATTCAAACACGCGCTAAAAGAAATCTTTTTCCACGTGCTGCACATTGTCATTGTGTGATATTGTGTTTACCGCAAAGTTTTTATGAAACAATTTAAGTTGTTTTTAATTACCTACTACGTATTACAACTAATTTTCCAAGGTTATTTTTTAAAGTTATGAAATAAACGTCCACCTTCTATCAATATAATATGAATACAAACCAAGGTTTTTTTTGAGGTTATGAAATAAACATCCAACTTTTATCAATACAATTATTAATAATTTCTAATATTTTTTCGACATTAGTTTGGGATTGCAATTTATCAAATTTCTTTCAGTTTACTACCTTATTATGACGATGAATTTCAAAGTCAAAGAATCATAATCGTTAAAATAACCTCTTCATAATATAATATATGACATTTCTATGTTTTGACGTCTGCTATTCTCTCTCATCTCTTTCCACTACTTGCGCAGTAACCTATTTTGCGTTTCTGCACCAACTACATTTCTATATTACTACTTCCCCCATTGTCCTCATCTACCAAGCCATCCCCACTACCCGAGTTATCCCTCCTGTCTCTAGTCTTCTTGCTCCGGTGGATTGGTCAAGCAATCGGCTTGATGAATTTTCACGGTCGGATAACGTAATTTGATTGGCTGTACTAAAGATTCCATTTTCATGATTTTCTAATTTCGGGTTTACACTTTAGGGCCATCCATAAACCACGGAGCCTCTTGAGGGGGGGGGGGTCAAGCAATTGACTACGACAAGAGGAAAAAATGGCGCTAATACATGTAATAGCGTACTACATGGGGGAGGGGGGGTCAAAATTCCCAAAAAATGGGGCTACGTGGTTTATGGACGGCCCCTTTCTGCTAAACTGAGATTTCATTCTTTTAAAATAGTAAGAAAGAAACAGCAATTAGTTATTACTTCCTCTCTTGTAAGTTATCACACAAATAGGTATACGCCTGAGCAATATAGGACAAGATATGATCGCATCTAAAGGCCTAAGCACAACTGGTTCGGTTTCGGGAGACGGTTTCGGGATATGTAAGATTTACATATATTTTGAGGTTAGGAAGCCCATATCCCGAAACCGTCTCCCGAAACCGAACCAGTTGTGCTTAAGGCCAACGCAGAATAGATCTTTAACCGGAACCGCAATCGTAACCGTAAGCGTAAGAATGAGTTAGAGAAGGATAAACAATATACCTATCCTTCTTTAACTCATTCTACGGTTACGCTTACGATTGCGGTTCCGGTTACAGATCTATTCTGCGTTGGCCTTTAGGCCTATAAGTTCATGAAAACTGAGGAGCAAAATTAAGACCAACGCACTGTAGGTTCACAAATGTCGATCACGAACAAAATGCATGAGATAGAAATGGACACAAATTAATTTCTATTCTTTCCTAACTCGTGCTTTGCGTAAAGGGCCAGTCCCGTGTCAGCGTGAAAACGGAAAACGAAAAACGTTGAGCCATTAACAAATCCCGATGCCATAGAAAATTGGAAATCATTCTAAGGGTGCGCAGTCCCATGCTGAGCAGACATTCATGGCCTAGTTACGAAACGCAACGCAAAACGCTGTCATGGGACTCCAGCCTGAGGCCGCAGTCCCATGGCAGCGTTTTGCGTTGCGTTGTAATGAGAGAGAATGCAGCAAACGTATATTTGCATCTTTTTCTCTCTCATTACGACGCAACGCAAAACGCTGTCATGGGACTCCACCCTTAGAGAAAGACAAGACGGTTTTTCCAAAAGTCGTGTGAACGTACTCTCAGGCTGGAGTCCCATGCCAGCGTTTTGCGTTGCGTTTTGTAACTAGGCCATGAGTGTGAGAGAGATACAGATATATGTTTGCTTTATTTGCACTCATTGCCTAGTTACAAAACGCAACGCGAAACGGTACCATGGGACTTCAGCCTTAGGCCTTAAAACTTCTGAATTATAAGGGTGAAGTCCCATGACAGCGTTTTGCGTTGCGTCGTAATGGGAGAGAAAAAGACGCAAATATACGTTTGCTGCATTCTCTCTTATTACAACGCAACGCAAAACGCTGCCATGGGACTGCGGCCTAAACGTTGTAAACTTTACATAAGAGCAGTGTTGGGAAGTGACGCGTCACTCGAGGTTTTTGACGTAAAATACTTGGTTTTTTACATAGGTTAAATACGTATTTTACCCCCCTCCCCCAAAAAATACATTGTGTATAAAACTTTTGAAGTAAAAAATACGAGGTATTTTACTGTAAAAATCCATGTAATTTACCTGAGGTATTTTACGCGCCCAACCCTGCATGAGAGAGAAGAAAACAGTCCTTAAAGGACGATACAACATGTATTTGCATCTTTTTCTATCTTATGTTTTGCTACATTTTTGCTATATTGTGATTTAACCTTAATTTGAGAGTCCTTGATAGTTTCGATATTTGATTTCCTCCCTTTATATATATATATATATATATATATATATAAATATATATAAAACAAAAAAATAATAATAATAAATATACATATGATACGTATGATACATCTACACAATGTGACGCACTGCACGTAGTTACTACTCTATGAACTACTTTTATGAATAACATTATCATTAATTTTATTACAAAAATCTTTAATTATAATGAAAATGTTTAAATTATAAGTTTTGATTTTCATCGTTATATTATTTTCGTAAGTTTATTATGACGTAAAAGTGTTTTGATATTGATGATGACAAAAAAGTTACAATAAAGAGCTTAAAAAACGTATTTATGTATTTTGTCGGAATATTTATCTTATAACTGGTGAGTGTTTATCATTACAGTAATTTTATAAAGCATAAAAAGAAGGACTCGTAAATGAATGAGCTGCAGTACATATGTGAACAAAATGTGTTAGAAGTAGTAAAAATAAGTTAAATTGATATTTAGTATTTATATCTTCAGTTATTAATTTAAGAAATTCTTTTAACCTTAATTAGTTACAAGAAGTTGATTCTTTCAAAGTAACAAATAAATTAATTAACAAAATTTTTTGGTTTACAAATATTTATAATTTATTTTTGTACTAATAATAATTATTGAAATACACTGTACATAATTATGAGCTCATTGCAAGGAAGTAAATATATTAAAACTAGTTTTTATTAATTTTTTAATGTTTATTTATAAAGATATTAGAAATGTAAATTATTGTACATATAACGTAAATTAAATAAAATGATTATTTTAAATGTCTATCCACGTTGCTTTTGTCACTGCTTCTTTTGGTCGATTTAACAAGTGAGAAAGTTATAATTTTTTTCATCTGTAAATTTTCAAAGAAATTTGTCAAATTTCTCGATATTTAGGTCGGTGACAAAACATTTTCAAACGTATAATAAATGTTTTAAGCTGGGAAAATTTATTAATATAAATAACGATTGTTTCACCAATTATTATATTATTTATCTGACCATATAACATCTATTTTTATATTTAGGAATGTTAAATTTTCAAATTAGTAAAGTACAAGAAATATCTGCAGAAAAAGTTTGTCTTTCGAAAAATTTATTTTTTACTAGAAATCTTTTGAAGGTCATATTAATCAGTGGTCATGTGCCCCATATACTTTACTATGGGAACACGTTTCGTTGTTTAATTTTTTCGCATTGAGACGAATCGATTGACCATTTTTACTAAAAAAAACTATGTAATAAAATATCATTACTTAAATTTGAAGAGTGTCTGCAACATGAATATGTTGAGTATGTGAAAAGTAAATTATAATTATCATCTGTATTGAAAAGTTGCACTAAAATTTACGTTGATTTTGTGGTAATTATTAATGTATAATTTGGAAAAACTAACAATAGTGCAATTTTTAAGTTGTTATATTGTCAGATATTTTGAAAAATGTATGCTAAATAAATATTTCTAAAGAGTTTTGGACTACGTATATAAAAGTAATAGATTTTTGTAATGTAAGTTACGTATGTAAGAAGTTGTAAAAACTAAAAAGTAAAATTGAAAATTTATTAACACATCGAGGATTTGATTTTTTTTTCTTTTGTATCTTTTTCAGTCTTCTATATACGAATACAAAGTATCAAAGTAAAATCTACGGTTATTTCATCTCTAATATGAAGAGAAAATATGAAGAGAAAATGGCCAGAAAGCAGGTTTAGAAAAAATTTAAAGGCAATTTTACATCTTATGTGACTAAATATTCCTCGTGCATAGAAATGAATGCTACAAAACAATTATAAAATGCACGGTATTAATCATCTTTTTGCTCAACACGGACTCACGTTACCAAACAGTGATAAAAGTGCTCATAAAAATCTTACTAAAGTAACACCATTGCCTACTGTTTCTTATTCAAAATATCAGGACAGAAAACTAATTCAAGAAATGCTAAATCATCAAAAGATACATAATGACAAATTTTGTCTTCATGAAAGACAAACTTCTCGCGGTTCTGTCAGTTCGACCTATTTCTACGGTCCTTTGATTTCTTGTGATACATCTCAAAGTTGCTATAATCGTGGGATAAACAGCAATAATTGTTCATTACATTGCGGCGCTCCTCCTGATTTCGAACACCATCTTTACAATAATCATTCTGGTCATCGCTATTATCAAACGTGTCAAAAAGTCAATTCGAGTGACACGACGTCGTCACCTTTTTCATCCAGCCCAACAAATATTGATCACGAAAAGCATCACCATCATCACAGCATCCAAGATATGATTAGACATTTGGGCAAAAGACTCGGACATATCAGGAGACAAAGTGAATGCCAAGAAAGTCCTAAAAAGCGGGAGGAAGACTTCCGTAATAGGAGTCAAAGCTTGGATGGGGCAGTAAAGCATCCTTCTTTAGACGTAGATTGCGAAACTACGTACAGAATTTATGAGAGCATTTTAAAACAAGGTAACGCTAAAAATGGGATATATTATAAATTTTATTCAACTTGGGTTAATATTTAATATTGACCAGTAAAATATAATCTGGAAACTGCTTTTTCACAGTCTTGTAATTTTTTCTCAATTGTATCCTAAGAAAGTCCAATTAAAGGAGAATTCACCTCGATTTTTAATACACAGTAGAACCCTTACTAAAATCCATTCTATTGGAAATTTGACGTTAAAACAAGTAAATCAAGTAAATCAAGTAAATCAAGTTTTCAAGACTAAAACTATACGCAAAAGTGGAATCCAAAGCGAGGATCATTAGAAAGCCTATATCTGTCAACTATTATTGGTTATCTTTACTATATGGGGATCTCACACAGAACACTATTGTTCAGATATGCCGTCACATTATCAATAAAAACATACAATAAAAACTGACAAATTTATTCAGAATGGCTTATCTGAACATTACTGTAAAAGTCTTGAAGTGTATAATACATTTTGCATTTGATAATTGCAGGTGCCCTAAGGAGAAGCTCTTTGGATCCAGGAACAAGGAGATTATCTCTTGGAACTCCCGTAGCTCCTCATAGAGCTGCTGATGCTTGTTTGGATCCAGTCCATGCTGCTATACTCTTTAGGGATGCTCGTGGAGTGAGTATTGAAAATTATAATATTATATTATGTACATGTGGAAGATGCAATAAAAGTATACATTTATCTTTCTGTGAATTCAGCATAAAAAGATATTCAATTCCTACTGAGAAAATATGCAATTATTCTAATATTATTATCGTTGAATTCTGCAAAAATGAAAACATTGTTGCAGTTGAATATTTTTTAAATTAAAAATATTTTTAAAAAAATAATTGTACATTTCAGTTGCCAGTGGTTGATCCTTTTCTAGAAAAAGTCTCTCTTTCTGATCTTGGTAAGTGTAAAAAATACAGAAAATATAAACAAATTTTAAATAAATATATTTATTGTGATTCTTATACTTAATACTATATTTTTGAGACAAAAACCTAAAAACAATTTATGCTTATTGCTTAAATGTTGTATAGGAGGTAAAATATTATTATTATTATTATTATTATTATTATTATTATTATTATAAATTAGCTGTGTTTATGTTATTTTTGGATATATTAAATAGAGTGGGGAAAGATGTCTAATATTTTTTGGCAGTCTGGACTTATCTTAAAATAATGAGTAAGCTATTTTTGGCATCTAGTTTGAACGGTGAGACTAAGGTTGCGTATAGATGTAAAAGAAGAACAGCAAAAAAAAAAAAAAATAAAATTTGTGTTTCGTTTATAGTTTGTGAATGTCATAAAAATTATTACAGACATTTAGTTATACAAAATTATTAAATTAATTTTACAAATGATTGATTGAAAAATAATTCTTCATATACATAATGTCAGTTTATTTTAATTATATTTCAATTAGAAGTTTGTTAATAAATAATTGTGTCGAAGTAAATTAAAAATGGTGTACAATGTTTACTTAATGTTAATCATAATGGAACGTTCATGATTATCATTTTAATTTAGAATATTCAACAAAATATATTTTTCATAGGTAAATTCAATTGTATGTAAATTTTAAGTGTAAAAATACATTTCATTACTGCACAGAAGAATTTTGTGCACTCAGTTAATTATTAAAATTAATATTAATTATTGAAGATTTTATATTAAGAATTATTTATTTCATTAGAAAAATTATAATACTAATTTTTAATATTAACTTGAAAAAATGTTAACTTTACACTATTACTCAAACTCAATGGGTTTACAAACCGCTTTTAAGCAAATCGTAGAATCCTGGAGTTCCCAGGAAGCTGATTATCCTGTTTATTCAAAGGATCTTATAAAAGAATTTGAAGTTGAAAATCCTCCACTTGAAGGAGAATTAGCTTGGATCTTATCTAGAGGTACAAATTTGACATAATTCTGACGATAAATAATAACAGTAATGTCTAATAATAATAATAATAATAATAATAATAAAAAATGGTATTTTACCAATAAATGTGATTGAAAAATCTCAAGATTGTTTTAAAGGAATAAATGATTACTCCATTAAAAGTAATAATAATAATAATAATAATAAACTAAAAATATTATATTTATTTATTTAATGTTGCGAAATATTTACATATTACAATATGTATTATATTATATTTAAAATAATTTTCTAAAAACTAAAAATTTTTGTTGCAGAAGAAGATGAAACACAAATTTTTGTCAAGTTTTTCAAGTTTCACAAATGTTACGATCTTATCCCAACTAGTGCAAAGCTCGTTGTCTTCGACACACATCTACTTGTTAAGAAAGCTTTTTTCGCTCTTGTTTATAATGGTTAGTTATATATCCACATATTAATGAATTAATTAATTAATTGTATCTTTGAAATTTTTAAGTAACCATTATTCATATAGGTGTAAGAGCAGCACCTTTGTGGGACAGTTCTCGACAACAATTTGTAGGAATGTTAACTATAACGGACTTTATAAAAATTCTTCAAATGTATTATACTAGTCCATCAGTTACAATGGACGAATTGGAAGAGCATGAACTTGATACATGGCGAAGTAAGTGTTGAAAAGTTAATTTCTGCTTTTTACCAATTATTATATTATTAAAAAACAGTGAAAGTAATAATAAGAATATATTTAATTAATTTTTCAGAAGTATTAAAGGATCAAGTACATCCATTAGTTAGTATAGGCCCTGATGCTTCACTTTATGAAGCTATTAAAACATTAATACAAAACAGAATTCACCGTTTGCCTGTGATAGATCCTGATACTGGAAATGTTTTGTACATTTTAACTCATAAGAGAATTTTAAGATTTCTTTTTCTTTATGTAAGTATAAATTTTAAATGAAACTTTTTGTTTACTGGTCGCATATAAAAAGCTAGTGCTGCAATAATGTTGTAAAATATTTTTTTTTTTTTTTAGATTAATGAATTGCCTAAACCATGTTTTGTGAATAAAACTTTGAAAGAATTGAGAATTGGTACGTTTGACAATATTGAAACGGCAACTGAAGAAACTAGTATAATTTTGGCTTTAAAAAAATTTGTTGAAAGGCGAGTCTCTGCTTTGCCAATCATAGACACTGAAGGAAAATTAGTTAATATTTATTCAAAATTCGATGTTATTGTAAGTATTTATTACGTGAATATAATATTATTTAAAAAATTAATTAATTTCTCTCTTCATAAGAAATATCATTTAAAATTAATGCCTTTGATGAAATGAAAAAATATATTTTAGAATTTAGCAGCAGAGAAGACGTACAATAATTTGGATGTTTCACTTCGCGAAGCAAATGAGCACAGGAATGAGTGGTTTGAAGGTGTTCAAAGCTGTAAATTAGATGAAACTTTATTCACTGTTATGGAAAAAATTGTGAGAGCAGAAGTAAGTTTTATACACATACAAGAGAAAATTCATCTTTTCATGCGCTTAATAGGCATTGACAAAAATTTATAAATATAATTATAATGTACAATATATTTTTAGGTTCATAGGTTGGTTGTAGTCGATGACGATGATAAAGTGATTGGCATAATATCTTTGTCGGATTTGCTTTTTCACCTTGTTCTCAGACCCTGCGGTATGTATATATTATTATTATTTATAATTATTTAATTTTTAAATGAATTGTTAAGCTATTAGAGTAAAAGAAACTAAAATGTAAGTTTAAAATAAGAGAGAATAATTTTTTCCATTAGGGGAAGAAAATGGCAGTAGTAAAGGCAGTAATATATCCTTGCGTGCACAAGATTCAGTAACACCAAAGGGTTCTAGCTGTGCCCATTCAGAGTCGTCTCTTGATGATGTTCAAATAGAAACAGGTCATGATACTCTTGTCAGTCAATCTCAAGAATCATCATGGCGTGAAGTTACTGTTTCAGAAGGCGAATGAACCAAAGTTGGTTTTTGTAGGTTTATCTGCTTGTTCCTTTCCCAGCGATCCAAATTATTATGCGCAATAATATATTTCTTCCGAGAATTTTGTCACTTTGTATTCTCAAATTTTAAAGCTTTAAATCTACAATTGTTTTAGTTAAAATTAAAAAGAACATACAAAGAAAAATATAGTGAATCTATTTGTTTTTATAACATGGGTGATTTTTTTTTACCAAATATCTCCAATTATTATCAATTGTATTATGAGTTTGGTGCAAATGTCTTTTTCAAATGACATGACTTAATTTAATCAACTTAAATGTCGAATTATCAAATTAAATAGCATAATATTTTCATTCTACGCTTTTAAATTTATGTATTGGACGAATTTGTCAGAGATTTATATTTCAACTATTAAAACGGAAATGAATGCACTCAAAATTGTTTGTGATTTTAATATTTTATCTGTTCTCCGATTCTGAAACATGACGTTGCACATGACTGTAAATGTTCTAGGTTGGGTTTAATTTCCTATAAAAGATGTGTTCAGTTTATGTACATTACGCTTTATTAAATAAGAAAGAACTTTCAATTCGTTTCCATATGTTAAAATAAATTAATTACTAAAATATTATTTTAAGGAATTTTCCTTTTTATGAAGTTGAATCATAATATCAAGTAATTTCAGAATACATCTGTTAATCATTGTAAAAAAATGAGTATAATTATAGTAAATTGTTGCAATAGGATTTTGCTATAACGATAATAAGTTTTTTCATCTTCTTTACAATGTGAGACAAGATACTGTTATTGCAAGGAAAATAATTAAAGAATTAATAAACATGTATTCAGATTTTTTACACTTGAGTTAATAGTCATTTATGATACAAGTAGATACACATTTGGAGAATTATCATATTGACAGTAATTAAAAAATTTTTTTTTGTCAATCCTAAGAATGAAAGACCGAACAAAAGTATGTATATAAAATTGAATATTTAAGAATGAATTTATTTTTCATTTGTGTGGCTTGTTTCTTATTATTACACCAGTGTATAATAAATGAAATTTATTATTTCAAATTATTGTACTCGAAGTGATTTTGTAGTAAAGCAAAAGGAGTTTAATTTATTGGTCCTTATTTTTGGATTATTCAATTATAGTTATTTTTATAGCAAACGTAAAAATGTAAACATTTATCATAATAGGATGTGTATAATATTAATTAATTATGTATTTGTAATAAAAATTTTGTTATCTTTAAATTCAAATGAGAATTTGTACATTGACATTTTTTGTTTTAATGCAGTTATAATGTTGTCATAAACAAGGTAGTTTATATTCATCAGAATACTATTGTAAAAGATATAATTATCATTAATAAACACGCATCATTTATTCTTACAACTCTAAATACTTGTAAAAGAAGAGTAAAATATAAGAATTGCATAAAAGCAAAAATAAATTTATTATGATTTGCACTTATTAGTGTAAAATTTAATTATTCACAAAAAATTTGTAACTAATGTACATAAATAGAAGTTGAAATAAATCTCTAATAATAATGTTTGTTTTTATTCATTCATTGTGTCAGTTCAAAAATTATTGTCGTACGTATATTTATAAATAGTAGAGCATGTTAGGAGATTGAAAATGAAAATAAATAAAGCTTCTTTTATTACAAACTTAATTTATTATAATAATTAGTTATTAATTTTCTAAAGCTTTGTTGTGGATATAAAATAAAATTCATATACTAATGAAGATTAAATAAACAAATGGTTTTAAAGATTCTTTATACAAATATGTATTCGACATGTCCATTACTTTTTTTTTCTGGGGGTAATGATGTACAAGTACCTACGAAAATGATGTTGCAAATTTATACAAATCCATTATAGTTTATTCCTTTTTATTCACGTAATGTGTATTCGGATCGAGTTAATAAAGAAGTTAATCTTGTAGAAAGATATTGCTGAAATGAAAAAATGATAACATTTATTTAAATTAGCTGTAACGATAAAGATAATGTATTATAAATAATTTATTAACCACACCTTCTTTAAGATTAGTTTAGTATTTATATCATGTATTCTTAAAGTTCTATCCAAACTAATGCTAATAACACTGTCACCACTTTTAGTTATGGCGATTCCAGTAATACTACCAGCAGAACCTTTATACGAGTTCAAAACTTTTCCTCCATTTCTCAAATCTATTAGATTCATTCTACCTTTTCCGGAACCGACTATTACTTGCCTAAAACCAATACATTGTTGTAGACGAAAAACTCAAAATTAGTAATATGATAAATCTTCCAATGTTACATTAGTTAATCTACTTTTTTAAACCAAATATCGTCTTACATTTTAGAAGGATGTAAAGCTAGAGAGCCTAAAGCTTCTGACTTCATTTCCACTTTAATGACAGGCCTTCTTTGAGCACGTATATCATATAGCTGGACCTTTGTATAAAATTCCTCAATTTATTAATGTAGTTAATTAAATTCAACAATTTTTTAAACTACCTTATTATTATTATTATTAGATATTGAAAAGAAACCAAAACAGAAACATAATTATACTTACATGGCCATGTTTAGAAGCAGTTACAATTTTAGATGTTCCAGAAAAAAATCCTATATCCGAAATCCAAATAGGAACTTTTAGACCTAGAAAATCATTTTTCACATTTTTTGCAATAAATATTTCCTTTTTTCTCTCCACATCAAGTAATTTTAATGGATTTTCCAATCCTCCGGTGGCTATTAGTTTATCCGCTTGTCGCATTTTACGTAAACCAGGTCCACTATTCAAGACAATTAACTCTTCTTCATTAGAATTCAATCGAGTTATGTGTCCTGATTGCCTGGCTACTAAAATAGAGCTAAAATGACATAAAACAATTCAAAAATTCTTGAATTAATCAGTTTCTGATTCTTTTACTGAAACATTAAACTGTATAACAAAAATTTTCTATTGATTAATAGAATATATAAAAAATAAATTATAACATAATACTAACTTATAATAATTACAAATCCCAATAATATCTCCTTCCCCTTCATTGCACTTGAACGTCTGTGTAAATTTAGATGTTTCGGTATTAAAAACTTGAACACTAAAATTAAAACATCTATGTTAATGCTTTTTTGAAAACTTTAACGTCGCAATATTAGAGCGTATACAACGTCTTAAACTATGTAATAAATAATAACTTTGTTACTACTTCGTATCGTAGGAAATTAAATTGTTTAATGAAATTACAACATTGCAATATTTACCTTTGCGTTTCCTTTGTACAACAAGCTACCAAGATATCTACTTCTTTATCATCATTCCATGATAACTCCAAAACTTTCATCTGATTTAAGGTATTACATTTTTGTAAATTTATTACGTCTAATGATTCATCCAATGAAATGCCTATTTGCAAAAAAAAATTACAATACATTAGATTCAGTGTGAGGTAAATTAAAATTTTATTATCATTATTATTAAATTATAATTTACAAATTAAGATAGGTAATTATTGAATAAAATTACAGAAATAATATTTCTGTTTTTTTAAATGATTTCTTATTCACTTATTCTAATTGATGATGTTTTCAACATTAATAATTATAAAATTACATACCCTTCAAAGTTCCAGACAGGCATCCAACAAAAATTTGATGCTTTTCTGTTGGCATAGCGAAAACAATAACATTTATTTTAATGAAACTATTAAAATCAGGTTAAATTCTTATGAGCAATTTATTAATGTTATTTTATTAATTTTTTTAAGTTTATGTATTTTAACCTATTTCTCATGCTTTCATTCAGCATGCTTTTCTCGCTTTTCTGTACCGCGTGTCACTTAAAGGCCAACGCAGAATAGATCTGTAACCGGAACCGCAATCGTAAGCGTAACCGTAAGAATGAGTTAAAGAAGGATAGGTATATTGTTTATCCTTCTCTAACTCATTCTTACGCTTACGGTTACGATTGCGGTTCCGGTTACAGATCTATTCTGCGTTGGCCTTAAAGGTGAGATTTCATACGTCATTTGGTTACCGGTTTTCTTGGCAACTTACATGAGATAGAAAAGGCAGATATAATGTGGGTGTCCTTTTCTGTCTCTCGTAAGGGTACAGTCACACGATCTCATCCAAAACTTATGCATGCAGGTTGTTGCCATGGTAGCGTTCAAGAGTAAGAGAGATATGAAATTATTCTATCTCTCTCACTCTTGAACGCTACCATGGCAACTTGCATGCATAAGGGTGGAGTCCCATGACAGCGTTTTGCGTTGCGTCGTAATGGGAGAGAAAAAGATGCAAATATACGTTTGCTGCATTCTCTCTCATTACAACGCAACGCAAAACGCTGCCATGGGACTGCGGCCTAAGTTTTGCATGATTTTCTGCTTTCGGTCGACGTATTCTGTTCACATGGGATCGCACCCTTATGCTTATAGTAACAAACAATAAGGCTATTCAAGTTGGGTGGGGTAAAATTCAAGATGGATGCTAACTGGTGCACGAACATTGTATAGAAAGTGTATGGGATAGAGTCTAATTTTTTAAATATCTCGCTTAAACGAAATTTTTAACCATAAGTTTATTAGGATTTTATGTTTTATTTTTAAAGAGCTATTTTTTGCAATAATAAAATCAATAAAAAAAATAAAATCGATTTTTATTATTGCAAAAAATAGTTCTTTAAAAATGAAACATAAAATCCTAATAAACTTATGGTTAAAAATTTCGTTTAAACGAGATATTTAAAAAATTAGACTCTATCCCATACACTTTCTATACAATGTTGGTGCACCAGTTAGCATCCATATTGAATTTCCCCCCACCGAACTTGAATAGCCTTAGGGTACGGTCCCATGTTGAGCAGAAAACACAATGCAAAGCAGAATTTCGTGAGAGTGGAAAGGATAGTGATATCTGACTATCTCTCTTGCACTCACGAAATTCTGCTTTGCATTCTGTTTTCTGCTCAGCATGGGACCGTACCCTTATATTGTGGACTAAATTCATGAGGATGAGTCCCACAATTATGTACAACTATTATTACCTCTACATCGACAATGCATTGGTTTAAGGCCTTTCTCCAATAGGTTTTAAAAAGTGTGCGAATTACTGCGTCTGCGTCGGTTGCTATAGCAACACATGCTAAAATCAACGCAACGCAGTCATTCGCACACTTTTTAAAACCTATTGGAGAAAGGCCTTAAAGGCCTTTCTCCAATAGGATCCAAAAGCTCTGCGATTGTCTGCGAATGACTGCGTTGCGTTGATTTTAGCATGTGTTGCTATAGCAACCGACGCAGACGCAGAGTTTTAGGAACATATTGGAGAACGGCCTTTAAGGCCTAAGCACAACTACTTCGCGAATGTCGTTCGCGAACGCAATGCTTGGGTCAAAAAAGGACAGAGATATATTTGTGTCCTTTTCTAACTCATGCTTTACATTCGCGAACGACGTTCGCGAAGCAGTTGTGCGTTGGCCTTTACGTTTACATTGTTGATAGCAGATAGCAGTACACGTTAAATAAGCACGTGCGTTTGGGAACGAAGATCCCAAATCTATTTTGTGTAACATAATAAATATAAAGAAAAAAAAAAGAAAAATGTGCCTGAATAAATTATATAGAACGTTGTATTTTAAGAATAGAAGTGTATTTAAACGTTTTTACGCATCTTTTTTTAATAAAAATATTTTCCAAAAAGAGTGTGCAAATTCAAGTGCTGTTTTTAACGATGAACAATGTGGTGATTTCAGAAATATAAAATCAGAAAAATTAAGACTATTTAATGCTTTGCGACAGAACATGATATCAACTGGAAAGTATAAGACATCGGAAGGAATATATAATTGTGAATTAGCTGATTTAAAATTAATAAAAGTCATAAAACCAGAAACTTGGGCCCAACTTTCAATTTCTGATAGCCTCAAGAAATTTACAATTCTCTCAAATTATGCCATGAAAAATAATGATGATTTATCAAGTGATGATTATAGTCATGTGATTTTAACTTTAAAAAGAAACCTTGGTAGTTTTAGTGATGATGAATTATTGACATTGTTGAGGTGTTTAAAATCATGGCCAAATATTTCTGATATTAGGACTTTAAATGTTCGTAATCTTTTAAAAACAATAGACAATCAATTAATAGGACGCTCAAAATTATGGTCTAATGAAAAAACATTATTATATTGTGATGTTATTTGCAAATTTTATAATTTTTATTCTAATTTTGTAACAATTTCTTTAACAAAGTTAACGTCAGAATGTTCAAAATTAAATTCAACAGAGATTGTTCAAATAATGTGTATTCTTTTCATTTATTCTCTGCCAAAGGTAAAATTATCACAATTGGAATATTATATTGAAAAGTATTTCGATCTTTTTGAAATTGCAGAGTTGCAAATAATTTGTTTAGGCTTCTTTATATCTCAAGCAGGAATTATGAATAAAATTCTTTTACAACATTTTTTGAGGAAAATTATTCACAATGTAAACGATTTTAGTGACAATGATCTAAGTGCATTTTTAAAATTACTCAGGTGAGTTTAACTAAAAAATGTCAATAAAATTTTGATTTTTTTTTAAATTACCTGAATTTTCCCAATTTTTTTACAGATACAACTTTGTTTCCAAGCCCGATTTCCTTAAATTGTATCAACAATTGTTTGAATGTTTAGTTCCAATAGTTCCACACGTAAACATTTTAGTTGTGACACAACTTTCACACTTGAAAGCTAGAAGTCTCATTTATAATTCAGTTTTAATGTCTGCGATTATAAAAAGGTAATGTGTAATTATTATAAATGATATAGAAAATATTTTAATAATTGAAAAATATTACAGATTTTCAGAGTGTTTAAACACTTCAAGAATAAAAGACATTGAAAGATTTATTTTACTTTTAACAACTTTTAATTACTCTTCACATGAACCTGTGTACAAAGTAATTATCGAAGAACTTAGAAATTCCAAAAGAAGAATAGAAAAAAGAAAGTGAGTTGTATTAATTAATAAAAGTATATAATTTAATTTAATAGTTTAAAAAATTCATCATAAACGTATATTTAAACAGTTTTCCAAAAGAATACGGATTTACTCTGAGACATTTGATGCAAGTAAATATCTATCCACTAGATTTAATCTCTTATGTAATGGGAGAGGAATATAAAAAATTAGGATACGGACAGGATTCTCAGAAAATAGGAATAGAAAATTTTGTTTTGGATCAAAGCTTAAAAATAGAATGTCCTGATTATAAAGGTCAACAGCTGGACAGCAGTCTTTGTAAATACATGTTAAATGTAATGCAACATATTTCACATACATAATGAAATAAAAATGTTATAAATATTTGAAACTAATATTGATTCTTCACAGAAATATAATAATATGGAAAGTGACTATACTTTTGGAAGTAAGGCCAATCAACAAATTATCCAACTTGTTAATGTAATGTAAACTTTTTTACTAATCTCATAGCGCTAAGCAATGCTATACATTTGCCTTGATTATATTAAAATTTTCTTTGTATTTTTCACAGGAGATGTATGGAAAAAAAGTTGCTTTTCTATATAGAATATTACCTCATTTCACACAACAAAGTATTGTCCTTTGCTTTGATCATAATAATAATAATAATGCGATTTCCTCTTTACCACTATTAAAAGATATCAACAGTGACATAAAGTGGGTACCTTTCGAGCTTAAAGAAAAGTATTATTGGATAGCTCTTCTTTTTGCAACGGAAACTGTTATTATCAGAAATACTAAACAGTTCAGTGGTTATTTGTGTTCACACATAAGGCAATTAGAAAAAGTGGGTTACACACCAATAGTAGTAAGTAATTCAAAAGTGGAAAATTTATTATTATTAAATATTATTCTTCTTCTTCTTCTTCTTCTTCTTCTTCTTCTTCTTCTTCTTCTTCTTCTTCTTCTTCTTCTTCTTCTTCTTCTTCTTCTTCTTCTTCTTCTTCTTTAACAATAACTATAAAATTTAAGAATAATTTCAACTTTTATTAATTAAATTTTTTAATATTTTAGATACCCTACTTTGAATGGACAACTTTAGGTAAGAACAAAGAAAGGCAGGAATACTTAATGGAGAAAATATTGAGTACTATTAATTTAAAAAGAAAAACTAATTGACACTTGGTGCCTTTACTATTTACCATAGAAACAATCGCCTGCGACAAACGGACGAACGTCAAAATTGCACTACAAAGTTTTTTTGGCCCTTATAACTCTTAAATTAATAAATAACTTGAAAGCACTTGAAAGCAGCTGTATTATCGTAATATTAAAAAAAAGATTTACTTTAAATTTCATTATAACTTTTAATTTGAACATTGCTTAACAAATATTTTACATTAAAAGAACCTTTGCAAGGCCTCACTACTTCATAAAATCCTCAATATATGAGTGATAAAAAGAGTAAAAAAATAGTACTTATTTTTATTAAAATAGTTGATAAATTTTTCTTCACTTATACTTAAATTATAAAATTTTGCATAATTTTCTTAGAGTATTCATAAGTAACAAATAAAGTTGCCGTTGCAGGAACTGTCCTTATAAGAGTGGGTTTAAGACCATTGTACAAAGCAGAAATACCTTCCTTTCTTATTATTTCTTTTGCAATTAATAGAGCAGGAGCTTTAAGATTTTGTACCTTTAAAAATAAAAATATTTCTTGTAAAATGACAAAAATTGTATAAAATTATTGGTATTAATTAAAATAAACTAACTTGTATTCTACTCTTAACAACATCTGCTGGAAATATTACAAGCCATAGAATTGATCCTCCAACAGCACCGGCAACCATAGTTTTTTGCCAGCCGATATCATCTCTGCTTTGTCCTGGGTTTGCAAGAAGAGTTCTTGTAGCTTCATAACCACCAAAGAAAAAGAAATATCCTGGCATTTCTCGAGCTATTGTTGAAGAAAGACCTTGAAATAAACTAGAAGGTCCACCTTCACGTATTATTTTTCTAGTCAATTGCCATGGTCCAATCGAATTCTATAAAATTATTCAAGATACACAGTAATGTTCAATTATTATATATTTATATATGTATATAATTAAACAATAAGAGCACATAATCAACAATTTCACTTACTACAGAGGCACCACTTTCAATTTTCATTTCTCTCGTGGCTTGAAGTCGGCATTTAATTAATTCCGTTGGACATAAAGTTAAGGATGAAAAAAATGCTGCAAAAAATCCAGCACAGGCATTACCAAAAGAATTTAAATTCTCTACATTTTGCACTCCTGTTGAAAAGTTTCATCTAATAAATAAATTTTCACTAAATTTACAATAATTTGAGGATATAATAGACGGATAACACTTTTCACAATTCATTTTTTTTTTTTTGTTGTTGTTATTCATCGATTGAAATATTAAAAAATTAATTGAGAAGAAAATAAGTGTTTTCTGTACAACTAGAAGAATGACGTTTTTCAAAGCACCTGAAACATTAGCTACGGCTTTCTGGCAACAACCATAAGCTGCAAACAAAACTGAATTCTCTGCAACATTTGCTACTACTGCCGGTATAGTACCTGCATACAGTCCTCTCATTATTCCATCAGTCTTTAAAGTTTTCATAAAGCAATCTATCATTCCTTTGTACAATTGTGGAAATGTTTGCATTTTTACTTTTACAGTGTCTAAAGGTTGACCAACATAAACTAAGGCGACTCCACCTAAAATGTTTTAAAGTTTAAATTTTTATACAATTTACTTACTAAATATATGTGCCATTTATCTTTTAAAAAATTAATTTTTATATTTGCAAAAAATTTGAAATTTTAATACCATAAGTTTAGTTTTCCTATAGTTCAATATTTAACTTTTCATTTATAAAATTAAAAAAACATTTAATTATTCATAAGGAAAATTTGTTTTAAAAAAATATTTTTCCTAAAAGTAAATAAAACGGAAAACAAGTTGTACCACTTAAATTACGTTGTACGTACATTAATTAATAAGTTGTTACATAATGAACGAAACACATAAATTTTCCGACAACTTTATCCAAATAATAATTGAAAAAACTCAAAATAATATAAAAATTCTTTTTAAACAATACTGAAAATGATAACCATTTTTGAGAAATAAGTTCATTCTCTGTCTAACTATAATGTTAATTATTATATTATTAAATATATTTTATATATTTTTTGAAAATACAACTTAAAAAATGTGTTACCCAAGGAACCGGCAACAAAGTCAATGATACCGGTTTTAAAATTTTTTAAACGCCCGTTTTGATATTCAATACACTCGACGTTCATCTTCGTATAAATTAATAGTAAACAAAATTACATAAAAACAATAATGGAAATAACTAATTTTGTATCACGTGTTTAATTTAAGATTAACCATTTATGTGCATATAATCTATGATATCTAATGATAAACAAAAAACAGCTGACTGATAAAGGTCTTTCTACAATTAATTTCTTGTTATCATTATCTCTCTTAAGGTGTTTTCAAAATGGATTATTAGTTTGGCAACACAAGCAGATGAATATTTTAAAGAAAGACGGGAATATTTTTCTATCCTCTATTTTTCTACCCTCAGGGTACGGTCACACGACTTTTGGACGCAACGCAAAACGCTGCCATGGGACTCCACCCTTAGTTTACGTTTATACTCCCAATTAAAAATTTCCATAAGGTTGGTTCCAGAATGGACTCAAATGGACTCGACGCAAACGCAGACGCGACGCGTCCCCATTTGGGGCCGTTCCAGAATGGACTCAAATGGTCTCGACGCAAACGCAGACGCGTCCCCATTTGATTAGCATTGAGACGCGTCGCGTCTGCGTTGCGTTTTGACTCATTCTGGAACGACCCTAATTGTAATAGATTTACTTGTCATAGTTGTCAACACTTGCCTCAACTTGCCTTAAAGGCCAACGCAGAATAGAACTGTAAGCGGAACCGCAATCGTAACCGTAAGCGTAAGAATGAGTTAGAGAAGGATAAACAATATACCTATCCTTCTTTAACTCATTCTTACTGTTTCGCTTACAATTGCGGTTCCGGTTACAGATCATCTATTCTGCGTTGGGCTTCAAGTTAAAGTCGGCCATTTGTCGACCAAGTGTTGACGACGTGTGAAAATAAGTATTGGAGAATCGCCTTAATTGTTCAACGTAAGGGTACAGTCACACGATCTCATGCAAAACTTAGGGTGGAGTCCCATGACAGCGTTTTGCATTGCGTCGTAATGGGAGAGAAAAAGACGCAAATATACGTTTGCTGCATTCTCTCTCATTACAACGCAACGCAAAACGCTGCCATGGGACTGCGGCCTTATGCATGCAGGTTGCCATGGTAGCGTTCAAGAGTGAGAGAGATAGGAAATTATTCTATCTCTCTCACTCTTGAACGCTACTATGGTAACGCAGTCATTCGCAGACAAACGTAAAGTTTTGGGAACCTATTGGAGAAAGGCCTTTACATACAACATTAATTATTAATAATTAATTAATTACATACCACCCATCCAATGCGTCGACCTTATATTAAGGTGTTTGCACACTTTCTAATATTTAAGCTAGCCCTCAATTTTCAGAGCCATGAAAAATCACAACACTAAATATGATTGGCTCTACAAAAAGCTACGTGGAAATGAACTTTTGGCGGAGCCAATCATGTTTAGTGACGTGATTTACACGACCTTGAAATAAGCGCTAGTAGGGCCCAAAAATTTGGTAGTGTGCAAGCGCCTTTATATGCTTTGAGTAGATCGTGATTGAATTTGTAACAGCAGACAACTTCAAGAGACTTTTTTACCAGTCTCAATTTAACCAAGAAAAAAATTATACTAAATTGTACTACATGACTTTATTCGTAATTAAGTGCACAAAAAATAACGAACAAAATAATCAACTGTAAAAAAACTTGATAATTTTTTAAGTGAATATTTCCATTACTGTCGAATGCTGACAGTCTCTTGTAATGAAGGGTTCTTGTTCTTTGTTGGTATTTGCTATTAGGCGGTGATTCGAGAACTTGAATTGACTGACAATGCCGGTAAAAGTGGACGTTGTGCCACCACCTCCTGCAAATTCAAAGCAACCGGGTGTAACAAAATCTCTTCTTTATAATGGATCAAGATTTCAAGGATCCCAAAAGTCTAAGGGCAATAGTTATGAAGTTGAAGTTGTTTTGCAGGTTAGTTTTACTATTGTTTAAAAACATGAATTTTTTTATTTTTATAATAAGTGGACACAATATAAAATGTTTTTCATTTATCCAAGTTTACCTAATACAATACCAGTATATAATTTAAATTATTTAAATATTTTTAATCTTTCAAGTTTCAAATATTTTCACACGTGATGGTTTATTATTAGTCCTCTCAATGCTTTCCTCAATTACCTACTTACAATAAAATAAATCGAGGAAAAATAATTTAATGGGAAATTTGTTTCTGTTCCAATATTAAATATATATTTTAAGAAATTCCTTTTACAGTAATTTTTCAATTGATTAATTATTTAAATAGTAGGTATTAAAAATTAAATTCATGTTTCAATGTTTTCAAAAACTATTTGTTTAGTATATTTATTACTTTTATGTAAATGTTTTAGCATGTGGATGAAGAAAACAGTTATTTATGTGGATATCTTAAGATAAAAGGTTTAACTGAAGAATTTCCAACACTTACAACTTTTTTTGATGGAGAAATTATTTCAAAGAAATATCCATTTCTAACACGTAAATGGGACGCAGATGAAGATGTCGACAAAAAACATTGGGTAATCATCCACAAATAATGCTTTTATTCGGAAGCAATATCATGAAATAATCATTAAAATTGACTCATTTGAATAAAAAATTGCTTTTAAATTTAATTACAGCTGAAATTTGAATCGTTTAGTCAGTATGGCAAGTCTTTTAATTCAGACACTTTTGACTATGAAGCATTGAAGGGAACGGACTTTGTATTCATGAGATGGAAAGAACATTTTCTTGTCCCAGATCATAAAATCACTGATATAAATGGAGCATCTTTTGCTGGCTTTTATTATATTTGTTTTCAAAAATCTGCTGCTTCTATTGAAGGCTATTATTATCATCGAAACTCAGAATGGTAAGTGGATTTTAAAAAGATTCGCTTTTTTTCCTGCTATTTTATCCTTTCTTCTATAATTTTAGAGTCAAATTAGTGCATCAAATTAATGTTTATAAAAAAGAAAATTTCACACTAAATAATTACTGAAATACAATTTTAGAGGGTAGTGTTACCAAAATAATTATTGTTTGGCAAATAGACATATAAAAATACTGCCCCTTAAAAAATTCTGTTTGATATGCTTTGAAAATTGTAAGACAACTTTGTTTAGATGTAAAATTGAAATTCAATAAATTTGTCAATTTAAAAAAAGTTAAGAAACATGAATATTTTTTCAATTACAGGTATCAGTCTCTAAATTTAACTCATGTACCAGAACACAGTATACAAATCTACGAATTCAGGTGAAATAAAAATACACTGCTCAATTTTTATTACCCTCCATTATTTCTAAATACAACATCACCTAAAGTAAAGATCTCATAAAAGTTCCCGACTATAGATATTATTTCTATTGACCAACTTAAATTGGCCTTCTTTCGAGTAGGGAACTATTATGACGCAGTTAAAATTGATTTTATTGAATGAGACAAAAGAATAATTGACGTATGTCGGATGCATAATTCTTTAAATTTCAGACTAGAGGCTAAGATGAAACGATATATTGATAATTATTAGAAAAAATGAGTGCCTCGACGAATGATACGATAGGTATTATACAAAAAAATTGCAGAAAAACTGTTAATAATTTACATAAATGTAGATTTAAAATATTTTTGTTAATTGCAATTATTGAACATGTATATTTAATGCTTTTTCTTTCAAATTATTGTTTTCCAGTTTTCCAATTATTGTTTAAGAAACTATGGTATCATTCTTATTATCTGCTGTTCTAATGAAGGTGGTTTCAGATTTAATTTTAACAGAATTCATGTTGAATTATGAGTACCTATAATTATATAAATTCACATATAGAAGAATTGCTATTACATGTAAGATATTTATGTAAATAATAATTATTTTGCTGATATTGCATTATAAAAAGAATATTTAGTTATCGCAAAATGTACTACATATTGTACAATTATAATATGTAAATACTATTAAATTTTTAAAGATCAATTTATACCTTAAGATAAATTTGTTTAAAACATTGAATAAGTATATTCATATTAAGTTATAGTAGCTTACAAGAAAAGAAAGAATTTTTTAAATATTACTGTACACTATTCGCATAATAAAAGAAAATTATTATTAAAATAATTATTCTCAATCTTCCCGTCTACATAATATATATATATGTAGTAAGTCTTTTATTGAAAGAAATTGTATGCTTGGTATCTATAAATTTAACAAATAATAATGTAGGTATTTTAAATATACATATGTTTATTTTAAAAATTAATAATTGAATTTATTACACATTTCAGTAGGTACCTTTAATTTCAATATTTATAAGATGTATATTTTTTATATTACACATTATGAGCCCAAGAATCTGTAATCGGGTTCATAGTTATGAGATCTGTTTATCTAACTCCATATTTTCAAAGGTATTCGAATTTTCTTAATATTTTACTAAAATATCAAATTTTATACCTAAACACTAAACTGCTTTTTTAACCAGTTTTTATGTTCTACTTTTAGAAACCGTTAATAATGAAAATGATAATGATAATTTTAATACTATAAGTACTTTTGCTTCTCAAGTTAATGGTGATTTCATGGGAATCCCATTATTTAAAATAAAAGATATATTTTTAATCTATTTTAAGAATGTCGCAATCTTCCATAATCTTCCCTTTTTTTCTTAATAAGATTTTAAATAAAAAAAAGAGCAATTTAATCCAAATTAAATGAAATGAAATAAAAACAGAAAAACTTTCCTTAATGAAACCTATAAAGCTACTTTTAGTAAAATAATTATTGATATATTTTGTAATAAAATTTCTTATGTTAAAGACATTTTAATTTCAGGAAATACACATTTCTTTAACTTACTACTGTATATAAACTTTCGCGTATAGAAGAGTATGGCATATACATATTATACGTATATAATATCATGTACACGTTCGCGCGAAAAAGCTTAAGGTGGCATTTTTTGAATATTTTATTATGTTAAATGGTTTTATTGAAAATGAAAAAAAGTAGCTCTTTTTCTTGCGAACGTGTATACACATCAGCATTACATTTTGAAAATATTGTTCATCGTAATTGTCTTAGGCATTATGCATAAAACAATTGCACCCTACACGCAAGTATTTTGTAAAAAGAAGTTTACAAGGTTGGATCAAAACAAGTACTTATTTATTTTATATTTTGTCAATCAACATTTTTCATAAAGTTCAAGTTTTTTAAAATCTCTCATGTCCGTTTGCTTTAAACTTAAATAAAAATTTAATAAAATAAAGTTTTGATCCATTCTGATTTTTATCTTTTAATAAACTTTTAGTGATTATATAATGCATGTAAAATGAAATATTTAATTGTCTACGTTATATACTCGTGACTGTGATTTTTAATTTAATATAATTAATAAAAATAAGTAAACTAAAATAATAGGCATTTTTAGTACAGATATAAATTATTATCTATATTATAATTAGTTATTGAAAAACAAAATATTATATATCACATCGGAGGAATGGGTTTTATAGGTATATATACATATATATTTATATGTATATGTATAATTATCTGTATGTATATTTGGATAACTAAAGTAACATGCTTGTGAAAAATATTTTCCTTTTATTTATTTTAATCACCTACAATTTTTCCATCAACATTAGATTAAGTACTTGAAAATTAACACTTTTTTGAAAATCAATAAAACAATTAAATTATTTCAGTTTGATTTTGATCGCCAGCCGAATAAATCTTTTTACTTGTCGATTTAACGTCTTTCCCTTTATTTGTAAATTGTCTATTATTGCTATTATTATTATTATTATTCAGTCGTTTTATTTTATTTCTCTTACTTCTTCTTTTACCAGATTCAATATTTACAGCGGCTTTGTCAGTAGTTGTTTCCTAAAAGAAATTTATTTTATAGATTTCATAATCACTATCTGTCTTTTTATAATGCTTTTATGTATAATGTAGAATTACCAGAACATTGGAGCAAATTTGACAAATACAATTTGAAGAATCCATTGTTGAAGACCCTTTATCACTTACTATGCTGTTCAAGCTAGTCAAAGTCTTATCAAAATATATTTTGGCCTTTAATAATTCGGAAAATGTACGTTGAATGTTTTCATTTATTCGATCCTCAATGACAGAAATACCTGACGAATTAATTTCTTCTTGATTTTTTACTTCCAGTCCTGATAATTGAGGTGTTTGACCGTTTAATAGATCTAGCGAACACAAAGTTTAAAGTTTCATAATTTAAATTAAAATAAAGAAAACCTGTACCCTGATTTAATGTACATATTTTATTTTATTTAAATTCTTACTCGTGAAATGAAGTAGGTGGTTAGCGAACATTGCTCTTGACTTTAAGAGATTTTTAAAAGCATTATCCAAATCCTCGCTTTCAAAATACGTCCGTGCCACAACAGAATTTTGCCAGGAAAAATAAGATGGTATTCTACAATTTGTCATTTCCCATTGCTTTTTAGAAATTGTTGATTTCCACTGAATGCTGCAATCTTCCAAAATTCTGTTGATTGACATTGTTAAAGCTATAACCTCTTCAATTTGTTGAGAAACTCTTGCCCCATTATTTACTTGATTGAAAAAATCTTGGTCGCGAAAAGACATTTTAAAAATTTTAAATCTCTTAGAATACATAGACGTACATATTAAAAAATAAAAAAAATATTGATTAGAAATATTGCTTTTTTTGTTTTGAAAGGGAGAGAGAAACGACTTAAACAAAAGCATACTGAATTTGTTAGTCATTATTTTTTTTATTTAATATATTTAGTAAATAAATTAATGTTGTGATACAGATCTTTTTCCTCACTTATTGCGTAAATATGTAAAATAAGTTTGTAATTCAACACATTTTTAGCCTTCCTTCTTGTATTATTAAATTTCAAAACAAAATACTCTTGATTTAAGAAAAAATCAATCACTTTTTAATTATTTATAATATTATAATATAATAATAATAATAATAATGTTTACACTCAGAAGGCGCAATTATTATGTTTTGAAATGAAATAATAAAGATACTTTTTACAAGATTTACAAAAATAGGTTTCGTTCGAGCTTCTCTTATATTATAATGTATGTATTGGAAAATAAGATTACATGTTCATTTATATGAAATTCCAATCATCTTTACTATTAAAAACACAATACTGACAACGTAATATGAAAAAAAAATTTAATATTTTTCAGATTAAAACTTTTTAATTCACACTTGCTAGTCAATTTTAATTATAAAAAATGGATTTAAAGCTGGTGTGATTAATCTTTATTGCTATTTTAATAATTAGTAAGTAGGACGGTAGAGTAAAAGATTGCACTTTTTTAATTTCTCTTTCCTTTTTTTAATTCAAGTAAAAATAATTGTTAAATTTTTTATATATTGACCGAGTCCGATATATGGTAAATTAAGCTCTTTGATGTTTTATATTTAGAATAATATTTTGAAATCATTATGTTACGGAAGCAAACGAATTTTAACGAAATAATTCATATTATTAAGATGATTTTAATTAATAATTAAAAATGACGCCATTTATTTAATTTGGGAGAAAACCTTGTAAGAGCCTGATATTTCGACAATTTTTAAAAGTCATATGTAATTGATTACAGTCAACTCCACCAATAGTGCCGCTATCAATAGTGCCACTTCTCCTCTTTCTCGCTCGAGCTCTATCCCCACTTTAGCGACTCTAGCACGGCTTCTGAATTTCGAGTTTCCCCTAAGAGAGAAATATACAAACAGTGGGGGTACTACAGTTCCAAGAAAAGTCGTAAACGCTGTGCAATTTTGCGGCACTATTCATAGAGTTGACTGTATTGTGAAAGTTGTTTTTCTACTTACCTGAAGAAAGAAATTATTCTACAATAAAGCTGTTTAGTATATGAACTCCTATCATGAGTGCTATTGAAAGTTGTTTTTAAAAATATTGAGATGAAAAAATTGCAGAAAGATATTTGTAAACTTGAATCGGATAATCTATTATACTTATTATTTCCACTGTTTATTTACTTTGCTTATGAATAGGTGTTCACATGCTAAGTTGCCATAATACAAAAAAGAAAAAAAAGAAATCAAGTTGAGATATGGCGAGTTATTTCGTCGCCTTAAAGGTTTAATTAATAACATATCGTATTCGTGGAGAGATAAGATAAACAGCTGCTGTAGAGAAAATTCGGATTACTTAATTTTTAGAGCAGTTTAGTATAGTCTCAGGATATTGCGCAGGAGTTGCGACCGACACAACTTGTTCGTGAGTCAGTTACACTACCCGGCGAACTCCCTGGAGTAGATAAACCATTGTGATTTGTCTTTACAAATCTAAGCTTTCGATGATATGAACTCAAACTGGCGCGAGGACATAAGGGCCGATTGATGTTGTATCGCAGCTGAGATGTTGTCGTCATGGCATAAGATTTTAAATGAGACTTAATTGATGTTGGTAAAGGGAGTTGATCAATGCCGTAAACTGTTGTTCGAGCCACGATTGCCCTGCAGGCGAGTTCTTGAAGACTAAGAACTAAAAAGGCACGAGTTTTAACAAAGTCATTCCATGATTAATGATTAGTGGTTTTCTATTTGAAAATATTATATTACCTTTGTTAGATCTCCATAGTCTCTCCATACCATTGCGATGAAGAGCCATTCGAGATAATTCGGAAAAACTCTCTTTTATGTTAAAATCGCACAGGGGTGACACTTCAAAAAAGGCCATGCGATTTTTAGCTGCATAACTTTCAGCATCTCGTTCACACACTTGCCTTTTGAAAGCCAAATGAAGGCGATTGCCTACCAACACCTTTGGCACACCAGGTGCATGCTGCAAAATTGAGTAAATTTCAAAATTTCAACTTTGCTAAATGAATGAATCAATCAATCAATCAAACAATCACCTCTTCCACTTCTTTGAGCCACCTATCTATCCCATCAAAGGACCACTTGTTAGTAATGTCATAAACTAATAGTATCCCTTGAGCTCCACGAGAATACGATCGAATAATGGTGCAAAATCTTCCTTGGCCAGAAGTGTCCCATAATTGTAATTTTACCCTCTTTCCATCTAATAAAATTGTTGTTGTTTTGTAGGCTGCAATAGAAAATTTCCATCATTTAAATTCATTATTTATGGATGGAAAAATTTAGTTGATGAAAATAAAATTTACCACTGCCACTACAAAATGGAGATTCTTCTGAATTAAGACCACTGAGAATTTCTGATTTTCCTACGTCACTATCTCCCACTAGAAGAAATTTTAGCAGGTAATCATACTGCTTTTCCTGACGAGGCTTTGTAACGTTGGCCTCTCCTGCAGCCATAATATTCTCGATTTAAGCATACTGCACTTGATCCTTTGAGCGAAGATCGCCCTAGGAATGATCCCTTCTAAAACTGAACCTTATCGGCTTACAAATTCAATATCATTTTGGCAAGCTTATCAGTGTTGTTTGTTTTCAATTATGTTTTAGAAAATGCAATTAACTTGCAAAATTTATTTCTATACTATTTACTTTCCATTAAATAAATACGAAGCAAACTTTATAATATGTACCCAATAGCGGAAATTATTTTCCATTTAATAAACTTATACTTTTCAAGATATTCATATATTTACATTTACTGGGGCTTGAATAATTATCATCAAACGTAAAAAGTCCTATGGAGTTATTATTTGAAACAAAAATAGGGAGGATAGATCCAAATATAATCACCAACTGTACTGTTTCGTATATATATAATATAATGACAATGATAATGTGTACAATAGATAAAGATGTGTGTGAAAAAATGTAGCAACTCAAAATAGATTGAAAAACATAAAGGCCAACTCAGAGTGAGGCCAATCTTGCGTGAGATGAACAAAGACAGAGTTTGTCTCTGTTTTCGTTTAGTACACCCCGTTGGTTCGCTCGCACCTCGCACTCTCGCAGAAAAAGAAAGCAGCAGAGTTTGCAAGAGAGATATCGCACCCTGACATGAGGAGCCTACTATTGTGGACGAATCCTAAAGTACATATTAATATAACCTCTTTAAAAATTATATTTGGTGTATTATTTACCAATAGTAATAATAATAATAACAATTACATATGTTTATAACAATAATAAAAAAAAAGAAAATTGCAGTAAAATTCATGTCTCTTGTAGTATGTATAATTATTAATCTACAGATGATTTCCGTGAGATGTGCATCATTTCTATTAGGAATAATAATAGCTAGTATTACATGGACATTTAGTTTATATTTTTATACAATTCTCTCTAAAAATGTCGAATCGGAATTTAAAATCACCGACAGAGATCGGTTACCAAATAATAGTGAAAGCATAAAGAATTTAAATTTAAACCAAGGTATTTATAGGAATATAAAAAGACCATTTATTTATGTAATTTAATGGTAAAATAATTCCTATTGTTTATACTTTTTTAGATTTTGTTGAATTTGGGTTAGTCAGAAATGTAGAGGAAAAATGGAAACGAGAACAGGGATATAAAAAATATGCATTTAATGTACTAGTTTCTGATAATCTTGGACTGCGACGACATTTACCCGACACGAGAAATGAACTTTGTAAGGAACAGAAATATAATTTAAAAAATTTACCAAACGCTAGTATTGTCATGTGTTTTTATAACGAGCACTATACAACTTTGTTAAGATCATTGCAATCTTTAATTGATATGACTCCAGATGAATTATTACATGAGATTATTTTAGTTAATGATTATAGCGACGATTTTTCTTTACATGAGCGTGTGAGTAAATTCATTGAGATAAATTATGACAAGAAAGTTAAATATTTAAAATTAAATAAACGAGAGGGTTTAATTAGAGCCAGAACATTTGGAGCGAAACACGCAACTGGAGAGACATTGGTATTCCTCGATAGTCATATTGAAGTAAATAGAATTTGGCTGGAACCACTTTTATCGAGAATCGCTTATTCTAAAACAATCGTGGCTGTGCCAGTTATAGATATAATAAATGCAGATACTTTACAATATAGTTCTAGTCCCTTGGTCAGAGGGGGTTTTAATTGGGGCCTACATTTTAAGTGGGATAACTTGCCAAGTGGATCATTATCTCAGAACGAAGATTTTATTAAACCCATTAAGTAAGTAAAATCAGTATGTATTGACATTTCTTTATTATAATAAAAAATACGCAAATACACAATGTTATCATTGCAACAAAGTTTTAATAGTTTTATCGAATATTCAGATCACCGACAATGGCTGGAGGACTTTTTGCTATGGACCGATTATACTTTTTCCAATTAGGTGAATATGATTCTGGAATGGATATTTGGGGTGGAGAAAATTTGGAAATTTCATTTAGGGTTAGTATTTAATTTATTTTTTCATCCATTCGCTGAAAATTAATTAAAATTAATTAAATTACAAATTAAGTTTGTAGCTGTGTTATAATTTGTAGATATGGATGTGTGGTGGAAGCATTGAAATTATTCCTTGTTCTCGCATTGGTCACATTTTTCGAAAGCGTCGGCCTTATGGGGAAAACGAACAGCAAGATACAATGTTAAAAAATTCATTACGAGTAGCACATGTATGGATGGACGATTACAAATCCTATTTTCTGAAAAACGTTAAGCAAATTGAATATGGCGATGTTTCTGCAAGAATAGCCTTAAGAAATAATTTGAACTGTAAGAATTTTTCATGGTACTTAAATACAGTTTATCCAGAATTAGCATTGCCGGATGACAAGAAAAAGACGTTGAATGAAAAATGGAGGAAAATGAATCAGAAACCAATTCAATCGTGGTACTCAAGGAAGAGAAATTATACTGATCAATATCAAATAAGACTTGTTAATACAACAATGTGTATTCAAAGTGATAAAGATATAAGAACAAGAGGATCAGGATTAATTCTGGTTTCATGTTTACGAACAAAAGCACAGGTAAAAGGGAATAAAAAATAAATAAATACCAAAGAAAGATGGTACATTATAATAAGCACTTGACAAACAACAACCTACATTAATTTATTACTTTAGATGTGGTTCGAGACTGAAAGAAAAGAACTAATACTCGGGCAAGTGTTTTGCTTAGAAGCTACTGATGAAATGCCGAAGCTTGCAAAATGTCATGAAATGGGAGGCGATCAAGAATGGCAATACAAAGAAACTGTAAGTATTATCATAAACGTTAATTCTGGAAGTATTCTAAATCGTGTATTTTTTATTAATATTTACCTTTTACTGTGAATTCTTAATATACATGAATATTTTAGTAATAAATTTTAATTTTCTTTTTTTGCAGAAAAGTACTCCTATTTACAATTTGGCTACAGGTACATGTTTAGGTGTATCTTACAAAAAAAGTCGTATACAGGTAGTAATGAATTTATGTACGAAAACTGAGAAATCATTAATCGAATGGAATCTTATTCGTTCAGTGGTTTATAATGTTGGAAATGTTTAATTTACAAGACATTCTTATAAATGACATGTGCTCAAGGGACTGAAAATTACGACTTGCCTTTAAGCACAATGCAAAACCTATGAAAAAATAAAAGCAAATGAATTAAATTATAGATTATGTTTGTGATATAGATTTAACTTTAATAATGATTCAAGTCAGTTTTTAGTGAATAATTTAGATGCAATGAACACTTAAATTTTAATGGCTTGTAATAATAGCTGTTCCCCTTTTTGTAATTTCACTTGAAAAATTACAAACATAATCTAAAACTTTTTCCTTCTAACTAAAGTCTCTTTCTTCAGAGCGCATCTTTGTTTTCGACTTTTCGTACGTCAAATAGCTGTGATTTACGATATAAAATGTTTATTTTATTAAAAATTATCGTTCGCTCCTTGGTTCACTCGAATATGTGTAACTTTTCTCAACAGTTTGAAATTTATCACTAGAAAAACCCTTAAAGTTACGTGCTCTCTCCTCACTGTTCTTATAACTTAAGAAACTTTTGCAATCTTTTGGAAAAAGTTAAACTTACTCGAGTTGTTGAAATAAATGTTCATGTAGGTCATGTAATAATTAAAATTGATAAATTATGTATCAAATGTTCAAGTTGTTTATTAAAAGTAAATTGCAAACAAATGATTAAATCAGAATGTAATTCAAATAAGTTATCTATTTATAAGACGTAAATTTTATTTTTTTAATATCTGTATAACATCTTCGTCATGCATAATGTGTTGCAGACCAACTCTTTGAGGTGAATATTTTGTACTTGTACCCTAAAAAAATAAATTATTTTCTACATTTTTAGCTTTTATTATAAATAATAGGATTTTTAATTAAAGACAATTTACCCAGACAAGAGAATATTTAAACTGTTGCGCCAGAGTGCGATGAATAGAGTGACAAACATGCTCAACTGTAACTCCTTTTCGCAAAATTAGTCCATCGTCAAAATCTGGAGGCTGACCTGGCTTTTTAGTGTATACTCTTATAAGAGACAAATATTCCCATAAAGTGTCCAGCAGGAAGTCTAGATTGAGTTTCATGTTACAACTAAAATGAAATGACAAGTTATTGCTCCACTCTGAATAAAATTTCTATTCTCTATATTTCAATTCATTTACCTAACTACGACACTATTTTGTTGCCTTGCGATTCTATCGACTTCTTCTATTGAAATTTGATCAATTTTGTTATATACATAAAGGCAAGGAAGGTAAACTCGATTGGCATTAATAACATCAATCAGTTCATCTGCAGTGCAATCTTCTCGAAAAAGAACTTCAGCATTAAATATTTTATATTCGTGAAGAATCATTTGAACTAGTTTTTCATCACATCTTGTGAGAGGACAAGTTGAATTGAAAGAAAGTCCGCCACCTTTCTTAATCTTAAAATATATGTTTGGCTTTTGTTTATTTAATCTGATACCTACTGATTCCAATTCTCTTTCTAAAAGTTGCCGCTGAACATCTTGCTTTGTAGCATCCAACATCATGAGAACTAGATCAGCTGTTCTTGCGACAGCAATTACTTGTCTACCTCTTCCCTTTCCCTACATTTAAAAAGTGAAATTTTTATTAAATTTCCAACTACTCTGACTTACTTGAATATTATTATTCTTTTCTTTCGCATTTACTTGAGCTGCTCCTTCAATTATCCCTGGTAAATCGAGAAGTTGAATATTAGCACCTTTATATTCAATAACTCCAGGAATGCAAGTGAGAGTTGTAAATTCATAAGAAGCTGCTTCTGATTCTGTATGGGTCAAAGTACTTAACAATGTAGATTTTCCAACGGAAGGAAAACCGATAAGAGCAACTCTCGCATCACCAGATTTTAAAACATCAAAACCTTCACCCTTTTCACTCTTTTTTGATGGTTCCAAAAGTTGAGATCTGTATTTAGCTAATTTTGCTTTCAACAATCCAAGATGATATTCAGTAGCTGAAAAATTACAATAAATTACAATTATTTTAAAATCGATTCTTTCAACTTACATATATAATATATAATATAATTCAATAAAAAAAATCTGTTAAAGTAACCTAAAATGTTAACATGCCTTTATTTTTTTGTGTTCGGGCTATTTCCTTTTCAATTTCAGATATTTTTTCTAGAATACCCATTTTTCAAGTAAATAAAATTACATTTACAGAAATATGTGGAAAATATTCTCAAATTCGCAACTTTTGTCGTCACATGAAGATTTTTTTTAATATAAAAAATTGTACTTTTATTTTTCAAAATTTAAGATAATATATGCATTAAGGTACAGTCAATAGGAACTTCCGATTCAATGGAAACCATTCTAAGGCCTTGTCCACAATAGACCGAGGCTGGAGTCCCATGGTAGCGTTTTGCGTTGCGTTTTGTAACTGCCATGAGTGCAAATAGAGCAATCATATATCTCCATCTCTCTCACACTCATGGCCTAGTTATAAAACGCAACGCAAAACGTTGCCATGGGACAGCGTTTATATATCCTTTTCTATCACATGCGTCTCGTTCGTGAAACTATTGTGCGTTGGCCTTTACGAGTCAATGCTAAAGGCCAACGCAGAATAGATCTGTAACCGGACCGCAATCGTAAGCGTAACCGTAAGAATGAGTTAAAGAAGGATAGGTATATTGTTTATCCTTCTCTAACTCATTCTTACGCTTACGGTTACGATTGCGGTTCCGGTTACAGATCTATTCTGCGTTGGCCTTGAATAATAAAGGAGACGTGAACCTTAGGTTGAGTTCACAACGTCACTTTTGAAAGGAACGTAACGAAATAATGCCAAGTATATTGTTTCGTTACGTTTACTTTCCGTTCAAGAGTACTATTGTGGATTCAACCTTAAAGCCTTTTTCCAGTACATATGTAGGATTCCAAGAGCATATTTCTCAAGGCCAACGCAGAATGAAGACGGAACGGGAACAAGGCATGCAAAAGAAAATGACAGAAGCTGTCTGTTTCTTTTTCTTTCTAAAGGCCTAAGCACAATAGGTTCGCGAACGCAAAGCAGGAGTTGGAAAAGGACAGAGATATATTTGTGTCCTTGTCTATCTCATGCGTCTCGTTCGCGAACCTATTGTGCGTTGGACTTGATGCCCTGTTCCCGATCCGTATTCATTCTGCGTTGGCCTTCAAAGACTTTGCATTAAGGGGATTTGAACCTTGATGACGTCACAGTTTGTGCAAAGCATTAGTTTTAAATCTGTGACGTCATCATGGTTCAAATGCCCTTAATAAAATTTTAACATTAGTATGCCATAGCAACCAATGCAACGCGTTTGCGAAATATGCCCTTGTGATCTTATTGGAGTATGAAATTTCTCTCCGTGTTTAGACATACTAATATTTTTTAAATAAGGAAAATTTAAAAACATTTTTTCAGTTTAATTTTATTCATTTTAAAAAATTAAAAAATTGAATACAAATTTGTATAAAAAAATGCAAGCATTTGTACAATGTACATTATATCAATAGATTTTTAATCATTTTAATCATGCAAACTTGCATAAATTAGTGAAACACATTAGATATGCGTTTCTATTCTGTAGCATCGGCTTTCGCTACACTAAATGGTTCTACTATTTCCACAGTACAATCAGTAATAACGACATCATCTTTTGGTCTGTCGTTTCTGTCTGTAGTTGTACTTTCAATTTTCTTTACGATATCCTAAAACCAATGATTAACATTTTTTAAAATGTTAACAATTTGTTATTGACAAACATAATAAGTATTATATTTTCAAAATACGTTACCATTCCTTTGATAATTTTTCCAAAAACTACGTGTTTCCCATCAAGCCATGAGGTTTTCTTAACTGTAATGAAAAATTGAGAACCATTTGTATCTTTTCCTGCATTTGCCATTGACAACCAACCAGCACCATAATGCTTCAGTTTGAAGTTTTCATCTGCAAACTTTTCTCCATAAATACTTCGGCCTGTTGAAAAATAACATTCATTCAGAATTTTTCAGCAAAGTACTAAAAAAGTAAATTGTAAATAATCTTTATATACCTCCGGTTCCATCTCCGCGTGTGAAGTCACCTCCTTGAATCATAAAGTCTTTAATGACCCTATGGAATTTACTTCCTTTATATCCTTCACCCTTGGGTTTTTCGCAGAGTGCAGCGAAATTCTCTGCAGTTTTATTAACAGTTTTACCAAAAACACCTATTTCAACTGAACCTGCTTCCACGTTTCCAATACTTATTTTAAAAATTACCTGAAATTATAAACTTTCGTAAGTTTTGATGTTGGAATTTCTTTTGCAAGAATTCAAAGAAAACTACGAAAAACTATATTATAATATAAATATATAATTGCTTATTAAGAAATAATAATAAAATAATCATTATATCAACACCAATATTATTAATTAATAATAATTTCAATCATCATTAATTAAAATAATTGTTTTTCAGTAAATATTTTCTATTTACTAACTGTCTATTGATGAATTTGATTTATTTAATCAAGAGATTAAGTTAATGACCCTTTTAAAGTTAAATTCTTATTCTGAAGCATTCTCAGTCCAATATCACACTAATTATGCCCTTGGATCATGCCAATCACGGAATACTTAAAGTAAACTGTCGGAACAGTTATTGCTTTCAACCACTTTCAACATATTCTTAAAACAATTAGCACTTTCAAATCGCAGTGTATATAATTTTATGAAAATTCTTTTGAAAAATATTGTGTTTACCTTTTTTGTCACTTTAGGTCCTTTAGATGTATCTGCATTGCTTCCGGAGCAAGAATAAATGCAAAGAAAACTAACTAATATAATAAATTTCCACATTTTAAAGTAGTTAATAATAACTAATATTTTACTTTAAAAATAAATGCAATGTTTAATGACTGTAAATGATAAATTACACTCTGGAAGGGAATAAAAAAAACTTGTTTAATGCCTAAGTCAAGCCTTCAGTAGGCTATGGCTATCAATGGATGTGGCTTGTTGGCAGATTGTGGGAGGCGGAAACACGCAACGAATCTCTATTCAAATTAATTGAGATGTGTACAGTTCCATTTGTAGCGACCTTGGAGAATTTACCTTAATGCTGAGTCCACAATCCAAGTGTGGATTCCCCATTAGAGAAAGATGTGTATATTTTCTATCCTTTTCTAACTCATGCTTTGCGTTCGCAAAGAGATAGATGTAGGAGCACGTCGTTTTACGTATACAAAGAAGATAGAAAGATAATGCCATCTCTCTCCTTCTCATGAGTTTCTGCCGTTTCTGCTTTCGGTTTCAAGGGTTTCAAGTTTTCTTTAGAAAGCGTTTTACATGTGATTGCACCCTTATGCATCAATTAATTTATTGTCAAGTCCACCTTGTACATATGTACATAAATCAATTTTTGGTTAATGGCTCTAATTTAACATGATTATTTTAAAACTGGATTGGATTATATGAATTGAAATATTCTTCGTTTAATTTTGCTTTACATTTAAATTCCAAGTAATAATGTAGGTAAGAGCCTGTGACGTGCTTAATTGTTTTGTTTGTAATATTATTGATTGCTAAACGCTGAATGACATTAAAATTTTTTGTTTGGTGGATAATATTTTTAGCTTTTAATTTTCTTATTTCCAATTGATCCAATTTTCATTTAACTTTAACATTAGATAACAATGAAAAATAACAAAATATAAATTTATCAGGCGCTTATTGAGAGTATTAAATGGGGTTGAATTCTTTTGGATATACTTACAATGTGATTCTCTGTGTACTTTTATTTTAGTTTATTATCCCATCGTTTATACTATGTATTTTGTTATATGTTTTTTCAGATATTAATTTAATTAACCTCTTTGAAAACGTTAAAAACTAATATCTAATTAATTGTCAGAGAATATATTGCAAAAACAATGGTTGAAGAAAAGTTAGATTCAGAAAAATCTCAAGCACACTCAATAGAAAATGATGTGAATTCTGAAGGTTCATTGAAAAGCTCTAGTTTGGAAGACGAGTGGATTGATATACTTGGAAATGGTCAATTAAGGAAAAGGGTTATAAAAGCAGGTATTCCAAATTCACGTCCTAGTAGAGGAGATGCTTGTAAAATAAATGCTATTGGGAAACTTGATGATGGAACGATTGTCGAACAGCACGAGGAACTAAGTTTCCAACAAGGGGATGTTGAAGTTATTCAGGTATTAATCCTTCAATTCAAACAAGTTGACGTGAGACGTGATGAAATGTAAAAAACATTGAATAAATGAATTTTACTTTTTTCATAGGGATTAGATTTGGCGGTGGCTTTAATGGATGTTGATGAAGAAGCAGAAATTGAAATTGCTTCTAGATTTGCATATGGAAGTATAGGAGAAAAACCAAACATTCCTTCAAACGTTACCCTTCGATATAATGTTAAACTAATTTCTGTAGAATTGGAAGCAGAATTTGAATCATTAACAGTAAATGAAAGAAAAAGAATAGGGTATAATTATTAATGTTTAATAGTTAGTTAAATAATCAAGTTGAATAATCATGATTGAAAAAGAATTTTTTTTATTTTGAAGAAACAAAAAACGAGAACGTGGCAACTGGTGGTTTACAAGAAACGAGCCAGCTCTTGCAATGCAGTGCTACCGTCGAGCTTTAGACTTTTTGTCACCAGCCAAATCTGAAACATCTTTCAGTGAGGATGGTGTGGAAGAAACAGAATCAGATGCAGATCTACAAGCCTTATTGGAAGACAGGTTGACTGTTTACAACAATTTAGCACAAGCCCAGTTAAAAACACAAGCGTACGAAGCTGCACTGAAGAGTGTAGAGAATGTTTTATCATGTCAACCACGAAATATTAAGGCTCTATTTAGAAAAGGTAATTAACATCCCAATTAATTGCTAACAATTAGTAATAATAATAATAATAATAATAATTTGTTGATCACCTATGTAATTCAACAGGTAAAATTCTACACTTAAAGGGGGAACATTCTCAGGCTTATTTAACATTGTCTCAAGCACAGAAATTAGACCCTCAAAATAAAGCTATTCAACATGAACTATCAATTATAAAAGGAAAGAGTGAGAAAGACGTTCAAAAGGAAAAGAATATGTATCGCAAAATGCTCGGAACAAAACAAGAAACCAGCATTAATAAAAGTCTTAAAAATGAGGGTAAAATAAAGTCGAGTTTTATAGCTTGGAGTTTAATTGGTGGAACAATCGTTGCTACTGTTGGAGTAATAGCCTACAAATTTATTTCCTGAGGATATGTTTTAAAGATACTGTAAACTCAAATCGGTAATGGATTTTTAATTAGTTGACACAAGGGTCCGGATGTTTGTCAATTTCATTACAGTCACAAATTTTTTTTGCAATCATATCAAAAAATATTTCATCATTTTTATAATCCTGTTGATTGTTGTAATAAAAGTTATGTTCACTGTTGAATATAGTATGTATATATTATAAAAAAAGCAAGTTTTCTGTGCATAGTTTCAGTACCACTTCCATATTATTCATATTGCTATGTACAATTGTTTAATCATGTAGAGGTGGTTAATGAGTTTTGTAATTTTTATACTTGACACATATATATGGGACGTTTTGACAGAAACATTAAAAACTATTTTTCAAATTTTTCAATATTTATTCGATTAATCCTATATATTTCTACAATTTTCTAAAGTTTCTAAAGTATTCTAAAGAATGATAATCAAATAATAATAAGCAGTTTTGCAGAGAAATAAAATGCGAAATATTAAAAAGTGCTTCTTGTCAAAAATCTCTAGACATTTTCAAATAAAACCTGATGAGTATATTATATTATAAGTATTATAAGGTAGGTATGTATAATTACTATAAAAAATGTAGATTATGATTATTCGAAAAAAATGTTGCTTGAAAGTTTCAATTCTTCTATTCTTATAAATATCATATAACCACACTGAGAGTTAGCAACATCAAGTCTATATTATGTACAGAAAAAGTAGACGAAAGATTTCCATACATAAGTTATTGGACTTGATCCATTTCACAATTTTACTATTTTATGAGAAAAGTCTTCCGAGAATGCGTGCGAAATAATGTACAAGCATATAGGCTGAGCTCCTCCCTAAAACTTTTTATAGAGGTCGATGTCCAAAAACTTGAATAAATAAATGCCCCTAGTATAAGTATTTATAATATATCCCAAGAAATATGTTGATAGAAATATTCTTCAAGCCTAATAGTTTTGCAAAACTGTGTAGAAATTCAACTTTTTACAATCAAGCATAACATTTTTTTGAACGTCGCAAATGTAAAGTAATAATTTTTCTAAAATTAAAGTTAAAAAATGGACATTCCAATTTTTCACTGGACCTTGGTATACGCGCTAAATATTCTTGGTTTTTGGCCCAACAATCCCAATCCTATACCACAAATTCTTTTATGTGCAACACTTGTAATAATTTGTCCATTTCAACTGCAAGACATTTATAGAACATTTGACAATGTACCATTATTGATGGATGTGTTTCGAGATTTCTCAACATTTTTGTTATTAATTATCAAATTCTTAATTATGTGCTACAATAAGCGGTAAGAAGACATCGTCCTGTTTGGATTTTATTCTATATGAATTTAAATTAGAGTTTAAAAGTTAAAATTATAATAAGAAAATAAGCATATTCCAGGAATTAATTTATTCAATATATATATGTATAGCTATGTGATCTTATTGATTGAAGAAATATCTGAAGATTGGAGAAGATTGAAAGTTTCTAAAGACCAGGAAATCATGGATAAATACGTTAAATATGCAAATATTTTTTGTACTTTTGATTGTATTCTTTATTTTTTAGCTGCATTATTTTATTATCCAGAAACTTTAATTTCCTATTTAAGTAAACCAGTTGAGGCAAGAAAATTAGTGTTAGATGTAACATATCCTTTCAACTGTCGTCCTTCACCATTTTTTGAAATTGTAACAATTATTCAAACAGTTTTAATTTTCTTAATGATTTCTGCTGATGCTTTGTCAGAAATTTTATTAGGGACATTAGTAAGTATATGCCCAACAAATAAATCTTGAAAAGAATTAAGACTTGCGAGTCTTCTGCTTGAGCGCTTGAGTCATCGCAGTTTAAAAACACATGTAATTTATAGGTTTTTCATATTGGGGGATTAATTGAGATTTTAATGAGAGATATTACCGGAATTTCTGTTGCATGTTCATCAACAAATAAGCAAGATTTGTCAAGTTTAATAAAAAATATTGTAAATGAACATGAAAGATTAATAAACATGCTAAACAAACTTGAAACTGTTTACACATATGTTTGTTTAATACAATTTTTTTCCAGTACAATGGTTATATGTTTTACAGGATTTATAATATTGAATGTGAGCTAGAAAATGTTTATAAACAAATAGTAATGATTTGATTGAAATGAATAATTTCCCACACAACACCGTTAAAGTTTTCTGAAAGTCGAAGACATACGGAATATTTAAGTTCGTTATTGCGAATTTCAGCTTATTCCTCTTTTGTTCACCTTTTTTTTATATTTGAAAAAAATTTAAACTTCCATGCAATGTTCAATCAAGTTATTTTGCATCAAACATTACAAAACATGGATTATTTAAAGAATTATTTCAAGTTTCATGAGTTTCGCAACTACATAAAAATATAGCAGTCAAGTCGTTTTCAAACTTTCGGAAATTTTCGGTGCCATAAAAGAAGTGAGATGAAATTATAAAATTCAATTTTTTATAAATTGTTATTTTTACCATTTTTAACTTCAAAGTATCAAATAGCAACGAATTGATACCAAAAATGTGGATTAAATCATAAGTTGATTCAATTTTTTGGGATCAATTTGATTCTTTAAAAAAAAACTGTGGACGATATGCTCAACTTTATTTCTTTTCCCAAGTAGCACGTAACATTTCACGGAAAGACATTTTATTTCAAATATTAAACCTTGGCTATTACAATTTTTTGAACATTCAAATTTTCAGTCAGCAAGTTTCGGTTGCAGTCTTTCCGTGTATTGTAATATATGTTACATGTAATGTCAATAATATTGCAATGTAACATATATGTATGTAAGAGTAAATTGTAAAACAAATATTAAAATTTTATTTAATTATATTAGTCAAATGGAACAAATGACACAATCCTGATGTTAAAATTTATTATGTTTATAATTTTAATGCTATGGCAAGCATTTGCCTTTTGTTTTGCTGGCGAATTTTTAATAACAAAGGTTTGTGAAAAAACTTATTTTTTCTCCTTTGTTACAAATGACATTTTATAATTTAAGGCTTAAAATTTTCGGAATACATCAATACAAAAACATAATTTTTTATATTTCTAGAGTGCAGATATTTCTCAAAGAATTTATAGTTGTTCGTGGTACGAATTAAAGCCAAAAGATATTAAATTATTATTAATAGTAATGAGAAGAACACAACAACCATTACAATTAACTGTTGGAAAATTTGCTGCATTATCCATTGGAAGTTTTACGAATGTAAGAAATATACTTTTTTAGGTGCTGAAATATTTCGTACTACTTATGGCGGTAGTGTATATAGTGACACTTAATATTGTTTAGCTAACATCGAATAGTTCAAGTTTAATAATAATCTGTTTTTTATAATTATGAGAACTATATCTATATACATTTTTTGTTTTGGTCAAATAAAAACATTTTTCAGGTAACCAAATTTTTTCGTATAGAACGCAAAATTTATTAAAATAAATGAGTTTCTTATACCGTTGGATTCGTAAAAAAATAAGAATTTTCCTATGCTAATTAAAATTATTAATCTTAATTAATTTTCGAGTTAATTAGGAGTTAATTTTACTAAAAAGCATCCCAGGTGCGAATTTTGGTCGGCCGCCAGAGTTGGCAGGTCGGGCCCAGGTCGGCCCATCTATGGCTGCCAATAGGTCGGCAGCCAAAGTCGGGCCGACTTTGGTTACTGTTTCCACCCAAGGTTGGGCCGACTATGGGTGCCAGAGTTTAGAGAACCTAATTTTAGTTGGTCGGGCCGACTCTGGCCTGAGTCGGGCCGATGGTCGGTAAAACTATGGCAGCCAGAGTTTAAAAAACCTAATTTCTGTTGGTCGGGCCGACTCTGGCCTCAGTCGGGCCGATGGTCGGTAAAACTATGGCAGCCAGAGTGTAAAAAACCTAATTTCTGTTGGTCGGGCCGACTCTGGCCTGAGTCGGGCCGATGGTCGGTAAAACTATGGCAGCCAGAGTTTAAAAAACCTAATTTCTGTTGGTCGGGCCGACTTTGGCCTCAGTCGGGCCGATGGTCGGTAAAACTATGGCAGCCAGAGTGTAAAAAACCTAATTTCTGTTGGTCGGGCCGACTCTGGCCACGGTTGGCCCGACCATCTTAAAAAATATTTCTATACTGCCATGGTAGAAATTAAAAGTTTTTGTGTTAATTATTTTAGCTAAAATGGATTAAACAAAAACTAATAAACGTTATCTGATTTATTAATCGTTATGAATTACAAATTTCTTTTTTTAAATTGCAGCTTATAAATTCATTTTTGTTCTTAGGCTTTCATGTAAGCGTAGCGTAATGGTTAGCGTGTTAGACTTCGGTGCGTTAGGTTGCGAGTTCGATCCCTGCGAGCGTTAGAAATTTTAATTTGTATTTATGTATAAGATTGCGTCTAGTGTTAAGATGAATGCGATAAATAAATAAATAAATAATGAATATTAAGATATCACTTAATACCTGTTAATTGTAAAGTTAATAATTTTTTGCAAACGGTCGGCCGACTATTGGCTGCCAAGGTCGGCACGACCATAATTGCCAAAATGAAGCCGACCTTCTTTCTCATGGTCGGGAAAACTTTGGCACCCCTGGTCGGCCCGACTTTGGCAACCATAGTCGGCCCGACCATGTCAGCCACTGGACGGCGGGTGTTACAATTCGCTAGTTCGGCCGACCTTTGGCTGCCAAGGTCGGCACGACTATCCACTTGGTCGGCGCGACCATGGCCCGACCAACTTTTCGCACCTGGGATACTATCTACATCGATTTTCGACGAATCCTGCGATGTTAAGTGGCCTAACTATACAGTTTATGAGGATTTCAGGTCGTTTGACCAGTGATTTCCTGATGAACAATTGTTCATCAGGAAATCACTGTAAGGCCTATCTACGTAGTTATGGTTTTTTTAGATCAGGAACTCGAGCTTTGTAGAGGCTATACTTTCCTGATGGACTTGAGCTGTTTCTCCATGTTAAAAACCATGTTAAAAATCATATTTTGTGTTCTAAAGAATTCGGTATAATTTCAATAAATTATTATTTTAGTTGAACCAAACAAATGTTATTGCTTATATTATATTTGGTTGCTTCAACTAAAATTTGTTTGTTGCAAACAAATTTTGTTCTGAATGTAAGTTTTTGCTGCTGTATAAGAAAAGCATATATACTGCAAGCTTTTTGGCTGACATAATAGATAATATGATTTTCTATTGGATCGCATTATAGAACATATATATTATAATATTATTATTCCATCCTTTTTATGAGCGTGTCTTTTTCTTTTGGTTCGTTTTGGTCAATAGTTTTCTTATACCAGCATTTACTGATTAGATACAATATATGTGTATATCTTGTAATATAATTGAATATATAATGAAAAAATTAAAGATTCTTATTTACAGATTGTGAAAACATCAGCATCTTATTTGTCAGTATTAAGAACAATAGTTATATAAAGAGGTAAATTTGATGAGCGCCCAAATGAATAATATGAATATTAAACAATATATTTAATCATATAATAAATAAAATTAATTATTCATCAAATTAACATTGAAATTGTTATTTATTTTGATACGCATATGATTTATGAAGAAGATTGTCTCCAGCAAAAAAATACAATTTTATGTCAGGCATATGTATATATATATATCCCAAGTGCGAAAACCAACGCGGCCCAACACTGGCCCAGTATTGGCAAAGCTGGCATCGAGACTTGGCAGACAATATTGGCCCGACTTTGCGCCGACTCTTGTGGTGTTAACCGCGGTTGGACGTCGGCAGCCAGATCTCGGCAGACATTACTGTCCCAATATTGGCACCAAATCTCGGCAGACATTAATGGCCCATTATTGGCAGCCAGATCTCAGCAGACATTAATGGCCCAATATTGGCTGCCATTACTCCCCCAGTGTTGACAAAATTAGAAAAAAATAAAAATAATTTTTTTTTATTCAATTAACTAATTAATTTATAACATTTATACGGCTTATTTCCCTAATTTAAACGCAAACTTACAAATATTTGAAAAATTCTTACCTCTCGCGGGGATCGATACCTGAACCTGACGCTCCACAGCCTAACACTCTGACCACTCTGCTACTCTGACTTGAAGTCGAGGAAGCAAAAGGGTTCTTATAAGCTACACTACACTGGCCAATACTGTGCCATTATTCGGCCGAGCTACGTCCCAATATTGGCAATTATAATTTGCCATCATAGATACAAAATGATAGACATTAATGTGCCATTCTTGGGCCAAGCTACATCCCAATTCTGGCAATTATATTTTGCCATCAAAGATACAAAATGTTTGCCATTAAAGTGCCAACAATGAGCCATTAATGGACCGATCTTCGTCACATCACTGGCAATTGAATTTTGCCATTAAAGATTGATCAACTTTGCCGTGAATGTGCCGTTATTGGGACAAGCTACGCCCCAATACTGTCAATTATAATTTGCCATGAAAGATACAAATTTTTTGCCATTAAAGTGCCAACAATGAGCCATTAATGGACCGATCTTCGTCACATCACTGGCAATTGAATTTTGCCATTAAAGATTGATCAACTTTGTCGTGAATGTGTCATTATTGGGCCAAGCAACGCCCCAATTCTGGCAATTATAATTTGCCATGAAAGATACAAATTTTTTGCCATTAAAGTGCCAATAATGAGCCGATCTTCGTCACAACACTGGCAGTTGTCTTTTACCATTAAAGATTGATCAACTTTGTCGTGAATGTGCCATTATTGGGCCAAGCAACGCCCCAATTCTGGCAATTATATTTTGCCATTAAAGATACAAAATTTTTGCCATTAAAGTGCCATTAATGTGCCTTTAATGGGCCAATCTTTGTCACATCATTGGCGATTGAATTTAAAAAAATTTTAATATCATAATTCATGGTATATTTTTAATATTTAATTATTATCTGAAAATTTGACTAGAATCCATTTTGAAATCAATTTTTACTACAAAATTCTACGAGAATTTAATTATTTAAATGCAAAAATAAATAATTTATTGAATAACTAAATGTTTCTTAAAATTGAATTATGAGAATTAAATTTTAAAAAACATTCATTTATTCAATAAATTTTCTTAAGGAAATAATTTGCATCATTTCTATTTCTTAATTACAATTGCTTTAAGAAAAATTCAAAGATTTTTAAAAAATGAAGGAAAAAAATGTTTATAAATTCTATTTGTCAATTGCAAATATTAATTGAAAGTGAAATTGAAAATTTCTTAATTTTTAGATAATAAAGGAAAAATTTTACTCAAAAAAAGGTTTCTGTAACATTTATTTACGAATTTCTTTAATTGTAAAATTATATGAAAACATTAATAACTTCTTTTTTAAATTAATACTTAATTAAACTTCTTCAAAAAAATTAATTCTTTAAAATTGACAGTTAAAAATATAGAAAATTCAAAGTTTCAAATATTTTAATTTGAATCCTTTTCAAGCTTATTCAATTATTTAAATACAAAATAAATAATTTATTGAATACCTGAATGTTTCTTAAATTTCAATTCTTATAAAAAATTATACCAAATTAAAATGGCATTAATGTGCCTTTAATGGGCCGATCTTCGTCACATCACTGGCAATTGAATTTTCCTATTAAAGATTGATCAACTTTGACAATAACGTGCCGTTATTGGGCCAAGCTACGCCCCAATACTGGCAATTATAATTTGCCATCAAAGATACAAAATGTTTGCCATTAAAGTGCCACTAATGTGCCATTAATGGGCCGATCTTCGTGACATCACTGGCAATTGAATTTTGCCATTAAAGATTGATCAACTTTGCCAATATTATGCCGTTACTGAGCCAAGCTACTCCCCAATACTGGTAATTATAATTTGCCATGAACGATACAAATTTTTTGCCATTAAAGTGCCAATAATGAGCCATTACTGGGCCGATGGTCGGCACATCACTGGCAATTGTCTTTTGACATTAAACATTGATAAACTTTGCCATGAATGTGCCGTTATTGGGCCGAGAGCTGGCCCAGTCTTAAAAAATTTGAAATTCTGACCATCGGCACCATCATTGGCCCAGTAATGGGACGTTTTGGTTACCAATAATGGCCCAGTAACTACTGCCAATTCTCGGCAGACATTACTGCACCAATGATGGGCCGTTTTTGCAGTCTTGGCATTTCGCACTTGGGATATTATACTTTCTGAGTTTATGAATTAATGAAATTCTGCTTTTAAGTATTCCAACTCACTGATTTACCGCGATGATTATTAACTGACAATCAGTCACTATGGTCAATTAGTGAGTATATGTAACTGAAAACTCAGTGAATATAATTATGTATATATATATATATATATATATATATATATATATATATATATCACTGGTTCAATAATTAAGAGAGTATATTTTTAACGTTCAAGTTAAAATATAATTTAATAAATATTTTAAATTGACATTTATTTAAAAATAATATGTGCTTCATATACATAAACTGAATAATGTTGTCACTAAAATGTCATTTTAAATATCTATTAAGAGGAAGTTGAAGCATTAATAAATATTAATTAGTAACAGTCGAATCCTTTTACCTAATACTTATTTATTTTTGCCACATTAAAAATATTATTTGTTTCATCTAGAAAACTTGGCATTTGTGTTATATATATGTGTTTTAACGCCATCTAAAAAATAAAAATGGTAAAAAAATAAAACTCCCTCCTTAAATTCTCTTTTTTTAAACTCTGCTGGATGCTGACACCTGGACCT